CAAAAGCTCACAGAAAGATCGCACCTCCGTTTTATCGTGTCTTACTCAGATTCCTGAGGAGCACAGTACGGCAAGTGCACACTGGGATTCCTGCGGCACAGTTGGTAAAGCAGGCTGCGTCCGCACCTGAGGCAACGAACTTGTTGCGTCGGTGAGCTGATTTCAGTGAACTGGGATCATCTTGACCAAGGCCCTTCTTGCTCAAACCTGGTGATGTTCCCCCTTGTACGAACAGTCCTTAATAGGGACTATAGTCCCCCCCCATGTATAATCCCTCATTAAGGACTGCTAGTATAAAAGAGTACCCCCTATTTATAAGCCCCATTAAGGACTGCTAGTATAAGGGGAAACATCCCAACTCAAACCTTTCAAGCTCCGCACCCAAGAAGACCATGCAAAGAATGATGGAGGCCATGCTGCACGCCTCCGGGGGTTTAGGGTTTAGGGTTTAGGGTTTAGGGTTTAGGAGGCACCCCCAGCTGCGAGGAGCAAGCTGCTCCTTTCATGCTGGCTCCTACATTCTACAGAACTACATTTTCGACTGTGCCCGTGTTCATGCAGATTCTTCCATCTAGCATCAAGGTTTGGGTAAGAGTGACAATGTTTTGCTCCGTCCCCTTGTTGCTCCGTTCGCCGCGCCCGACGGCTGTGGTGGCTGTTTTTGCTGCGCAGCCGCTCTGTGCTTGAAAGTCGTCCCTGCATGTTGGGAACGGCGCCGCTGCTACCAAGCAAGACATACGAACACGCTTGGCGAGTTAGGAGGGCTTGTTTTTGTTCCTAAGCCGCCGCTGGGCCCCGGGGGGGGGGGGGGCTGGCGGGGCGGGTGCGTTTCAGGTAGGTCGGTAGGTAGGTAGGTCAGGTAGGTAGGTAGGTAGGTAGGAGTCGACCCACGGTAGTTACCGCGGTCACCACCACACTTCCCCCCAGGTCGCAGGAACGGTACACAGGTGCGTTTCAATGCTCGCATGAAGTCCTCTTCCTGGGCTGGCTGGGGGGGGGGTGGGGCGGGTGCCCCCCCCCTCCCCTCCCATTTGCAAACACAATGCACGCATGACGGGTTTCGAAAGAATTCGTATGCTGCATGAAATGCAAACCCTCTTCATGGGCTGATGTTCTTCAATCAACAGGCATGGAGGTTGGGGCGGGGCGCAACCCACCCCCATTTGCAAACACAGAGCTCGTATGACGGGATTGGAATGAATTCGCCCCGGCTACGCAACAAAAAAAACACGGGTTCCTGAAAGTCTGCAGTCAAGAATCAACCCAACCCTACCCTGTGATCATCAGCGAACCAGAACAACATGCCAGCAACTGTACTCAACCGAACCCTGGCTGCCTCGAAACCATTGCTGTTGACGATTCGGTCAATCAGCGGCCTCTCCAATCTCGAAGCCTGAAGCATCGTTGACTATCCACAGTAGCCCCCTCGGCCCTCCCAAAGAGTTGTAGCAAACCGAAAACGCGGCCATCGCCTTCCTCTTTAACAATGCAGCTTCCTGCAAATGGCGTTCCGGCTCAGCACGAAGGCTGAATTCTGAATGTTCAAGATGCTTTGGGACCAAGGATGAAACCAAGAAGCCACGCAAAGCGGGAGAATGTCAAGAATGTTTGCTGTCTTGTGGAACAGCTAGGAGAGGGCAGCTTTCAGGTAAGCGTTCTCGTTGCAAGTGGAAAGGGTCATCATGGAAACCTTTGGGGACAGCAGGCGTAGATAGCAGGCTGATCAGAACAGGAAAAGACAGCCAAGACGACTGGGGATGGACTGTGAGGGCATCATCTTCTACGTGATCACGCAACCAACGTATGAGCAACTGGTGCAGGACTGCAGAATCCAGAGCACGGGTCTGACTTGAGTGTGCGTCGAACCGGACAGCAAAGTATCATGGACAACTGGGGTCAGATCATTCATCACTGTCGCACCCAGACCCCAAGCCACCCAGGTGGAGTGGGGCACATTGACACGCCCGTGCGAATACACACAAAATGTTACAACGTCCCGACCTATTAGGGAAGAACACGCCAGCCACTGTTTCTCATTCTTGCCAATGGCCACAGCCTAGGCATCTGAAGCGCCATTCTCTGATGTCGAAGGTGGTTTAACATTGAGCCGACTTCCGTCTTACGGCATTTATAGTACAGGGCCTTGCCGCATGGCACGCGGCATCCGGCATCATTTCACAACTGTCTTCGAGATGGCGTGGACCATCTTGTCGATTTGCACACCAATCAACTATGGACACTTTGGAACATTCATCGTACGCAGCCTTGTGCGGTCCGGAGCGCTGCCTGGCTGTTTCGAAACCTGATAAAGTGGCAAAAAACCCTGGCAGAGAGGCATACTTCGCATCACTTTGCAGCATACCAGGCGGAAAGCGGGGGGCCGGGACTTCCATCTCAAAATAGGAGCCTGTTAAAGCCATTCACCAAAAAGCGCCGGGCCATAAGGCCGGGGAAAACACCGTTTCCTTAAGCTCGTTTGCAATGTGTCCCAGGCGCCGAAACTGTTACCTACGGTTTTTTTTGCTTCACAGGCAATGCCTCTTGAATCCAATGAGAGAGACAGTTGGCCTAAGGCAAAGGCTTGAGTTGACACATCATAGGAAAAAAGAGGTACCGACACATCATAGGTGTCTCGGGCGGCGCAGGGGCCCCATTTGCGAACATATAAAGACATATGTAATATGGGGGGGGGGGGGTGTCCGAAATTAAGTCCTCATTTTAAGGGAACGCTACTATTTGGGGGGACACTATGAATTTGGGTTCCTTGTTTTCGTAAGCCCCCATATACAGGCTCTGACTGTGAGGAGGGGAGTCATGGGCGCTTGGTTGCAAGGAAGAGATGAGTGTCCTTGTCTTCCTCGTCATCGTCACCTTGGGCTTGAGCTATATGAGTGTTAGGGTTTAGGGTTTAGGGTTTAGGGTTTAGGGTTTAGGGTTTAGGGTTTAGGGTTTAGGGTTTAGGGTTTAGGGTTTAGGGTTTAGGGTTTAGGGTTTAGGGTTTAGGGTTTAGGGTTTAGGGTTTAGTGGTTAGGGTTTAGGGTTTAGGGTTTAGGGTTTAGGGTTTAGGGTTTAGGGTTTAGGGTTTAGGGTTTAGGGTTTAGGGTTTAGGGTTTAGGGTCACAGGTGAAAACCCGGACGAAGTTGTACAGGCCCCATTCTTGCAACCGAGTCACTTTCGGTGTCCTCTTCGAGGATGTATGGCGATATCCACCATTCTGCGAAGTCGCCTGCTGCGAACGGGCGAGGGCGAGAAAATCGGTGTGTTTGGCATGGCTGTGCGTGCCACACCGGCTCAAACATGGCGGGCTTTCGCCGGCGCTGGCCCATTCCTTCCTGGGAGATCATGGCTTCCCAACATACATCGCACTCCCCCCCACCAGCCTTGCGATGAAATCCTGCTGCCGGCACAAACCCGATCTTCCACATGAAGTCCCTGAAGCCCTGAACCCAAAATTCTCTGAAGCCCATCCGCCACTGAACCCTAAGTCAAAACGCGAAGAAACCGTATTAGCAGTACCTTAACTCAGGTAGCATCAGGCATACGTGAACCACCTCATGCGTGACCCTAAACCCTAAACCCTAAACCCTAAACCCGAAACCCGAAACCCTAAACCCGAAACCCTAAACCCTAAACCCTAAACGGATTGCTCGGCAAACTATGCAAAATTCGGCAGCGAGAGGCTGTGAACCTCGTCCAGCATGGCTCGGTCTCCTGGGCTGCACCTGATACTGTTGAAGCCCAGCTCTCTGGGGGGCCATGCGGATGTCCAGAACACGGATTTAGGGTTTAGGGTTTAGGCTTTAGGGTCTAGGGTTTAGGGTTTAGGGTTTAGGGTGAAGCTGGCGTCATCAACCGTCACCAGATCCTACGAGTACTCCTTTCAGTGCATCTCCCAAACGAAGCGAATGGAAGCAAGCCGAGCAGCCGTGCTCGTCTTCCAGGACCTGCCCACGAAGAAGGGTGGGTCCCAGAACAAAAATCTCCGGGAAATTTTCGGTGTCACGGCAACCATGGCATTCGGAAAGCGTTTTGCTGCACCTCTTCTTCTGCCGCGTCATTCCCAACTCGAAAGCCTGGCAGGATGGTTTCATATAAGTTGTCATGCCTCCCTGCTCTTTACGTGAAGAGCTTTAGCGTGCGCTGCAAAAGGCCAGCTGGTGGTACCGGGCGTGGAAGAGAACGAAGTTTCACTGCTGGCATAGGACGTATAGCGCACCTGGTCTCGGGTCTGCTTGCATCACTATGCAAGTGGCTGATCCTGATACCAGAGGTCGGCCTGTGGTTGGTCCATGCTGCAACTGGCTGAGCTCTGCTGCTAGGATGTATTTGCGGGCTGAGACATCTGGGCTGGACGATGCTGGACAGCATTTTGCCCTACAGTTCCTACCACGTCCTTCACGGCTATCTAAACGTCTACAAGGGCACAACGGATCGGCCCATGCGGGCTGCTGAATCCAGAGGTGCGAAGCGAGGCAGGAAATGGCTCATTTTCAGAACCCGAAACCCTCAACCCTAATTAAACCCTAATTAAACCCTAAACCCTAAACCCTAAACCCTAAACCCTAAACCCTAAACCCTAAACCCTAAACCCCTAACTGGTCAAGTTTTACCGTTTGGATGTGACAGGTTCGGGCGGCCAGCAGCGAGAGAGAACCCATGTGTTGGGCGCAACTCGACAGGGGAGCCCGAGAAGAAAAGCTCTGGAAAACTGGCCCCCGCACACCCAGTCAGCAACTCTTTCTGTATCTACAAGAAAATTCTAGCTTCTTGAAGAACATACTTGAATTGAACTACATGTGAAGACTAGGCCTTGCAACGATCAATGCTCGACACGCTCTTTTCTGGCCTGAACATCGAATGGCCCAGTGCGGCCCAGTCGTCGAGTGGTGGACCAGCCATTGCACATAGTGCACACATTTGCACTACCCTAAACCCTAAACCCTAAACCCTAAACCCTAAACCCTAAACCCTAAACCCTAGACCCTAAACCGATGCTGGGTTAGGCTAGGTCAGACGCGGCCTTCCCAGAGCCATTTGCTTCAAAAGGGGCCTGATACTCCGGCAACGTGGCTCTGGGTCGCTTGGCTTTGGGTCGCGTTTCGAAGTGCGGCTCCAGCTTGCGAAGCTCCTGGGGTTTAGGGTTTAGGGCTTAGGGTTTAGGGCTTAGGGTTTAGGGTTTAGGGTTTAGGCTTTAGGGTGACGCAGTTTTATCTCGCCACTCGCGCACGGCTCCTTTCGGAACCTTTTGTTCTGTACGCGGGCCCGTGAATGTTCCACGTTCCTTGAGCAAATGCCGTCGTAGGGTTGGGATGCTTTCTTGGGCTTGGAACGCCTGTCGCAGGCAAGCCACATTCTGTGAGTTCGGGGCTTGAGGCACCCCCCCCCCCTTGTTGCTTCGCAGAGAGCCGGCTAAGCTTCAGATTAGTATCTTCCCCTGGAGAAAATGTTGAACTGCAGTCTCCCTTTCTGCTTTTCAAGCTTGCTTTGACGAGAGCCTCCTCGTTTTTCGCATCGGAATCTTAAGGATCTTCACCCGGAGCCCTGACGACAAAAACTCCAACGCTTCGCCAGAAGCTCTGACTCTGAACCATCCCACTAATCATTGTCTTCACTTAACGAGTTTACGACGCATGCGTACGGGACATACGTGACTTGGTAGATTCAGCGACACAGAAGTAGCGCGCTTGGTCCTCGATTGCGCCCGGAACGCTGTCGGACAGAATCAAGAACCTCATGCACATCCCGAAGCCACGGCATGTTCCCCAACGGCTACACAAACTGCAAAGAGGTAGTTAGCCGCTCCTTTGCGGGCATGCAGCCCATGACCCCTGCGGATGAACACCTTGTTCTCTGGATACCTGGATCAAGAGGATGACAGTAACTGAAATCATGCTATTTGTTCCTTGCGTGTCATTTGCACAGCAACGTTGAAGCCGTTGGTAGAGCAACTGTCCAGATCCAGTCAGTTTCAGCAAGGAGCATTTGTCAAGCAAATTGTCAAGTTCAAGCATGCAATGGATACAATGGGTTCTGGGTGGCACGGGAAGTCTCGGAACAGGTCCAGCAGGGCTTCCACGTCCTGCCACGGGAGTCTGTCCCAACAACTTTGCTTAGAACTGATCTTACAGAGGACGGGTGTTCATATGTGGCATCCCAAACCTCATTGACCTGCCGTTTTGGTCTGAGGCTCAGAACTGAATGAAACCGAAGAGGCTTCGTATTGAGAAAACGACGAAAGACTCATTTCCGCAGTTTCTGCAAAACCATTTGGAATCTGTCAAGAAGCACAGACAAAGTTGGCCAGCCAAACTCACTAGACCTGTCAGGTCTTTGTAGGCCTCAGTGAGACTTAGAAAAACTGCCCTGTCAGCATTTTAAGGCTCCCCGATTCTGGTTCAAACCTATATGTTGAAAACATGGGCACTGCAAGATCATCTGGGATTGGGCACATCAAGCATATGTTGCGGCATTCTCTCGGATTTGGTACTCCAAGGAGTTTTGTTCATTTTTTTTTTTTTTTTGGGGGGGGGGGGGGGGGGGCGGGTTGTGTTTTTTGGGGATGGATTGTCTGGGTCTGCAGGGGCTCTTTAGGGATGAGCTTCCAAGGATTTCTGAGAGCTTCTGAGGGCCTGGTCAGGAAAAGGGATCGGTTTATACATGGAGAAGCCATTTCGTTCAAAGAACTTGAGAGCAGGGCGGACGAAGCTGGGTCCCTGTCTGTGTACGTATCTTGAAGATCCGAGGGCTTGAGTGTCTGATTTCTAAAAGTACATATTCCCGACGACAGGCTGGGCGCGAGCAGCAAAAAAAATAATTGTTGCTCTCCGTTTTCCGGTCCTCCGGGGTGCTGAAGAGTGTCTCCTCGTGGCTGATGGGAAGCTTCAGCGCTTTGGCCTTCTCCAGGCCCTCCTGCTGCTGCAGGGTGCGGGAGGAGAGAACGTGTCCAGGGGGACGTGTCCACAGATCGTGACACGGAGCAGCTTGATGGCAGTAAATGGGTAATTTAACAAAGCATGTCCAAAGCTGGCTAGAGAAGGGAAAGGCAGGGAAGGGCAGGGAAAGGCAGGAAAGGCAGGGAAAGAAAGGGAGTGGAAGGGAAAGGAAGGGAAAGGAAGCGAGTGAAAGGGAGTGGAAGGGAAAGGCAGGGAAAGGCAGGGAAAGGACGGGAGTGGAAGGGAGTGGAAGGGAAAGGAAGGGAAAGGAAGGGAAAGGAAGGGAAAGGAAGGGAAAGGAAGGGAAAGGAAGGGAAAGGAAGGGAAAGGAAGGGAAAGGAAGGGAGTGGAAGGGAGTGGAAGGGAGTGGAAGGGAGTGGAAGGGAGTGGAAGGGAGTGGTAGGGAAAGAAAGGGAAAGGAAAGGGAAAGGGAAGGGAAACAAAAGCGAATGGAAAATCATGGAGAAGTCTGCAGAGTTGCGGTTAGGGTTTATGTAAGTTTAAGGCTTATAAAAGGAGGGAACCTGGAAGTGCGGAACTGCTTAACTCCCACATTTCCCTGAAAACGCTGGGGGGGGGGGGGGGTAACCCCAGGGCTCCCCTATGCCTTGGACTCACCCGGTCCTTCTCAGCCAGAGCATGTCCATGTAGGGCCACCAGAGGACGCTCAAGCCAGGCAAACGTCGTTGCTGCTTTCATGAGGCAAGCCCAGTGCAAAGGCCTAGGCCAGCCAGATCCATTCGTCAGCACCCTCTCTCTCAAGGATTTCTACTTTGCCCAGACCGACCGACCAGCGCACAGCTACATGCTGCGGTGCCAGCAAGCCCCTGATGGGGGCAGGCTTGGGGCAAGGCATGGCTTGGAATTTAGGGTTTAGGGTTTAGGGTTTTAGGGTTTAGGGTTTAGGGTTTTAGGAGTTTAGGGTTTAGGGTTTAGGATTTTGGGGTTTTGGGTTTAGGGTTAGGGTTTACTGCAACTTTTGAGCTTCTACTCTCTTGGGTTTTTTTTACTCCGACAAGGTGGTGGCATCTGGCGGGACACCTCGGTTCTGACGGGGGGCCTCCTGACTTTGGGGATCTCGATACAAGAGCTCTCGGGGATGTAACCGTTTGCAAACCTTCAGTAGAAGGTTGGCCAATTGAATCGATGTTCGACCAGGAGCCAAAGAAATGAAGCTGTACACACTACCCACATCAGCTTCGCAGCTCGCAACTCTCTAACGCAAGTTGAACTAGCCACTTGCACTTCCGGATGGGTCGCAGGCCTACGATCGCAAGGATTTCTGCGTTGCTTTTCGGGACTAGTTCGACAGGCTTCGCAGCTTGCACGTTTCGTTTGGGAACGAGGCGTTGACAAACGCCTCATTGCCAAAGACAACGCGTTGCCGCAAGGACGTCCCTCGATTGGCCACTGGCACGTCAGCCAGCATACGTGCCGCCAATGATCAGTGTCGTGGTTTAGCGGACCAGGTTGGAGCCCAAGTTGTTTACATGGTCTTAATCCTTGTAACTGCTGTCTCTCAACCGAAATTATAGCTGCCCATAACAGAAGACCCCGTAAGTTCTGCACGTGTCAGATGTGGGTCTTGCTCCGGGCTTTGCAGGGCAGAAGTGGCAGCTCCATCCTTCCCAGTCGAAGGCTTGAACAGCCACGAAGTCCGCTTCACTGGGCATCATGCCAGCATCCTGAGCGTTTAGGGTTTAGGGTTTAGGGTTTAGGGTTTAGGGTTTAGGGTTTAGGGTTTAGGGTTTAGGGTTTAGGGTTTAGGGTTTAGGGTTTAGGGGTTAGGGCCTTAGCTAGCAACGGCTTTTTTTTGAAGGCTCTGCCGCACAAGACGGACAACCGCAGGGGAGCTCGCAGCCTGAGTTCGGCGCCTTGCCAGATCTGCTCACAAGAAGCATCTCCTGTTGCGAGGCAACTTGGGCGCTTTACGACGGTTTAGGGTTTAGGGTTTAGGGTTTAGGGTTTAGGGTTTAGGGTTTAGGATTTAGGGTTTAGGGCTTAGGGCTTAGGGCTTAGGGCTTAGGGCTTAGGGTTTAGGGTTTAGGGTTTAGGGGTTAGGGGTTAGGGTTTAGGGTTTAGGGTTGGGTGGACCCCTTATAGAGTCCCCCCAAACAGTAGGATTCCCCAATAACAAGGACCTCAATGAGGTACCCATCATTTCGGAAACCCGCCCTGCTGGAGTCCCCCAAGGAGTAGGATTGCCTAATACTAAGGACCCTCAGAAGGTACCCCTAACTTCGGAAACCCCCTCTTGGCAACCGTTTCCGTTTCCATTGGGAGCCCCTTTTTTCTGAAGCATGGGTGGGTCACTGAATGAGCACAGATTCTGTTCTATCAGCTTGCTGCTGACCGCTGCGGGCAATAGCTTGGGTGAGCCCAAAGACGCTCAAAGTGCCCCCAAACAAACTTCGGGGAGGATTGTCCAGGGCCGGCCCAGGTTTAGCAGCATCGACCCTGTTTTCAAAAAAACAACTTCTAAAACTAAACGGGCGAATCCCCAACTTGTGCTTGAGGGATTCTCGCCTCAGATGTGCCCCGGAGCAGCGCAGAGCAGTTGCCAGCAACAAGGCCATCTGGCAGCACGGGGGCGGCCCCAGTTTCTTCCAAAAGGACCACGGCCGCCGCAAGTGCCTGGCAAAATCGTCGCAGAACGAAGGGAAACAGGATGGAAGAAAGTAAACCCTAAAGCCAAAAGCCCAAAGCCCAAAGCCCAAAACCCAAAGCCCAAAGCCTAAAGCCTGAAGAACTTTCTTCTCACAGCCTCGCAAAGGCGGCGGAATTCCGACAAGAGCGGCTCAAGCTTTTGCTCGGCATCTTCGGAAACGTGGCAAGCGAACCTGAGCCGGAACAAGCCCGAAAAATCAAGGTTTCGAGCATATTCAAAGATGCTGTTCCATTGACTGCCAAGGTTCGCTGATGCTACTGGCGCATAAACCCTAAACCCCAACCCCTAAACCCACTTCGACTCTACGAGTACCTCTAGCTGCAAGCCATCTGCCCAGCAGCTTGATGCGCGGGGCCCCCTCTGCGATGGACTGGTCTTCGACCGACGTCATCAGGCATGTAGACCCGGACTATCACAGAGGTGCGTTTTGCAGCGGTTGCGCGTTCTACAGGTAGCATGCAAGCACCTCATGGTGTGAACCCGGTATAGACTGCGCCCTGAGGCTGGAGTCAATGCCCTCATCGGCAGCGTGTGCATACATGTTCCTTCCATCCGAGCCAGGACCCTTTCAGCTGCAACACGAGTAGCTACTTATTTCAAGTATCTGCGGGCGCACCAAGGCCATGGTGGGTTTGGGCGAATGCAGCCGTCAGGTCCCATCACCGCCATCTTCACCAACCCATGAACACCTAACTACATCGCACACCTGACAAACCGAAAGATGAGCAGTGCAGAAGGTTGCCGAGAGGAAATGGCTGAGACGGGAGCTCGTGCACTTGAAGGAGTGCTGCGCCTGCGCCCCCCTCCGTGCCGTGCTCTCTGCGCCACCCTGCACCCTCCGTGCCACCCTAGCGCGCCCCACATGCGTCCTTTTGCCTCCTGCTACCCCTGCCTGCTCGGGGCGTGGCGCGGCAAGTGCAGAAGATGCGGAAGGTGCAGAGGCGCGAAGGATGCAGAGCGCGAAAGGTGCGCAAGCGTCGGGTGACGCCGGATCGTTTCAGAAAGGTCCGACATGCTGGAGCAGTCATGACGGCCTCTGGATTTGTGGATGCACGGCCCGCTTCCCCCCACAAACAAACCCTACAAGGTCAGGGTCGGGTGGACCCTGAAGGCTCCGGAGCCTCGAAACTCCAATGCCTTGCCTTCGAACAGAGACTGAGCGCCCCCTGAGCTGAGAAACCGAGCATCCCAAAATCTCTTGAATACCGCCCTGCAGAGATGCACACGGCTTGGGAGGAGCTTCGATGAGCTTAGGATTATGGAACAGGTGCATCAAACTTGCTCTTGCTTGCACACTACGCTTCCACCTTCCACTGCCTGCCGAATGCAAAACCTTTTCCCTGGTTCCATGCGCCCTTCACGTGTCAAAGAGGGTTCTTTGTGCAGGCACATGACAGATGTCCAGAGGGCTAGAGCGCCCAGTGATGTAGAATGCTGTTGCAACCTATGTATAAACACCATGGGTAGACACCAGCTTCTACGTTCATTGCGGGCAGGTACAGTATTATTTGCAGAACAAGAGAAAATCACCACTATGAACGTCATCCGCCTGCCTGACACGTGCAATTCCAGCTGAGATTCGGATGGCCAAATGCTGGCCAGAGTGAGCAGTGGTCTTTGCACTGGATTGGTAAACGCAGCTAGACTCCTTCGTGAGACCACATGGCATGCTACAGCAGTAACATCTGCGATAAGCAGATCGGCAAGCTGACTCTCAAACTCATGACGGCATAAATGGTCAAGTGTTGACACTTGCCCTTGCCGATATGCCTCAGCGAGCAGATGCACCACGACATTATCAGAGGATCGTCTCCCGTTTTGATTCTGTGTGACTCACGCCTTGGTATTGAGGCAGAAGAAAAAGATCAGAAAATAGAAATGTCATAGCTAGATAGAGTTAGCTCATGGCATGTTGACGCGTCACAAGAAAGGTTCTGCTGCCTGGACTTGGTGTCATCTTCTGTGACGCCGACCTTCACTCCTCACCACTCAGCAGTGGGTGAAAGGGCCAGGCAGCCTAAAACAAGCTGCTACTTGCCACCGGGACATGACCCGGCAGCCCTTGTCTGCGCTAGTTGCCAAGGACAGGCCCTCACAACTCGCGCCGAATGGCTCACGGAACGGCTCACCTTCGACTCTTCACGCAGCGCGCACGCAAAGCTGAATTGCGGAAGGAGCTGATAATCTGAGTCCAAGTTGCTATGCATCGATGGCTGTGGGTTGCTCTTCATTCTCTACAAGGCTTGCCGACATCTCCTTGTCTACCGCGCTCAAAGCACATAGCAACATGGCACAGGTCTCCAGCAGAAAGAGTTTCCAAAGCCAAAGTATGACAGTACAACCTCCGAGCTATTCTAACTCAAAGCAGGCGAGCTTCCAGGACACCGGCTCGATCAGAATCCTCGCGTGCCTTCGAGAAACAAGTCCATCCAACAATCAATGTCCACGCAAGACAGCATGCCCGGTGCGATCGAAATCGCCCTGATCTGGGCACGCTGCAGATCGCGACCAAACCCTGCGAGTCACGACTTGGCAATGTCTGTGTTTCACGCACGGCGCAAGGCTGCTCACTTTGCACCTGAACGCCGCGAACACCAGCAGCATTGTGGATGGACCGGCGGCGAAAGCCAGGAATCGAATCTGCCAGCAGCAACATGTGGCAACGTTGGGCGACGACCCTCACTTGCTTGAAAATGGCTCGCTCGGGCCTTGAACCGCTTGGTTTCAAGGTTCTGGACATGGCCATCCAGCCGTTCCTTCGAAGCTCGGTGATGCTCGGCTTGGACACAGAAAAAAATATGGCACGAGCGGCTTGGCGCATATCATCTTGGGCTTCAGAGCGCGCAGCGCTCTTTTTCAGCACCCGTCTGGGACATCTGGGATCCTGGCCAGTGACTCGTACCTGGGCAGTGTTGGGAGGCATTGCTGCATTCCTGCACTAAGACCCTTGGGAGGGAAGGACGACTTCATATTCATGCGATCGATCCTGCCGCAAGAGATCATCAGAATGTATCTGAACTTGAAGATTCTAGCCCTGCTGGTAAGGTCCCTGCGCGGCTTCCAGTTCTGGAGTGGTATGAACGGTCTGCAAGCGGCGGGAACCTCGGAAAATCTCATTCCGACCGCACAACACTAGTCACTAGCCCTGTCTGCTCCGTCCCACAAGTGTAGCAGTGTACAGTTGATGTAGAAACTTGCCGCTCGGTCCCACACGCTTCTTGCGCCCAAGACCACAGCTCACGGAGCACTTGCTGAATGGGCTCCAATCGGACCACATCTGGGCATCACATGGCATCACGAACCGAGGTGGTCTCCAGTCTAGTCTCCCATGCTCTGATCGTCAGCTGACTACTCCGTCCTTGATATGTCTTGAGGTACAGCATGCAGATGCGAACTACTCCGCGGATATTCAGCACTTGACACTCAGCTAACCCTAAACCCCAAACCCTAGACCCGAAGCCTAAACCGAGCTATGCAATGTGTTTGAGTTCACTCAAGTGCCGGACGCAAATCGGCTCTCCGTGACAGTTGCGTGGGCATTTGGCAATCTCCTCCGAGTCACCTTCCTGCGAGGCAAAGCAGCAGGCAAGTCGGACTACCCTCTCCATTGGTGGCTCAGCCACCATCATCAAGCAAGATCCCAATCTCATCGACTGCACTGCCCTCCCTGGTCGTCAAGATGATCGCCAACATGTCGAACATGAAAACCAGCCATGCACGATTCACGCTGACTGAGCAGGAGTTGATGCGCTGTTTGCCGGGGTCGCCTTGCAGCGTCGGCCGCCGCATTCCGGCACCCTGCGTGGAAAACTCTGTGCATATGTACCGTTCGACATGTGCTTTGTGACCTGTTCAGAGCACCAAAACACAAGCAACCACTCGTGTCGTGGTTGCAGCAGTCCTTGCCGCGTGGGATGTCACGGTCGCAATTGGACTGCTCCATGCTTCTTGAACTGATGTTTGGTGACTAACCAACCTATTGTCATCAGGAGGAGTGGGTGACTAGCTCGCTATGAATCAAATACTACTGGAAGAGGGTTTCCCGTCACATTTCGGTTAAAGTGTTCGGACTTTACAGAAACCCTTCGGACGCCTGATGGATTCTCCCTCCCATGGGCGGCCTCACCACCCTGCGATGTCTCGTCTTCTGTCCAGCGCACTTGGAACAGGCCTTGCCAAAGAGGGCAGTTTAGGGTTTCGGGTAGGGTTTAGGGTTTAGGGTTTAGGGTTTAGGGTTTAGGGTTTAGGGTTTAGGGTTTAGGGTTTAGGGTTTAGGGTTTAGGGTTTAGGGTTTAGGGTTTAGGGTTTAGGGTTTAGGGTTTAGGGTTTAGGGTTTAGGGTTTAGGGTTTAGGGTTTAGGGTTTAGGGTTTAGGGTTTAGGGTTTAGGGTTTAGGGTTTAGGGTTTAGGGTTTAGGGTTTAGGGTTTAGGGTCTAGGGTTTAGGGTGTAGGGTTTCGGGTTTAGGGTTTAGGGTTGAGGGGCATGGACAAGACTGAAGGAATGTGGTCCCATGCAATAGCCAATGATGGCCTTGGCTTCTCCAGGGCCCGTGCACTCCATTCGCTCCATTTGCCCCACTTGCAGTCGACCGGGAGGCAGCTCTGGCAAGATCGGGAACCCAGACATGGGAAAGCATTCAGTTTCAGGCTCTGGACCCTGATGCATTTCTTGATATCTCGGTTGATTTCTTCTTTGACTTGCAGGGTTCGTCACACATAAAAATACGTAGCACGACGCCGACGGTCCTGCCCGCAGCGATGCGTGTTGCAGGATCGCACCTGACTCAAAAACACGAAGTTCAACACAGGATCGCTATGCTCGTCAAGGCATGCCAAGTTACGCGTTGAAGATGTTTAAGTTACTCTCCAAGGCACTGTGACGAGAGCACCATCACAACCTCCACCGTGTGAGCTCGCGCTGGCTTCTGTTACCTCAGGCGGCATCAGCGATTACCTTCATAACGCCACCATTGATGTTCCAGTTGCATGGAATGTGCTTCAACAAAGTGATTTAGAGTGCGCGAGAGCCCCAGTTAGGTGAGATGTTCTTCAACAAAGTGATTTAAACCGTGTGCGAGAGAGCCACAAGCTACAGGCCCCTACGTCTGCTAAGGCCTCGACCCCACGTGTTCGCTCCTCCACGCCTCCTTCGCACGCCTGAGAACAGGAGCTCCACCTGAGCGCATCACTCAAGGGCCTACAAAGGGACCCAAAACGGAATTGAAATCGGCTTCCATACCTTGCTCTGGCTTGCTCTCTCCTGTTTTGTTCTACCAAGTTCATCCCCAAACTGTGCCCAAAGCAGTGTCGAAGTCCCTGAACCCCCCAAAATCGGCACTGGGACCCCCGGCGGCTCCCAGGACTTGAAGGCGCAGGTGATGCCTCCGAGCCTCAATGAGCACACTCCGAAAGTTCAAAGCCCAGCAGGTTTAGGGTGTAGGGTTTAGGGCTTAGGGTTTAGGGTTTCGGGTTTAGGGGTTAGGGGTTAGGGGTTAAGTTTTATAGGTTTTTGGGGATTAGCCCATATATTCGTGGACTCGCGGACGAAGGCTGCAGTTCTGACCACCAAAATAAGCCCTCTGGCTGGAGTTGGTGGGCGCTGGCCAGAGCTGGTGGAGCGCGTGTTTCTTTTTCAACTTTGCAACAGGTGTTCCGTGGGGTGTCCACACATTTTCCAAAACAATCCTAAACCCTAAGCCCTCCCTAAACCCTAAACCCTAAACCCTAAACCCTAAACCCTAAACCCTAAACCCTAAACCCTAAGGAAACTCTACGTCCATGGCGGAAGGGCAGCCTCGGGGAGTTTTGGGCCGAAGGAGCCGAGCCCTTCATCGGTCAGATGTTGCGTGCAGGCGCCCCGCCCCGCTCCCGGCCCTGTTCGCCTACCTCCAAGAAAGAGGCACTTTCCTGAAAAATCCTGAAAATGTAGTGCAAGCAAGACCGTCTGTGCGTTGCTGCTCTGCCGCGAACCCGCGGGCCGGAAAACCCCGCGCTTGAGTGTTTCGTTCTTTGCTATTGATAGAAAGGTTGGTAACCAACATGTAACACACACACACACACACACACACACAGACAGAGACACACAAAGACAGACAGGCAAGACACACACACACACACAACCCCCAAGTTGGAATGTTTGGTTGCCCTGGACTGTTTTCGACACGTCTCTTCAAGCACAGGGGTGGGGGATGCTGAGGGGGGCTTTGTTTGCACTCCTTGGTATACCTGGCTTTCCAGCTGGCTGTGCACGCTGCCGTTTGTTCTGGGCATCGGGGGACATCGTGGGACAGTTCGTCCTGCTTGCACCGCAATGCTGTGCGACAGGAAGCAACCGTGCCGGTTTACGACCTGGTGACGCACTGTGGGTAACTCTTGCGGGAGCTCAACGCTGCCCCTGGGCCGTTGGTGAAATCATCGCAAGGCTCCGGGTGATCCATATACTGGCCCGATTCTTGAACACTGCTGCTTTGGCCACGCGAAATCCAGTTCCAAAATTTCTTGTCTAGGCACAGATCTTGCAGCATCTAGTTGGTATCTCCCCTACGGCTGATAGCCTGAAGACACTACGAGGTGTGAAAGAGGTAAGTCCACAGAACCATGTAGTCTAGAATCTACACGCCCTGCCTTTCCGGCTGGGATTAGGAGTTGTGAAGGTCCTGTGAGCACATTCTGACACAAGATGTGTGGAGCATTCCGAACTGCTACATATTCTTGGCCAGTGATCAGCCAAGTCCGGAACATGTTGGGAGCCTACTCAGATCTACTCAGATCCCAACGCGCAGGGATCGCAATGCCCAGAGAGGCATGCCTGGCAGTGGGTGCACTGACGAGCATGGTCGAGAGAAAGGCGATCACGAGCTCCAACGGCCGAAGGGTGGGAAGGCGCCTTTGCCGCAAACAAGAAGTTGTGACCTGATGCGTCCCAGACAGTCCCCGGCATTCGCTTCACTCTACGGCTCGAAGCACAACCGGATCGACCAGGAGGGTTCACCGAGCTTCCGGCCACAACCTGTGTCACCAGTCTTGAGCTTGATTCGCACCCTGGGTCAAGCTGGTGTGCGTTCCAGACCACTTCACGCATCCGTGCATGCAGGGCCTGGTCTTATGCTCGAATCGAATCGCGATGGCCTTCTCTTCCTGTCGTGCTTTCGAAGCAGCTAGTGGACGATCTCTGGGACTCCGGGTTAAGGTATGGTGCCTATATAGAGGCATGGCATGACGGCATTGCGCAGCCTTGTCTGCCAGCAGTTGTGTCGGCTGCCAGTAGGCATTCGGCTGCGACGGTGAGCACGTACCTCACACAGAATAAAGATGGGCAGACATCTATGGTTGTGAGCCACTTCGGCGGCCCAATCCGTGCCTGCGGATGGCGGTGGCGTCTGGTACACGTGCGATTCCTGCTGCCTTGCTCCGGTACGAAATGAAAGGCGGAACAGACATGTGACATGTGTGCAATTGCTGCCCACATGGTCCAACATGAGGCGTGCAATCATGGAAGCCTTGCTCAGGGCCCGGCTGCAAGAGCTTTGCTCTCTCAAAGTCGTTGTCCAGAGTAGTAGCCAGCGGGGCAGGTGTGGTCGGTTGTTGCGGCACAGGCGCGGCCGTTCCAATCGGCTGCTGCTGTGGCTGGTGCACGAAATGATGCCTCGCATATTGCATACCGCCGCAGAAACGTGCGGAGCGCCATTCGCAAAGTCGCTGCTGAGGTCCATGAAGAGTCTGAGGCGGAGGCACACTGATCGTTGGAGCCTGCCCGAGTCAGTGTGCAATCGCGTGTCACACTGACTGCCAGGAAGACAGCACTTCCATGACCTAAACCCTAAACCCTAAACCCTAAACCCTTTGAGCCCAAGCCTGCCCCAGCCAAGGGACGTTGAAGACTTGCAGGCCTTAGTGGTCAGATCTTAGTGGCGGGGTCCGTTTGAGCTGCGAGCTGCCATTTTGCTGAAACACCCATTCGTTCCAGATCGCCCCCCCCCGGATGGACACAAAATGGCTCTTGAGCTAAGCATAACTACGCTGGATGCTAGAGGACAGGAGCCTTCTTTGGCTCTTCAGTCACATTGTTGCACTTGAATTCTTCCAGCGCAGTGAATTCGACGAGTCCAAGAGACTCCCCTTCGCCTCAAACTGATGAAGTCGGTGGTATCGGTGACACGCCGCTTCATCGATCCGTGCACTCCGACATGCAGCCATTTAGGGCTTCAGTAGGGTTTAGGGTTTAGGGTCTAGGGTTTAGGGTTTAGGGTTCAGGGTTCAGGGTTTAGGGTTTAGGGTTTAGGGCACTCCAACAAGTGCATTTCTGCAAGTCAGATGAGCTGCCCAACCAGCCTTCTGAGATCAGCAAGCATCTCTACGGCACCGTGACACTGCCCACCATCCCTGCAGACGTTGAGCATTGCCTGGAATGCCACCGCATCGCAAAGCAGCATGGACTCCTGAAGCTGAGCCAACAAGAGCGCCGCCTGTTCCCATTCATTGGCATCCTCCTCGGTTTGTGACATATTTTGTTGTACGGGTTTGTCATATCCAAAGAAAATCACCACTTTTGGCCTATCCTCTTCCCCGACTTGCCCGGACTGAACTATATCAACAGCTCGACCACAGGGTTTTTTTCGTGCAGCTTGCGGGCGCAGGCAGTCATTGCAGCGCTGAACGTCACGATGTCACCTCGCATGCTACTGGCCACTTCATTTGCCAGCGCCAGTGCTTTTTGCCACTGCCCTCCCTTCTCGCACGCGCTGATTGCGACGTTGAACGTAGCAGTAGAGGCTCTCAGCAAACTTTTGGCCATGTCCCCCAGCAAGTGAAGAGCTGCCTGCCACTTGCCCGCGTTCTCACAGGCGCTGATGGCCTTGCAACGCTGGGCAACAAACCAAGGAAAGGTTGCCTTTTTCGAGGGGCGAGAGGGTTGTTGATGAAAAGAAAAAGCCTCTTGATTCGCTGGCGTGCAGATCTCGAGCCAGGCAAGGTCTCATTCCTTCCTCCGAAGCCTTTTTCCACTACACGACGGCTTTCCGGCACATTCTGATACATTCAAGCCACGATTTAGGGTGGCAGAAAAGCCTGCGCAAAGCCCGGCCCTCAACACCAAATGATCTATCTGCCAACACCTGGCCCAGAATTCTGAGAACCATTTCTCAAGGCCCAAGGCTGTTCCCAAAGTCCCCAAGACTCGGCCAACTCGATTTGCTTATGACCCAACCTCTAGACTAGGGAGGTTTCCATGGTACGCCTCTCTAAGCAGGGATCTGGACCGGTGCAACAGTGCTACTCCTCCCGGTGAGGCGGACGCGCCGCAGCGCCGCAGCAGTGCGCTTGCTCGCAGACTTAATAAGGAAATTTCCTACCCCAACCGACCCTTTCAAGCATGGCGCATGTACCTTCCACAAGTGATGCTTTGCATGCTTAGGGACAGCATTGTAGACAATGACATCCGTTGTGAGCAGACCATCTTTAAGATTCCAGAAGAGGAGGAGTGCGTGTTGCCACCGTTCGGTCTTCTCACATGCGCTGATCGCAGCACTGTGCACGATGACGTCGCTGCCGACCTCGGCGACGCAATCCAGGAGCAGCTGCAAGGCAGCTTCCCACTCATTGGCCTTCTCACAGGCGCTGACCACGGCACTATAGACGATGACGTCACTTCGACACCTCTGGAGGCAAAGCTCCTCTAAGAGGGCCAAAGCCTGCTCCCACTGCCCGCTCTTCTCGCAGGCGCTGATGCTTGAGCTCCAGGTAACCACTTCGCGCCTCATTCGCTGCAGGCAAACTTCAGAGCACAGCCGCAGCGCTTTTTGCCACTCTTCGCCCCAGCCACAGCTGCTGACGGTTGCATTGTAGCTGATAATGTCCGCCTGGATGCTGGTTTCGGACAGTTCACCGATCAGTGCTAGGGCAGTCTGCCACTGTGCTTTGGCCTGGCAGGCGCTCAGCAAGGCATTGTAAGTGATGAGATCTGCTCGGCACTTGCATTTCCCAAGCTGTAGGTGCAACGCCAATGCCAAGTGCCATCGATTGCCTCTGTCCAAGGCTGTTACCGCTGCATTGTGGATGATGGTGTCCGGCTCAATGTTCATCATCTGAGGCTCTGCAAGAAAGCCAAGCGCCTGCCGCCACCTCGCAGTCCTCGCACATGCACTGACCTTTCCGCTGTAGGTGACAATGTTCGGCCGTAGAAATGTCAGCATTGCAGCTGTCTGCCAGGGACCTCGCCTGCGCATGTTGTGCTCTTTGGGTCGGGTTGGGCGGAGAATGCTATCGAATGGGTACGGTTGGGTGCCAGAAGGCAATGCTGCAAAAAACATTCAATTGCTGCCCAGAACGAAGTTCCCTTCCCAGCCTGGACACTTGGTGGAAGATCGTGGCGGGAGCTAGTCCCTCCTGCAAAGACTGGTATTGAAGTTGTTCTAGCCGACCCAAGCAGCATTGCCACTTGCCGAGCTTCCGGGTCTCCATGAACTGCAAACCCTCAACCCTCAACCCTAAACCCTAAACCCTAAACCCTGCTTCGAGCTGGAACAGCTGCAGCCGGCCAACAAGGGTAAAACTCTGGTAAGGCTCGGTATCCACACATGGAAGCTGCAGCGAAAACATCTTGCTTGTGAAGCTCTTTACCACATGACAGGCGATGCGGACACAGAGGCGACAGAGGCCCTTTTAGTGCACCTTTGAATGTGGGACGAACTGGGAGGCTCTCCGCGCACCCCGCGACAGCCGCACCGTCGCGGGATGTCGCCGTGATCGCGCCAAGCGCAGGCATCAACACTGTCAACTCCGTGGCGCGTAGTCGGATCGGAGACATGGTACTACGACAGACTGAAATCCTCCTCATCCTCATAATCTTCATCATCATCGTCGTCTGCCGCACGCATGCGCACCAGCTGTTGGTACATGTTGGTGGTGACTGCCACACCTTGTTCCTGAAGAGCCAGCATCCATTCCAGCGCCTTCTGCCACTCAGAGCCACAGGCACGAATCACAGGGCATGCAATGTCATCGTCCAACGAGTCTAGGCAATCCTTCTGGGCCAACCAGGCAAACGCAGCCTCCCAGCCATCACACTGTTTTTGCTCCTGCCAGACTGTGATTTGCGCCAAGTTAAGGAAATAGTTGGTTTCCATCGGCTGTCCCTCAAAGGCTGCAAGGGCTGCAGCAGCCCGCTGCCATTCCCTGGCACGTATGCATGCCATGCTGACAGCGCCAAGTGCCACTGAGAGATCCCATGGCACTTGCAATGCACGAATGTCAGCAAGCAACTGCAGCCCATGTTCCCATAGCACAGCCTTTCTACACAACACGGCCAGCTGTCTATATGTGCCTTCGTCGGGATCAATGCTCTCCTTGTTCATGCGATCAAGGAGGCTGAATGCCCTGCCCCATTCAGATGCTTGTGCGCAGGTGCGGATTGACCAAGTGTAAGTTTCACCTGTAGCCGGCAAGCCCCTTTGGGCCATGAACGCCAGCAAAGAAAAAGCACGAGCCCAGTCCCCACTGGCCTGCATGGCACTGATGGCCAGCGTGCAGTGGCGGGCCGTCATCTTGACATCTTTCTCCTGAAGCACATCCAGAAAGTGAAGGGCTTGCTGCCACTGAGCGGACATTGAGCAAACCCGCATGGCCACCGCCATTATGGACGCATCGGGATGCAGCTGTCGTCTTTCGAGCTTGGTCAACAGTAGCAGTGCCCTCTCCCAACGTCGTTGTGCTCCGCATTCTGCAATTGCTGAGCGGAAACCGTCGATCGTGGGCCCGAGGCCCAACTCCATAAGTGAGTCAGAAGGCACAACAAGTGAAGGATGCTAACGGGTTTAGGGTTGAGGGTTGAGGGTTGAGGGTTTAGGGCTTAGGGCTTAGGGCTTAGGGTTGGAGAGAGTGTCTGGTAGAAGTGAAGAACTGGCAGACCCCTTCAGGTCAGTCGGGCACTTCGCAGTTACAGCACCCGTTGATCACTCGAAGCAAAAGCCCGTGTCTTCATCCGAAAGAGGAACCTGCTATTCTGTCACTTCACTTGGAACACGAATTTGCGGCCTTTTCATTCATTTTCGAAACCTGCTAGTCTGCCGCTTCGACCAGCCACGCGGCACGGCGCTACTTCCTCCTTGCCCCTCATACTTTTCCAAGCTCCGGAGCATGCCGTTGCATGTTCTTGGCAGCTGCTGTCGCATGTTGCATACAACGGCAGCAGCAGCAGCAGCAGCAGCAGCAGCAGCAGCAGCAGCAGCAGCAGCAGCAGCAGCAGCAGCAGCAGCAGCAGCAGCAACATCAGCAAGAAGAAGAAGAAGAAGATGATGGCAAAAAATGTCCTCAAACGTCTTGGCAAATCTTCACCAGCTGTGGTCACCACCCTGCCGGCCTGCCACCCATCCCGCCATGTTGCTTGCAGCATTCTCTCAATGTCATCTCGGACGCAGTACCCTAAACCCTAAACCCTAAACTCGTTCGGCATCACGACAAACCAGGGTTTGAAGCTCTGCTGGCCTCCTTCACCCAGCTGTGCACACGATGGATCCGGTCCAGCCCTCCTTCACATTCCTGCACCATTTGTTAGGTACCGTTTTAAAAATCATCATTTTTGTTCTTGGGCTCCAGTAATCATAAAATCGAAATGTAAAATGAGTTTAGGGTTTAGGGTTTAGGGTTTACGGTTTAGGGTTTAGGGTTTAGGGTTTAGGGTTTAGGGTTTAGGGTTTAGGGTGTGGTTTAGGGTTTAGGGTTTAGGGTTTAGGGTTTAGGGTTTAGGGTTTAGGGTTTAGGGTTTAGGGTTTAGGGTTTAGGGTTTAGGGTTTGGGGTTTGGGGTTTGGGGTTTAAGGTTTAGGGTGTTTCAACAATGACCCAGATTCCCTTGGTCTTCACACGGTGCAAGTCACTGATGGCATTGACATTCACACGGTCCCACTCCTGGCATCGACGTTTAGGGTTTAGGGTTTAGGGTTTAGGGTTTAGGGTTTAGGGTTTGGGGTTTAGGGTTTAGGGGTTAGGGTTTAGGGTTTAGGGTTTAGGGTTTAGGGTTTAGGGTTTAGAATTTAGGGTTTGGGGTTTGGGGTTTGGGGTTTGGGGTTTGGTAATGCCTGGCCTGGGCCAACTGAGACAGCTGACCGGGCACTTCCCCCAAATATTCAAACAAATCGGTGATGAAGTCTTCTGCCTGGGACACGAAGTTACGTTGTTAGCAGCTTCCATGCCAAGACAGACAAAGAAAAAGTAGTAGAATAAGAGGCGCTGTCTCGTCGGCATCCTCCACTTCATATGGCTTCTTTAACCGGCGGAATCGGCGAATGATTCGGCAGCCTAGAGGCAGACAAACCGATTTCCAAAGTCTCATTGGCTTTCAAACCCTAAACCCTAAACCCTAAACCCTAAATCCTGAACCCTAAACCCTAAACCCTAAACCCTACTAGGCCTGGGATGACGACCGCCACACTCAGCATGAGGACGAGGACTCCGATAATCACCAAGGCCGGTATGCCACCGATAGTCCCATCGCCCTTCCCAAGTTGGAAAGCGCAATTTTAGGGTGTAGGGTGTAGGGTTGAGGGTTTAGGGTTTAGGGTTTAGGGCTTAGGGTTCAGGGTTCCGGGTTTAGGGTTTAGGGAAGCTGACAAGCGTTGTTCACTCTGAACTTCGCAACTCCGGGAACGATGGCCCCCGTGGCCCCTCCTGCCTGCATGATGAACTTGGATGGCTAGAAATTTAATTTTTAGCTGCCTGATTAATAATTAAGAAACCCAATAAACCCAAAAAGGCTAAGGATCTAAAGTTACAGTAAAGCACCACAGAGACCCCCCCCCCCTGCCTGCATGATGAACTTGGATGGATCAGGCTGCGCAAACTCCTCAGGTTTTGCAATGCGGGCCACCAATTCCTTGACAAAGTTCTGCTCGCCGACGGCCGCGGCGTGGATCACGGGGCTCCTTAACTGCTGGCGTCTGGTAGGGAGATGCACGGACTTGCTAAACCCTAAACCCGAAACCCTAAACCCTAAACCCTAAACCCTAAACCCTAAACCCTAGTAACTTGTTGAAGCCTGGGTGCCATCCGGACCTGTCCATTGCCCAGACGTCAGCAGAGAGATCCAATAGCTTCATGGCGGTGAGAGGCCTTGGGTGCTTTCTTGTCGACACCTTCCCCGACACACACACACACACACACACATTTCTTCTGCTCTCTTCTTCTTCGTCTTCTTCTTCTACTACTGGGCTTGGGAGGCCGCAGAATGCCGCAGAGCGGGAGAGAGAGGGAGAGAGCGGGAGAGAGCAAGAGAGCGAGGAGAGCGAGGGAGAGAGCGGGAGGGAGAGGGAGAGAGAGGGGGGAGAGAAGGAGAGAAGGAGAGAGGGAGAGAGGATGAAGAGGGGGGGAGAGCGGGGAAAAAAGCGCGGTGTCACACTGAGTACGAGTCACCTTCACTAGGTTGCCTTCCTCCTGCCAGCAAAGAACGCCCAACACCAAAACAGAGCACTCCGTAAGTACCCGTAGGTTCCTCTTCCAGGCTTTGCTTCCCCTTGCCTCTCTTTCTTTTTGTGTATTGTTACCCAGTCCAGAGAGGGCCCTCGAACGGCTCCCTCGCAACAGCCCACTGTTCCTGGCCAGGTGAGAACTAGCGGGTTCGGTTTCCCCCGCACTTCTGAGTGGAGTACAGCACTTCTTGCTGTGCTAACGGTGATGTACTCGGTTGCTATGCAGCTCTATCTGTCTTTCCATTTTGCTCTTTCTTTCGTTATTTGCTTCTTCCTGTTTTTTTCTTTCATTATTTCTTTCTTTCCTTCCTTTCGTTTGTTTCTTTGTTTCTTTCTTCTTTCTGCACACCTAACCCCTCCCCATCGGGAGGGGCCGCCCCAAGGCGTGCACTCACTCTCTATTTCTTGCTTGGGGGCAAGGGGGCAAGCCCCCGGTCCACGCCGGGATGCCTCGGTTCTCCGCAGACGGAGAGAGGGAACTCAGCACCTCTTGTTTGACCCCCTGTTCTTCCCGAGGGACAGGGCTTCCCTCCCTGTCTTCCCAAGGCCAGCAGGAGAAGGAGGAAGAAGAGAGGGAAGTGAGAGAAACCAACCTGCTTGTTCACCTTGTCTCGTCGTAGTCTTGCCAATGCACACCTTCTCCAACCCAGCTACTGCAGGAGTCTGTCTCACTGAAAGGAAGGGCACCGAGAGGGGGGGTCGGGCAACTAACGACTGAGCTCTGTACCCTTGACCTTCACACTCCGTGTTTACGCTAGGTTGCTGGTTTCATGTCCGCGACGTGGTTGCTGCGTCGGGGAAAGTTGCAAGTAGCCGCCCACACGTGCTGCGCCGTCCCTCGGAGTAGGCAAAACAGCTCTTGCGCGGTGGGGTTTACTCCCCCCAGGCCCCCGCCCCTGAGAAGGAAGAAGGAAAGAAAGACAGAGAGAGAGAGAGAGAGAGAATGTAGGAGGCACACGAGCGCGCCTAAGGTCCGTCCTGTAGTCGGAAAGAAGTCAAAACGGGCTCACTTTCTTGCTTTCTTTCGGGGGCATCTTTCTCACTTTCTCGCCTTATCACTTTCTCTTCCTTCCTTCCTTCCTTCCTTCCTTCTTTCCTTCCAGTGCATGCTCCGTCTCCCTCTCACTCTCTCTTTCTCTCCCTCTCCCTCTCCCTCTCTCGCTGACAGGCACAAGACTCCTTGCTACCGAGAGCGCTGGCTGAAGGTGCAAGCGTAGTGCAGCGGCCGAAAGCCGATGGCGTCCGGAAGCTCGAAGTCGGCCCCTGGAATCCACTTCAAAAAACCGGTTTAGGGCTTAGGGCTTGGGATTTAGGATTTAGGGTTCAGGAATAAAGGAATCAAGGAATCAGAGAGTAAGAGATGATGAGAGTGGGATGAGGAAAGGTAAGTCTGAAGAGCAGACATGAGCAGCGTCACGTCCGGGCCTCTTGCGAGGAGGAGTGTAGAAACGTTAAACAGCATGTCCGACCGAGCGGTGTGGTGCAGCGGCGTGTTGCTGTCGCCGTCTTGCGCGTCGATGCGTGCCCCGGCATTCAGCAGCAGTGCAGTGACCTGCCCAAATGTGTTTAACGCATTTTGAAACCCCCTTTCAACTCCCGCAACTTTCAACTCCCGCAACGTTTCGCACTTCGCTCCTCCGCATGGCCACGTCGGGCAGCATGATGAAGTGGAGTGCGCTGGGTAGCATCCTCCAGCTCGAGATAAGCCTGCGATCGGCCACCAAAGAAAAGAGAGAGAAAGCCAGCAGCATCGTCCTCGACGTGCCTGTGCTTCCAGCAGCAGCTCTGCAGTTTCGAAGAAGCCACCCTATCGAAGCACAAATGGAGAAGCATGAAGACATATTCCGGCGGTGTTGTTGCACGAGCTTGTGCGCGTCAAGACTCGACTTTGATAGGTTGGGTGAAGAACACTTTGCACACTCTCGTTATACGAGGTTTCAGACCTTTGAACAGTTGAACTGTTCAATAACAAGTCCGCAGCAGCAAAGTTGCCAGAAGCGTTGACATGCAGACATTTAGGATCACATCTGCACTGCGCTTATGGAACCATGTAGAAATTTCTGTAGAAATTGCTTCACTTTGCACCCCGAAGTGATCACAAGCCTTCGGGCTTAAAGCTAAGGCTTGAGGCCTAAGCGATTTGGGTTTGAGTTGTTCCTTCTGCTTCGGGATTGTGGCGCTTGGGTTGGGCTTGTTTTGGGGGACCCGGCGCTTCTCTCCTGAAGACCTTTGTCTACTGAACATGGGACTCCATATGACTTCATGAGTGGCTCGAAACTTGTTCACGCCCGACCATGACCACGATCGCGCCTAGAAACACACCTTTTTCCCTGTGTTTCCGCTTGCGCTCCCAACCCAAAGCCAAGCAATTTCAGCGTGGAAGCCATTTTTGCCCCAGCGGACTAACAGCGGGTTGTGAGAACTGACTTCTTTCCGAAATTCGGTGAATTTTAGTGGGGTTCTTCTTAGAAGAGGATCCAACTATTTGGGGGGTCCATATCAGGGGTCCCCGAGTTTCCCTAAACCCTAAACCCTAAACCCTAAACCCGAAACCCCCAATTGCGAACTTGCCTGGGCCGCGAAATGGAGCGGAGCCCGGCCCATGTCATCTCCGGACCTCAGGGGCGCCAAAGTGCCCAGGGTTGGGGGTTTAGGGTTTAGGGTTTAGGGTTTAGGGTTTAGGGTTTAGGGTTTAGGGTTTAGGGTTTAGGGTTTAGGGTTTAGGGTTTAGGGTTCAGGGTTCAGGGTTTAGGGTTTAGGGTTCATTCCAACGCAGCAACCAGCAGAGCAAAGGTAGCAAATGGATGATGCGCCATGCATTGTAGAAGAAACTGCCGTACTATGGCTATGGGAAAAGCGGCCACAGGTAACTCTTGCTTGCTTACCCGTGAGTTTCCCCTGTTTCTGCTCAAACTACTTCGTCGTAGCTTCTTTTATTGAAAAAACGTCTGTCTGATGTCTCGAGCGTGGTTACAAAAAAAGCTTTGTTTCGTTGTGACTTCTTTTTCAAAAAAAACGTTATGTGCTCTATACATGCGCAGCACGCAGTTTCATCTTCTCACCAGCCGCTTTAGAACCACCCCCTTTGTGAGGTCAACAGGTCCTTTTCGGCTTCTGGCCTTCCCAGCTATCATGAACCCTTCAGGCTTCCCAGCCAATACCATCTCCTTTTAGTGTTTCGACTGGGTACGCAGCATCTCGAATGAGCATCTACCAACCTCCTTCTTTAAGAATTAGGGCTTGCGACCCACTGGCCCTAAGGGGCCACCTGCCCCATCCCTTCCCCCAAACCGGCACACCCGTGAGTGTGAGGACGATGCCCCCTTGATGCTCCAGATGCCAAGTTTTAAGGTTTCGGATTGGGTACGGGGCTTGTGTTGCTGTTCTTGTTCCTCTTGTTGTTGCTACTCTTCTTCTTGTTGTCCGTCTGTGCTCAGAGAAGAGTGTATTTACTTCGATCATCCCCACCCGACAGCTGCCTCATCTGGGAGCCAGCCTGCCATTTTCAGACAGGGAACTACGGATACCTCTCCGTGGAATTCTCTAAGTGTGGGCACTCGACGGGGACTCTTTCGGGCTTCTCTTGCGGTGGATACTTCAAGGACACTCGGCGGCACTCTCCGGGATGCTCTGGATGTGGGCACTCTCTGGCGGGCGAGGAGGCGAGGAGGTGAGTTTACTCTAACCACCACGCCGACGGCAGGGAAACTCGAACCCTCCACCCGGCACCCATACCTGTCTGCTTCGGGCGTAGCTGGCTGTGGGCGAGAGCGCCATTAGATAAGTACATAACGGGAGACAAGAGTAGATTGCTCAATAGCTCGCGGTTTGCTTCATTCTAGTCGCCAAATATCGACTGACTGGAAGATGCTGGAGGTCTGCAATTGAAACTGCTTTTTGAATAAACATCATTAATATCATTATTATTAATAATAACATTAGTATTATTGATATGATTATAAGCCAATCTTGGCATGGATAGCACTGGCACTTCAGATTGCAGGTGTAGGATCCGGGCATGGCTGCGCCAGCTTTCAAGAGGGCCTGGGCAGCCAAAACCTCGGCTGCGTTTCGAGAGGTGAGCGTCTTCACGTCACTTCTTGCAGGGAGGGTTTCGGGTTTAGGGTTTAGGGTTTAGGGTTTAGGGTTTAGGGTTTAGGGTTTAGGGTTTAGGGTTTAGGGTTTAGGGTTTAGGGTTTAGGGTTTAGGGTTTAGGGGTGTTGCTGCGTCACTCACTGGGGCTTTGTGTCCAGCTGCCCGGCCATTGCCCGCCGCCAAGTGCAGGGGCGTCTCCCCTCCATCCCCCGTGCCTGACATACGCATGGCATGCGACCCAAGAACCCAAAGAGGTGAACAGAACTTACCCAAAGAGCCCAATACCCCTTAAGTAAGGAATACTCCTTAAATCATAATAAGGATCCCTGTGTAATTTAAGCTATATTCCTTAATCAAGGGGTATTGGGCTCTCTGGGTACTGCACTTGCACACGTGTGATGAGAGCAGCCAAGTGTCAGGAAGGCAGCTCTGTCCCCAGACCTCGCACGCGCGCCCAATCTCTAATCATCTCTGATACATCTTTGGCAGAGTTTCTGAAACCCCTAAACCCTAAACCCCAAACCCTAAACCCTAAACCCCAAACCCTAAACCCTAAACCCTAAACCCTAAACCCTAAACCCTAAACCCTAAACCCTAAACCCTAAACCCTAAACCGTATCACCAAGGGCCAAAGACGCCAAGGAACTGAGGGAGAGCTGATCGAGATCGCCGGCCCTGAAAGCCGAACCAGCATGTCAACCATGAGAGCCCTAGAAAGTGTTAGGGTTTAGGGTTTAGGGTCTAGGGTTTAGGGTTTAGGGTTTAGGGTTTAGGGTTTAGGGTTTAGGGTTTAGGGTTTAGGGTTTAGGGTTTAGGGTTTAGGGCTTAGGGTTTAGGGTTTAGGGTCTAGGGTTTAGGGTTTAGGGTTTAGGGTGTGAAAACAAGAAGAAGCTCAAATAACCCCAACAGTGCGTAGATAGAAACAGAAACAAGAAACTGATGCCGTGCGGGACAGGCTTTCATTCTTACATTCACAGGTGCTCAGGCACGGGAGACAGCAGTCTCAAGGTTTCGGGAGGAAGGCCCCAGTCTGGAGGTTGCTGGAGCTGGCAATGTTGTTGTCATTGTTATTCAGATGTTGTGGCTTTAAGCCTGTCTCAGGTGTCGAGGGCAGAGGACTGTGCAGGCAAAGCAGACCAGGCAGGGAGAGATGCGCCGAATTCGGTTCCTCCCTAAACCCTAAACCCTAAACCCTAAACCCTAAACCCTAAACCCTAAACCCTAAACCCTAAACCCTAAACCCTAAACCCTAAACCCTAAACCCTAAACCCTAAACCCTAAACCCTAAACCCTAAACCCTAAACCCTAAAACCTAACCCTAAACCCTAAACCCTAAACCCTAAACCCTAAACCCTAAACCCTAACCCTAAACCCTAAACCCTAAACCCTAAACCCTAAACCCTAAACCCTAAACCCTAAACCCTAAACCCTCCTAAGTGCGTGACAGCCTCGCGGCGGCCAGGATGGCCTGGCTGCAGCGCTCGCACTTGCTGAGCACGCGGAGGGCCACTGCCTCGCGGCTGCTAACGCGTTGAGAACCCTAAACCCTAAACCCTAAACCCTCAACCACCATGCCAGCTGTGTGAACTCATACGGCGAATTCGGGTGGAGCCTGGAGAGCACCTTTGGCTTCTCGCACAGTGGCCAATGGCCAATTTCCAGCGCTCTGCAGCGTTGAGGACAGGCACTTGAAAATAAACCCTAAACCCTAAACCCTAATCCGAGAGAGCCAGGCCTGCAGAAGGTACCAGCGCTTCATGGGCGGAACATTTAGATTCAAGATTGTACTGGTAGAGACATTCATGAACTGTAGGATGTTTCAGGTTCCTGCATGGGTCTCGTCGGGCGAGGCGGCACTACTAAGATGTTGAAGCACGAGCAGCCTTCGAGTCAGGACATGCAGCGCACGCTCTTGGCTCTGAGGTAGCTGGGTCGACGTGTCTGAATGCCAAGCTGCAGTCTGTCAAGCCCGGCTTCGGGACGAGCAAACGGCTTGTTGCATGAAGTGACAGGTGGATATCAAGGCAGTAGGCTACGTGAATGACTCCAAGGACAGCACCTGGAACATCTATGTTCACATGTTGGCTTGGGTTCCGAACGCCGAGTCGAACTGTTCACAGGAGCCGGGTACCTCTGACACTGTCAGTTTTTGGGGGCTTCGAGGTGCGGAAAGGCCTGAGGAAGTTTGGGCATTCGGGCTGCGGGAAGCTTTGATAGGCTCTGGGCTCGGGCTTGCAACCTGCAAGGCCCCGGCGCAAATGTGGTGGGCCCTGGGGTTGCACAGCTGCCCTGCACCCTTGGAAAGCACGAGTTGAAGCAAGTCTTTGAGCGGCAGGGAAGTCAATAAATATCTAAACCCTAAACCCTAAACCCTAAACCCCAAACCGAATTTGCTGCACCCAACGTTCCGCCGAAACAGCTGAGGTCAGGGCTCAAACTTGGTGTTGCGAGAGTTGTAGAACTCCTTCGCAGGAGGCAAGAATGCGGCTGATGCACGCCACACTTGTTCTGAGCAATCTGATCCGCAAGAGCTCTAGGGTTTAGGGTTTAGGGTTTAGGGTTTAGGATTTAGGGTTTAGGGTTTAGGGTTTAGGGTTTAGGGTTTAGGGTTTAGGGTTTAGGGTTTAGGGTTTGGGGTTTAGGGTTTAGGGTACCCTAAACCCTTGAAACCCTAAACCTAGTTCCATGGGCTTAAAGTCCATGCCTCGCACTCATCCACTGCCGTGATCTCGTAATGCGTGCTCCCTGGCCAGTAGGGTTTAGGGTTTAGGGTTTAGGGTTTAGGGTTTAAGGTTTAGGGTTTAGGGTTTAGGGTTTAGGGTATAGGGTTTAGGGTTTAGGGTTTAGGGTTTGGAGTTGCAGCATAGCCGTAGCTCAGCCGGCGCCTCCTTCGCCGTCCGCGTCGTAGAACTTGATGACAAGGTCTTCGGGCGTCTGAAGCGCGGCCCAAGTTAAGTGCTAACGCAGTGACGCAGCTCGAAGCGTCGCAAAGTAGCATCGGCACTAAAACATCTTTCCCACTCTTGACCAGCATTACGAAGATCTGAGATTGTCGGAGCGGCCCTCTACTTTTTGTTACAAGTATGCACAGGTTGACGGGATAAGCTCGTACTTAAGAGATCTCCTCCTGAATGAGGCAACGGAGTGATACAGGGATTCAGTGTTGACACCCCTCTCGAATGCGCACTACATAGGTCGAGCATTACGTCTTAGTGAGCAACCCCTCTTCGATGGGAAAGCCTCAGCTTGTCGTCATGCATGTTTGGAAACCTGAAAGACTTGTGAGTGTGGCAAGCACCCCTCATGCATATTCTTATACGACTTCGCCACTTCCCCCGTCGTTGGTTCGGGCCAACGCGTTTTGTTCTCCCCCGAAAGATTTTCACAGTCGTGGCTGATTACTTTGTCCGCGAGGCCCTCCTCAGCCAGGGCTAAGCAAAAGGAAAAACCCGGACTCACTCGTTCTTTTAAGGAAAACCTCCATCGCCCATCGACTTTTAGGAAGCCTCAATGTTCTTCACGGGAAATCACAATTTCATTCCCACTTTATGTCAACTAGCCCCTCTATATCTGACGAGGAAACCCTCGATTTCCTTCACCTTCGAATCGGAAAGCCTCTGATCTTCCTCCATGGTTCGCCCTGGCCCTGAAAACCTCTACCTCGTTGCTCGTAATCGGAAAGGCTCTATGCTGCTCGACTTCAAAGTCGCTATTTCCTCTGGGCGTCGTTTGGTGACACCTCTGCTTCCTTCAAAACAAAAGAGGCTACTTCTCGTAGACTTGCGTGCGGGAAATTATGTTGGACCTGGTTTGTTGTTCTTATGCGGGATATTTTTTCTGAGGGGCATTGGGGGAGGGGGGGGTGAGAGGGAGGAGGGACCCCTTCAAAATCCGTTCTTCTCCCCTATGTTTCAATAGCAAACCTCATAGGTAACCTACACAAAGTCCAAGGTTGCACGGCTTCATTGACCTTTAGTCCTTTTCTTTTATGTATGAAATGGCGAGCCTCTGGTTCCTCTATGGTGTACCCTGCACCTCTATGTCTTCTGTGAAGCCCCCTGCTTCCTCCCTTTGAGCATAGAAAACTTGTGCTTCTTTGATTTAAGAAGAAACCCTCTTTTGCATCTATATTCACATGGCAAAGCTCTATCTTCTCTATAGTTGCCGAGGAAGAGCTGTTCTTCGTTGATCTACTAATTCGAGACCTCCGTTCCCTCTATAGTTGACTCGGGTTCTCTAAACTCTGGCAGTCTTCTGCGTCTAGTTTGCATGTTTCATCGTTGTTGATCTCGCAGTCAAAACCTCAATTCCTCTATGGGTGAATGGTAAGAGGTAAACATTTATTGCCTTCATCCGTTTGTTGGATGAAAAATAGCTCCGTGTTTTCCACAGTCCAATCAAAAGCTTTCCTACTCTATGCCAGACTTTCTTCAAAAAAGCCCTATGCTCTCCAGACACACAAACACATGTGCTTCTCTGTGTTTTTTCGATGCGGGAACCAAACCCTGGCCCGCTGGAGTCGAGGTTTGCCTGCGGATAACGGGGTGGGGGGGGGGGGACAATTGCAAACACAACGCTCGCAAGACACCTCTTGATGGAGTCATATTCTCTAAAGTCTAAAGCAAGCTCGCACAGCTTCAAGATGCCAGGGGCTGTGGTGCGGGGGGCGGGTGGGTACCAGCCGCTCCGGACAGTGCTCAAACCCACCCGAAAACACAGGACTCATTCGTGTGTTTTTTGAAGCAAGCTCACAGGACTCATTCGTGTGTTTTTTGAAGCAAGCTACTTGCACGGCTTTAAAAAAGCTGCCGAGTTGGAGAGGGGGGCTGCGACCCCCCCCCCCCCCCCCCCGAATGCACACAACGCTAACCTCTTGGTCCCCTTGCAAAATTGCAAAAGACTGGCAAGTGTTTGAAGCACTTCCTCTGGACCCTGAACCCCAAACTCTCTGTCTGAAAAGTTGCTTAGATTTAGATGTTCTGCTTTTTCATATCGAATATCAAGATGTTCTATTCTGTATGCATATGTTGTATTGGGATTTCCCGGTGTTGCAATAGACGCTTTGTGGCTTTCATTGGTGTTGTCACCTTCTATTGTTCCGATCGACCGACGGACGGACGTTACATGGTCCCTTAGTATGGGCCCTTAAAAGGGTAACCCTCATATACCCCTTAGAAGAGAGACGCCTAGCAAATTCCTTTGGCCAGGCATGGGAAAAAGAAACGTGGGCCCATTTTGTTCTAGAGTGGACGTCAAATGTGGCCGAAGACGCGCCCCAAAAACGCAACGTCGCATTCTGGGCCTGCAAGCGCAACAAACCAGATCGTAAACATATCCATCTTGCTTGAAACACGCGTGGTTTGAACACGTGCATGGTGCGCATGAAACCATTGCTCCACGCCACTCCCAACCCCACACTACACGCACACTAGACGCCCAAGCTTGTGCTACCGTAAAGAAGAAGGGGAAACTTTATGCACCATTTCGACGAACCAGGATCCTATGAAAGTCCAGCGAAGCTTGTCCTCCCAGAACTCTGCAGACGATTAGCCACGCCGTGAACTACGATCTGCTTCAGATCCCAATGTTACCCTGAATATATATATATATATATATATATATATTCATATTTTTTCGGGGTTCTTAAGCAAGTAGCAGCGAGCTCTCCGTACAACATTGGGATGACCAAACATGGGCGCCGGCCATGGGATCACTGGTGACCGTGTCCACCAGCTCGAAATCCAGCACGACTTCGGAGTTGCGCCTTGGGATCAGAGCGGGATGCTACCGGGTTACAATTATCCCACAGAGCCCAATACCCCCTAACTAAGGAAGATAGCGCAAATCATAAAGGGGCCCTTATTATGATCTAAGGAATACTCCTTCATATTCCTTACTCAAGGGGAATTGGGCAGAAGCTCCGATGACAAAGGGAGGGGCTCCACGAAGATGTTGCCGAAGTTCCCTTGCAAGCCGTTGAAGTTCGAGCCCTGCGGAAGGTAGGCAACTCGCAGACCTTCGTTTCTCCTTGCTCTTCAGATGTCGCAAAACTGGCCTGCGCTGGGTTGTAGTTGCTCTCCTCGTTGACTGTCACCCTCAGGTCCACGGTCTGCGAGTTATCCTCGAGTCGCGGATGTGGAAGGGAGGCAAAAATCACTGGACGAAGTGCCGTGTTCCACAGAGGGCACTCTGGGGCGCCATTTCCAAACTAGCATCGGGACGCTTCTCTTGGAACCGGGCATCGCTCTCAGTGGAGCAACTCAAGGTCGGACACATCACCGGAACATCCTATACAGTACTGGTATATAGCATACAATATAATACAATTATATATATATATATATATATATATACTATATTGTATATATGATATGATATGATATGATATGACATGACATGATAAGATACGATACGATATGATAGATATGATATGATATGGTATGATGATATGATATGATATGACATGACATCATATGACATGATAGGACATGATGTGATATAATATGATTTAATATGACATGATATGACATGGTGTGATATAATATGATATAATATGATATAATATGATATATATGATATATAATATGATATAATATGATATAATATGATATAATATGATATAATATGATATAATATGATATAATATGATATAATATGATATAATATGATATAATATGATATAATATGATATAATATGATATAATATGATATAATATGATATAATATGATATAATATGATATAATATGATATAATATGACATCATATGACATCATATGATATCATATGATGTGATATGATATGATATGATATGATATGGTAGTATAGTTGTTGTAGTTTCTTGTGTGTTGATTTGTTGAAAAGTTCACTCAGGATGCCCCCGAGCGTCTGCTGCAGCGCCCTTGTATCGAAGAGACCTCTCGGCCTGGCACATTTGCATAACTTGACGTGGCTGCTACAGGGAGGTGGTTTAGGGTTTAGGGTTAAGGGTTTAGGGTTTAGGGTTTAGGGTTTAGGGTTTAGGGTTTAGGGTTTAGGGTTTAGGGTTTAGGGTTTAGGGTTTAGGGTTTAGGGTTTAGGGTTTAGGGTTTAGGGTTTAGGGTTTAGGGTTTAGGGTTTAGGGTTCAGGACTACATCTTCTACAAAGGGATGACGCCCAAGCCTGGAAGTCCGGCCCTTTGCCGTTCAGGTTGTTTGAAGCCAGGCTCTGCAGATTCAGGTACAGGTGTGGGCCTGCCGCGGTCAACTGCACCCAAAGAGCGCAAGACCCCTGAATTAAGGAATACTCCTTACATCATAATAAGGATCCCTTTACAATTTAGGCTATATTCCTTAATTAAGGAATATTCCTTAAAATCATAATAAGGATCCCTTGATAATTCAAGCCATATTCCCTAGGAAAGAGCTACTGGGCTCTCTGGGTATACAAGTGTCAGCAGCTTGTACTGTCAAGCTCGTCTAAGGCTTTGACTGTCCCAGTTGACCAAACTTCTGGAGATTCCAAACCTGAAGCGAAATGAAGCAGCCACAAGAGGAAGCAATGAAGCAACTAGGGTTTAGGGTTTAGGGTTTAGGGTTTAGGGTTTAGGGTTTAGGGTTTAGGGTTTAGGGTTTAGGGTTTAGGGTTTAGGGTTTAGGGTTTAGGGTTTAGGGTTTAGGGTTTAGGGTTTAGGGTTTAGGGTTTAGGGTTTAGGGTTTAGGGTTTAGGGTTTAGGGTTTAGGGCTCAAAAGCTTGACAAGTATTGATACGGCGGATACGGGACAGGGATTCTGTCCATTCTGCTCCCCGCTCAGTGGCAGGCGCGCAAGGGAACGCCTCCTCCAAGGCACCAATGCAGTACTTGCCTGCCTGCAACAACGCCACGCACTGACGCTGCGACCACTTCTGAAACTTTCGAACTTGCAAGCTCCGCCGAAGAGAACACCCAAATTGAGGACTGAGGGCCAAGCGCCATAACCATGTTGCAGGACTTTGCGGTTCCTTCTCTTGACTCCTGAGATGGCCGGGATATGCCGAGATGAGTCAAGTCGGAAGAGTCTACCATGTTGCTTAAGAATCCCAAAATAATATCTAAAAACACTACTAATCCCTATATTGCCCTTAATAAGGAAAAGAATATTTTGCATTTTTCGGGGTTCTTCTTAAGCAACTAGTAGGAGGTGGAAAGCGATGCAAACGGCTGCTCCGCAGACTCCGCAGCATCTCAGCAGCTGGCCGTGGCATGAGGCACTGCAGTCGGACCACTCCGTCCACTGCGAGAGTATGCAGTCCTGCATAGGGTTTAGGGTTTAGGGTTTAGGGCTTAGGGTTTAGGGTTTAGGGTTTAGGGTTTGGGGTTTAGGGTTTAGGGTTTAGGGTTTAGGGTTTAGGGTTTAGGGTTTAGGGTTTAGGATTTAGGGTGCTTTAGGGTTTAGCTGTCGGTTGCATGCGTGTCCTGGGTGTCTTTGCAGGGCACACCCTCGTTGCAGGGTTCTTAGCGGGCACGGGCGCTTTGAGCGCCACAGTGTCAGCCACACTCCAACCAACGGTAGCAGGGACATCGGCTCTACTGCTTATGCCTATATTAATCGTATTCTTATTCTTATTCTTATTTGTCTTATTACTTTAATTAATAGTATGAATAACAAGTATATTAATATCAGCAAGTAACACTCACTCTCTTGAGTGCTCGACGCTCTTCGTGGGAGTCGCCATCTGGCATCCTGCCACACTCGGTAGCCTCATCGCGACGGCATACCCCTGCATACCCCGCCCAACCATGACATGCACTTTGAGAGGCGTTGCCCTCATTACGCTGAAGCTTTTCATGGCACCGTAAGAATACAACATATGGCAACATTGCTGGAGAGGCGCGATTCTGAACCTGTAGATCCCGATAATTAGATTCTTGTTCTTCCGTGGGGTCACTGGCAAACCCATTGGGTGGTCGGCCAACGGTGGTACTAGAACACAACTCTTGACACACCAGTCGCCTCAGCTTTCGTGTGCAAACCCTGAACCCTAAACCCCAAGCCGTAAACCCTAAACCCTAAAGCCTAAACCCTCAACCTTAAACTCCCAGCGCTGCCTTCCGAAGCATGTGGCGGCCTCGCGCGCGGACTCCGCCCTCACAGGAGGTCGAGCATGCCTGGGCACTGTCCAGTCCACACGACACACGAGGGTTTAGGGTTTAGGGTTTAGGGTTTAGGGTTTAGGGTTTAGGGTTTAGGGTTTAGGGTTTAGGGTTTAGGGTTTAGGGTTTAGGGTTTAGGGTTTAGGGTTTAGGGTTAGGGTTGTTTGCACGTCTTTGTGTTCGTAGCTCTCTCTTCAGGGTTCGGTAGAGCAAGATGCCGAAGATTCTCGAAGACCGTCAGTAGCTCTGAGTATGTGGTAGCCCCATGGATACAGTATTGGTTGGGTTTTGGGGGATTTAGGGGATTTGGGCTTGAAGCGCTCAATCCATGAAACCCTAAACCCTAAACCCTAAACCCTAAACCCTAAACCCTAAACCCTAAACCCTGAACCCTGAACCCTGAAGCGCTCAATCCATGCTTCTGTGAGGGTTTGGGCTCAAGCTTGGCTTGGGCATGTCATGCCCTGCTCCCAGGCCTCCCAGTCCCTCCACTCTGCCCAGAGGCCATCCACGCAAATCCTCGGCCGGCCCAAACATTGCAACATGTTGAGGCAGTTGTGAGGCAGTTGCATGTGGAGCCCTAAACCCTAAACCCTAAACCCTAAACCCTAAACCCTGATCGCGCATTGGGATTCTAGACCCTAAAGAACTTTACGTCGTCAGCTGCATGATCAGTCCAGCCAGTCTTGGGCCTGGCCACCGAGACCATCACTTTAGGGTTTAGGGTTCAGGGTTCAGGGTTCAGGGTTCAGGGTTTAGGGTTTAGGGATAAGGGTTTAGGGTTAGGGTTTAGGGTTTAGGGTTTACTGTAGGGTTTAACAACTCTGTGCACCTTTCTAGTGCAGGCCACTGGCCAGGGTAGCCAACTTTCACTTTAGGGTTTGGGGTTTGGGGTTTGGGGTTTGGGGTTTGGGGTTTGGGGTTGGGGGTTTGGGGTTTGGGGTTTGGGGTTCGGGGTTCGGGGTTTAGGGGCTGATCCACAAGTTACACATGAACATGACGTGTGACGAGCGCAACAACTGAGGCAAAGAGACCTGGCGTCTCAGATCCCGAGCTCCCAACTCTCCTTCTGGGCATGGCTCGGTGTTGCAGGGCTCCACCCAAGCCTCAAGCATGTAAGATAGCTTGGGCACTCCGAAAAACTTCAGAGCCGCGAGATTGATCCCAATTTGAGATTACTGTTTTCGCGCTGTTTTCTGTTGTCGCATTGGTATGCCTTGCACCTGCACTTGCGCTTCTCTACGAGGTCTTTAGCGCTCTTATCTCAAGGTCTGAGTCTTAGAATCTTAGTTAGATATTGAAAGCTGCATGGCCTGTGAACATGTATTCACCTGCTCAAGAGCCCAACACCCCTTAACTAAGGAGTATTCCTTAAATCATGATAAGGATCCCTTTGTCATTTAAGCTATATTCCTTAATTAAGGGGTATTGGGCTCTCTGGGTGCTCATGTTTGCTCGAAACCGAGTTGTCATCTCTACCAGAGGCGCATGTTGACGTCTCAACCCGCCTTGTCCAGCGGCTTGCATGGCTCGCAGCCAGGAGACGGCCACCTGTCCAGCCATCTTGGGGCAATATGTGGGAAGCTTCATGGGTTTTGGGTTTAGACTAAAGTTTGGGGTTTAGGGTTTAGGGTTGGGTGGTGGGTTTTAGGGTTTTGGATTTTCGTTTTTTGCTTTGTGCGAGTCGGTCAATGATGCCGGCTGCACGCGGAGATGTTGCGCAATCGGTGACGTTGACCTCATCAACTTGACCGCATCATAACAAGGATCTCGTAAAGGTCTCTTGGGGGTGGGCGTCTCGGCTGTCGCATCTGAGCCGTGGACCTCCACCGCAGTGCCGCGTGCACTCGCTCCACTGCTTCCACTCGCCCCAGACCTGAGAGCATCCATAGAAGCACTCTTTGTAGGAATATGCCGAAAGATCAGTAAACAAGTCTGGCCAGTTCGGGAAACTAGAAAGAAGGACCGGGCAACACCAGAACACTCAAACACACATGAAGACTTGCGGGCACTTCGCGGGGTACCAAACACAACAACAACCGGCGCAGGTACCGGACAAAAAGGTGCGATGACATGTGGGCGAACTTGGAAGGCATCGAGCACCGGGCAAATTGACAGATTGGGGTCTAGGGTTTAGGGTTTAGGGTTTAGGGTTCAGGGTTTAAGGTTTAGGGTTTAGGGTTTAGGGTTTAGGGTTTAGGGTCATGAATAACGCATGCCGCATGATGCCTAAACAAGGAAAACGCCTCCAAGCGCCTCCAAAAGCACAGCAGAGGTACCGCATACACAACGTAGAAGGGCAAAAGCGCACAAACCACAAACACACATCTGTGATGTTTCTTGCTCTTCCCCGGCATGCTCTTCCGTGGAATGCCCACCACAAATGAATTTGTCTCGGCTCAATGGAGTGCCCATCAACAGGCTTCTTCGTCTCAGAGTGGAGAGGGGCGAACAAACATTTTCACGCAAGCGGCTGAACAATTTGCTGCTGCTGCTGCTGCTGCTGCTGCTGCTGCTGCTGCCGCCGCCGCCGCCGCCGCCGCCGCTGCCGCCGCTGCCGCCGCTGCCGCCGCTGCTGCCGCTGCCGCCGCTGCCGCCGCCGCGGCCGCTGCCGCCGCTGCCGCTGCCGCTGCCGCTGCCGCTGCCGCTGCCGCTGCCGCTGCCGCTGCCGCTGCCGCTGCCGCTGCCGCTGCCGCTGCCGCTGCTGCTGCTGCTGCTGCTGCTGCTGCTGCTGCTGCTGCTGCTGCTGCTGCTGCTGCTGCTGCTGCTGCTGCTGCTGCTGCTGCTGCTGCTGTCGTCTCAAAGCTCTTCCTCTGTTATCTACACGTACGGCCGTTTGTGGGTACTGTCATGCAATGCGTATACAACGGTCGCACAAAGGGTTGACATGTGCTTCCAGACCAGGCAGCTTGATGAAAACAACATCCCCCCCTTCTTTCAAGTCGACAGATGGGAGATACTCTAAACCCTTTGCAGAAGTGGCTATGAAAACTTGGTACACTCGCGCCTGAATATGCTACCTCTGTTCTGAATCACCTCTGTTCTGAATCAAACCTGCTAGCTGCTTTGTTCCGGTTACTCCTGCATACATTTCACAAGACATAGCCTTTGAACACCGGTCGGGCGCTCCAGAGAACACGAGGTCCCATCTGAGTCTGTCGCACAGGGATCACAGCCTCCGCAGTGTTCGAGCTTGCACGGCTGGACCTGAAACCAACGAGCACTTCAGAGGACAGGAGACCCTAAACCCTGTACCCTAAACCCTAAACCCTAAACCCTAAACCCCAAGACGAAGCTGTAGTCGAGCGCCTCGGTGAGGTTGCCGACGCATCCCGTGCCGCAATGGCTAAGCCTCCGCGGGCTCTTGAGGCGCATCAAAGGCACATGATCCCAGAGAGCCCAATACCCCTTAACTAGGGAAGAAAGCTTAAGTTACAAAGGGAAGGGAATATTCCTTAATTAAGGAATAGAGCTTAAAATACAAAGGGATCCTCATTATGACTTAAGGAATATACCTTAATTAAGGGGTATTGGGCTCTTTGGGGAGAGCAAGGGCAACGGGGCGGGGCATCGCAGTTGGATGGCCAATGCATCGTTAGCATCATGCATCAGAAGGCGCCTGCTGGTGATTGTTCGAGATCTCTCCTGACCGGTTGGTTGCTTGCGTGTGCCGGCTTGGAAAACTGAGCTAGCCACAAAGCAGACTTGCTTTCCTGTGTCAGAACTACGAATCGGAAACAAGAACCGGTCAATCGGGGGGCAAAACCACTTTCCTGATAGCCAGGTCCGCAAGTTGCACTGCAAGGTGACCACCTTGATAGAATTCATAGCGCAAGCTAAAGCACCATGCATGCGCACGCATCCTCATGCAGGGGAGGCACAGCAACCCATGGTTCATGCAAGAAACGCAACCGGACCTTGGAGGACCTGTGGATAGCTGGCGACTCTAGACTCTAACCAGATGGCCACTACATCGGCATCCGAGGCTTCTGAGGCTTCTGAGGCTTCTGAGGCTGAAACACCGTCCAGATGCTGACCTTGCAGTTGACGTTGCTGTTCGAACATGGCCTTACAGGGAGAGTAGTCGGATTCTGCACGCTGCAAGATGCTTGGCGGCTCTCCACAAGGCAACCAGGGCAGAGGCTCACGGTTGCATCCGGCTGTTTCGATCAAGCCAGGTTTGCACGGCCTGAAGAAGCATTGGCACTTCATGCACACCTTCTTGCACAGTCCTGCTACACCGGATCAGACGCGGCAAGAGGCACTCTTGTGATCTCTTCTCGTTCCAAGCTTGGGCTCCAGCTTCCCTCTGTGTTTTGGATTCACCTCGACCTGCTTGACACGACGAACAAAGACTTCGAGCTGCAAGTCATGGGTTTAGGGTTTAGGGTTTAGGGTTTAGGGTTTAGGGTTTAGGGTTTAGGGTTTAGGGTTTAGGGTTTAGGGTTTAGGGTTTAGGGTTTAGGGTTTAGGGTTTCGGGTTTACTTTAAACCGCTGTGGTGGCAAGGAATAGCCAACGCCGCCAAACACGCTGGCAGACCTGTCGCTGTCGCTGCTTCTGGCCCCCGTCACAGGACTTGTCGCCTCGCTGCGCAGCGTTCAAAAAACTCACAGTCAGCGGCAGCTGAAAGTCGTTCACACAAGTAGTGTGCCTCATGTGCTTCGTCTCCAGAAAACAAGCTGCAAGGTCACAAGAGTTCAGTGGACAGCTTGATGCAGACTCAACCCACAACGGATCACAACGGGGACTGCCGACAGGGCCAGAGGCGCAGGCAACTGTCCCACTCCGTCCACGGGCTGAGGACGCAGTTCACAGCGACCGTGCAGGGCTTGATCTGAAAGCAAGTCACAAGGAAGCAAAGCCGACACAACTTAAACAGCTCTTCCCTAAAACCCTAAGCCCTAAGCCCTAAACCCTAAACCCTAAGCCCTAAACACTAAGCCCTAAACCCTGAACCCTCCAGACCTCCTTCAAGTTGCCATGGCATGCTTTGCCGTCCTGCACACAGTGCAAGTCTGGACTAAGCTGCAACCCATATGGGGGTTTCCAGAAACAGGGGGTAACCTTTTGGAGGGCTCCTTTAAAAAGGACTCTACTCTTTTTGGGCTATAGTACGGGTACCCCCCATTTGAATACTCATATCAGAGGCCTGTCAGATCTATCAACACCGAATCCGCAGTGTCCTTTGCCGGCTCCTCTGCAATGATGCGGTACCGCTCCTGCTGCAGTCAACAGAACATCACCGTTTCCAGCCGAATGCTCTGAACTCCCACAAGCTGCAGCAGGCAGAGACAGCAAGAGAAAACGTGACAGGGGTGGAGCATGAAAAACTTAATCAGCATCCAAAGCCTCCAACTCGACCTCCAATCATCATAAATTCCAAGCATTTCTGATCGTGAGAACTCAGGCAGACAGCATGTCATTAGATTTTTCGGGTTCTGGATATCTACAAACAACTGTAATGCACTGCTGCCTAAGCAGCACAAAGTGAATCCGGAGATGCAGGTACGTAACTCTGGCGTCCCAGAGATATATCACCACCTTGCAGTATGGCTCCACCGCTCTTCACGCAATACATGCGAGGTTATCCGGTCTTTTTCATTTCCCATATTCCGTCCCTCCTTCCTTCCTGTATTCTTCCTTCTCTGTCTCTCGTTGTTGGTTTCTTTCTTGATTTCCTTGCTTACATCTCTTTCTTCTTCTGCACCCTTTAGAGCTCTGCCCCAAGGGACGAGAGACGGATCTCTTCTGCCAGTTCTTCTCTTCAGGGCTTGAAGGTTAGGCGTGACCCCTTGCCATGGGCCCGTGCATGCCCACGTTCGCAGTCTGCCAGCTGTCTTTTCTTTCTTGCTTAGGGTCCGACGGCCTCACGCATGTGTGCGCCCTGGCTTCTGGTGACTCGAATGGGGACTTTAACCAAGTGTGAGGCCAGCTCACACTCTCTCTTCTCCTTCTCCTTCTTCTTCTTCTTCTTCTTCTTTTTCTTCTTCTTCTTCTTCTTCTACTACCGGGCTTGGAAAGGTTCCCCTGACCCCCCCGCGCGCTTGCGTCGCGCCCTTGTGGTCGCGGAGTCGGCGTGATACCTCTCTCTCTCGGTGTGTGTCTCTCTCTCGCTCCCTCTCTCGCTCTCTCGCTCTGTCTTTCCAGCTTGTACTTTGGATTTGCTAGCCCTGTAAGCTTGCTGTTGATGCTTATGAAACTTGATTTGATGCCTCTCTCGTCAGATAAGGTGCTGTGCCAAACACTCGGAACGCGGTCTGTCCCGCTGATCGTGGGAATCGCAGTGGCTCCACCTGGAATTGTGGGACATGCCGTTCCAAGAAGTCGCAGGTCAGGTGCTGCCACAAACATCGCTTTAAATGGGATCGCGGGCACCCATGTCGATCATACCTGGAAACTTCGTGCCTCAAACACGAAAAAATGCCCGAAAGGTGTTGAGAAAGACGATAACTCTTGAGGTCCGGGGCACTTGGCTCAAAGATGGAATAAGCCCAAGAACTTCCTTTTCAGTCTCAGATGAATCCCAAGAGATCCTAAGCTGCGCATCTAGCGCATCTACTAATTGCTTAAGAACCCAGAAAAATATTCTTCCTCATTAAGGTCAATATAGGGATGATGATTTTTAATTCTTTTGGGGTTCTTAAGCAAACAGTAGTCATCTAGCTCATCTACCTCGCAGTTTCCCTGCAACCCGAACTTCTCACAAGGCCCATGCTGAGTGGTCTCAGACATGCCGGCAGTGCTCACTCCATGCAGAGAGCTCGCAGTCCCTAGCTGCATGCTCCGCACCACCTGAAACATTGTTCTAGGTTTTAAAACATCGACCCATATTTTTTGGGGGGGTAAGATATCGAGAGTGTGGAATGTTCGACCGGTGGCTGGAAGAGTTAAGCAAACTTCGACCTCGATTGAGGGTTGGAAAGTTGAGGTTCAGGTTCTTTCGGCAACAGGTTTTGGGGGGATGACAAGAATTCGGGCTTCACGTTCCGTGAACCATGCAAGCGGGTTCTTCAGTGGGATCTGAGTTTATAGACCTATGGATGTTGCTTCTGCCCACTAGCCTTTCCTGTATGGGATCTCTTCAGGTGGTGGACCACGGCGCATGTGCTTTCCTGGATAGCCGAGTTAGCGTAATGCGCGACACGCAAGGCACCTACAGGCTTGGCCGCGTGCCCTCAACCTCAGCCTACACCTATGGCTGGCTGGTTCTTAGTAGGGAATGAGGGAATGAGTACCCCATATAATCCCTTTAAGGTTATTTATAGGGCCCGAATTCCCTCATTCCCTACTAAGAACCACATATGGGGGGGTTTCCTAAATTCGGGTCCCTTTTTGGGTACCCATTTTCAGGCGGCACCCTTTAACAAGGGATCCCAAAAAAGGGACCCTAATCGAGAGAACTACCCATATGGGGGTTGATCTAAAGGTCCTTCTTGGGAAATTAGTTAGGGTTCCTTTTGGTTTATGAGGGACATGTGGGGTAATTTTGGGGAACAGTTATTTCGATCAACTCCCACATCTACCCCCGCCGCTTGGGATGTTCCCCTTCTACGAACAGTCCTTATCGGAATTTCTAGTACCCCCTCTTATCATCCTACTAAGGACTGGATAGTATGACATCCTAACAGTCCTTATAGGGATTTCTAGTACCCCCTCTTATCATCCTACAAAGGACGGATAGTATGAGGGGAGGACGTCCCACCCTGAACTCGCGGAGACAGGGCCCGGGCAGCGATGCCTGTTGCATGGGATGAGCTCCTCCAGGCTGCCCTTCGCGCGAGCGGGGTTTAGGGTTTGGGGTTTAGGGTTAGGGTTTAGGGTTTAGGGTTTAGGGTTTAGGGTTTAGGGTTTAGGGTTTAGGGTTTAGGGTTTAGGGTTTAGGGTTTAGGGTTTAGGGTTTAGGGTTTAGGGTTTAGGGTTTAGGGTTTAGGGTTTAGGGTTTAGGGTTTAGGGTTTAGGGTTTAGGGTTTAGGGTTTAGGGTTTAGGGTTTAGGGTTTAGGGTTTAGGGTTTAGGGTTTAGGGTTTAGGGTTTAGGGTTTAGGGTTTAGGGTTTAGGGTTTAGGGTTTAGGGTTTAGGGTTTAGGGTTTAGGCCTCATGAGAACACTCCAAGTGCTTGGGCACATGTGGGCATTTCCCGAAATAGGGGTACCCCTTTCACAGCCCACATAGAATCGAACCCCCTTAAAGGCACCCCAAACGGGTACTTGGGAAACCCCCACATGGGCAAATGAGATGCAGAGGGTGCTGTCGGTCGCCAGTGGCTTTGCAATCTGCCTGTTGGCCTGAAACTCCATTACTCCTACCGCCCTAAACCCTAAACTGTAAAACCCTAAACCCTAAACCCCAAACCCTGAACCCTAAACCTGAACCTCCAATGCTATGACTATCTTACCCAAACACGGTGCGGCGTCGAGGGCGCTTGTGGTGCCCTGACATGGTGAGACGGCTCCTGCTTGTTCAAGGCGTACTACTGACATGTTGCGAAGCACGCACAAGGCCTCGCAAGGCTTGCCGCCCCCTGCAGGTGGGGACACGATCCCACGACTCCTGGCTGCATAACATGGCTGTGCATGGCAGCGTGCACATACTTCATTGCCTTTCTGCATCTCATGCCCTGCAAAAACACTGGCCATCTGCCCTTCATGCTGCACGCATGCACTCTAGTGACACAGGGCAGCATGCAACGTGCGTCTTCACGCCAAAAACCACAGAAGTGCGCGCGCGCGCACATGCTTGAACCTTGCCTATGCTTCAAGCCACCGTTGCAAAGTGCAGTACACCTCGCAGGACAAGAGGCAGCCGCAGGTGGTAGATCGCAGTGCTAGAACCATTCGATTAATATCATTCATATTATTCATACTCAGAATATTATGAGTATTATGAACATTATGCATATTATGAATATTATGAATATTATACAAATACGATTAAGCGGAATTAAGCGCGCTACTCGGTCCATTCGCGCCATGAGCTGAACCTCGGCTGCTGACATTCGACACAGCCCTGCTGCATGGACCCACACCTAAAGGTGCCTCCAGATGTTGCAGAAGGCACCAAGCACCACACAGAAGGGATGCGTGCTAAGCGTCCTACTCGCAGTCTACCCTTGCAGACAAGGCCAGGTAGTCTTCACAAGGCACAATCTCCTGCGACACACTCATGCACACAAAGCGACAACGCAGGAAATGACGTGGACAGCAAAACCGTGCACACAGCACACATTTGCGGATGCCAATCCTCCAATGACAAAGGAGGAGCTGGGTAGGTGGTACCGCAAGCTTCACCTCCATTCTGGGCCTCAATTCCGCACTCATCTCCCGTTTGGCAAGACCCCAGGGCTTGGGGCAAATTAAGCTGTTTTGTAGCATTGTTGCTGCTTACACTGCCGGCAACGAGATAGAACCCAAGAGGAAACTCCGACTGCGAGGGTGAGCTGAGGCCCGTACTTGAGCAAGAATGGTTCGCGCGCGAAGCCGCTGATATCCGGTCTCCTGGTCCCGAAATGTCCCACAATAATAATCATAATAATAATAATAACAATAATAATAATGAACATTGTTGCGTGGCTTTTGGAAGGCAAAGACTCAAGCCCTAGCCTTGGTGCAGAAGCTCCAGTCATCCCAGTCTGAGATGGTGCAGTCGACCACCTCTTGCAAGAGTCCGGCGTTTAGGGTTTAGGGTTTAGGGTTTAGGGTTTAGGGTTCAGGGTTCAGGGTTCAGGGTTCAGGGATTAGGGTTTAGGGTTTAGGGTTCAGGGTTCAGGGTTTAGGGTTTAGGGTTTTGGGTTGAAGCTTGATTGCTGGCCCGTACCATTTATAGACATTGCAGCATCTGAATCTCGCCCAGCTCGCCTCAACGCAGGGAGCGCGGGGGCAGATCTTCGTCTCTGTCTGCGCGCCATCACCTCGAGTACTAGAGGTGCTTAAAACTTAACACAACAGCCTGACAACTGCAAGATGGAATTCTTTGGAGTCCATGTACCTCTTGGGACGCTTTCTCCACCCAACCGCGGGGCCGTTGACTTGACAAATCGACAATTCTGCTGACACGCAACTCATGCACGTCGGTCCTCATGAGTGGCTGCCCGCAACAACAGCCGTGTTTGAACGGCATGCGACGGCCTCTCCCCTGCTCTTAGGACCAGTCTGAGGGAAAGTTTCTGGCCAGCAGCGAGCCAAGCTCCGCGCAAGCCATATGGAGCCATACCAATGCGTATGGCCAAGTGAATTCTGAACGTGGTTTCCCCAACCCGAGCCCAGGAGACCAACGCCAAGTCGAACCTAAGCAATCTTTTACAGGTCGAGCACGCGTGCATCAACTTGCAAGAACCATGCCCACCTCCCCCTCCCTGTTTCAACCTCCCAACTCCCCACCTCCCGGCGTTAAAGCCGAAGACAAGACATGTTGAACGCTCGGGTCCGCCTGCACAAGCAAGGCCAACATGAACATGTTTATGCAAATGGATTTAGAGTCCGGCCACTGCCATTCACAGCATTTGGGCTTTGAGCCATGCTAACAGCGAGACGGGGTGGACATTACCGAGAGGGGGCTGACCAACAAACCGGGAACAGCTGGGACCGAACCCACCAAAGTCCTCACCGCACGGTGTCGAAGATGCCCAATGATGCACAACATGCTCAACCCACAACGTCTGACACTGCAGCTGAGGGTGCAGCATGGATTCCCACCACAGCTGCTCCTTCGGGCGATGACACGATGGCGGTTGCCTGGAGCAATATCGGCAATGTCCAAGTCCGCTGGGGAAAGTTCAGGAGGTTTTGGGCCAAGGGTCGGGTCTCTGAAACTTTTCTGGAGCAGCAGCAAGAGCCATGCCTCTACTTGCTGAGACAACTGTGGTAAGAAATGTTTTTCTTGTGGGTGCTTGTTGGTTGCCGGGTGCAGGGTGCAGTGCCGGGGGGGCCTGGAACGCTTTTTGCTTTCGGGTGCGAGGGCGTGCTTGTTTTGCTGCGGGGGCGGAGGCCCGGTTTTTGCCGGTGAGGGGCTATTTCCTCTACATTTCGGTACAAAGAAGAAAGACATGATGAACGACGTAAAGAAAAGAGGTGCAGAAAGAACGACGCCAAACAAGAAACTACATAATGAAGACAAACAAATCTACAGAAATAAACACATATTCAGATCAGAAGAAATAAAACTTCACAAAGAACTAAATAACGAAGTCATCAACAAAGAACCGAATAAGACAAGGAAGTACAAAAAATGTTAACAACCATGAAAGTACTAGGCAGAACACTGTTCTCGACAATCTCTGTATAACATACAATAGAACCCAAGCACGAACTTTGCCCTACAACTCTGCAACCCTGCAGAGTGCAAGTACGTCCAAAAAAACTTAAAACCACGCGTTTCACCTAGACGAGATGCGCGCTTCCAAAAAAATACGGTTTCAAGGGCGGCGGGATAGTTTTTGCGGGGACAGCATCTGTATCATCAATACTATGAAAGGAGAACACCGGTCTCTAATTCTGAACCGAAAAAACTTGTAATTGCTTTTTTTTTATGGGCAATGCTGGATGGAAACTATATCTTTCGTCTTGAGAAACCCTCCATGTTCTCTAATTCGTACTTTGCAGTCTTCTATATGCCTTCCAACGTCGAAATTCAATGGAAAAAGAAGAAATCACTGGCAGCAATGGTCCTAACTACTGGAAAGGATTCTAAAAAGTTCGAACAAAACCTGCAGAAAGAGAAGAGGAGTCAGCCACCCCAATCAAATCAATAGGAGAAAACTGAATGTCCTCCATCTTTTGATAGGAAGACATCGGCTTCCTCTACATAATAATGTATATATATATATATATATCTTAGTTGGAAATCTTAGCAGGAAAACGTTTGCCACCATCCCCTGTAATTGAATAGGACAGTCTCGGTATTCTCTGACTGTTAATCGGTGATGCTCGATAAGGAGGAAAGCTCAGTTTTTCTCTATGTTTTACTCGGAAAGCTTCTGCAACATCGTTTAACTGTTGGTAGGCATGCTATTGGAAAACCGCCATTTCCTCAACATTTTCGTAGCAAGCCATCGTTTTCCTTATGTTCTCGCAAGAAAACCTCTACATCTTGATACCAGGTTCTCTGAAAACCTCGGAGGGGCGCAGGTTGGGGCGGGGGAGGGGGGAGGGGAGGGGGGGGAGGGGGGAGGGGGGTGGGCGTGCCAAACAAACACGCAAAACTGTCACTGCTCCTAAAGACCGTGCCCCATGCCCAGAGACTGGGGTCCGAACATAGTTGGGTGCAGGACCTTGATCGGATGGCGTGGCAGGGTCGTCAGGCATCCAGAGACCCCAAGAGCCCAATACCCCTTAATTAAGGAATATTCCTTAAATCATAATAAGGATCCCCTTTTAATTAAGCTATGTGCCTTAATTAAGGTGTATTGGGCTCTCTGGAAACAGACGGATGTTATGCCAACTGCGCGCCACGGCACGGCTCAGACCATAGTCCCCAGGTGCCGAATCTGCAGTTTCTGGGGTAGCAGTCTTCCTCAGAATCCGCGAAAAAAGTTCGCAAAGACATCAGAATCACAACTCATCACTGCACTTCTGCACTACGCTCTGACATGACATTCTGTCGGCGTGCTGATTCCAATCTGGGTCGCAGGCATTGCAGCTGGGAGTATCGCACCTTTTCTACAAAGCTCGTGCTGCGCGCTTTTTGTCCGAAAGCGAACCGGTCAACCCACTGAAGACTACAACTCAAAAACCGCGCGGTCGTACAGGTTTCTGCAACCCTAAACCCTAAACCCTAGAGCGTAAACCCTAAACCCTAAACCCCAAACCCTAAACCCTAAACCCTAAACCGTAAACCCTAAACCCGAAACCCGAAACCCTAAACCCTAAACCCTAAACCGTTCTGCAGCTGTGTGGCTCCACGGTTTCCGTCTGCTCGCCGGAGCAGACCATGTTCCGGCTTCCGGCCTCGACCGACGACAGCTGATCAAGTTCATTGTTATATGATGTTTCTTTATTTGTATTATTGATATTACGACTATTCTTGCTATTATTATTTCAATTATTATTGTTGTTGTTATTCTTTTATGAATTCTCATTCTATTATTGTTGTTATGATTACTAGTATTGTTATTGCTGTTATTATTGTTGCTACTATTAATTTTCCGCTTGCATGGCACTGACATGCAGCGTGATGCCCTGTGCTGCAGTGCAGGAGCTTTTGAATGGCCCTCAATGGCATTGAACTGCATTCAGGACTGAATGCACCGCAGTACCGAGGCTGCCAACGAAGAGATACAATCCACCAGCACTGCTGTTGTAGTCCTGCAAGCGCAGCTGGGTCGAGCTCCACTGGGCACTCGCAAAAATCATCATGCGAATGATTCTACGGCTCTGTTGGTCTGCAGTCTAAAGCTTTGAGAGGATCGTGCAACTCTTTGCGCCTCTGAACTCTAGATCTTCGCAAGCCACAGGACATGGAAGTCAGTACAACAACATTGGCAACAGCTGATGACTCGGCCTGATCACTGAGTGGCGCCTCGTCAGTCATTTCCAGCCTGGCGAGCAGCAGCCGCCAAGCCGGTACTGCATTTACGGGCAAGTGGTTTGCCCAAAACAGGGGGTGCAAAGCGGTGTTTCGGGGAACATCGCAAGGGAACATCGCAAGAGAGTTCATGCTGTTTGGACAAATTCGGGCGGGGACATGTTGGGGGTTATTCAGGGTGGTGAGGCCCCCTCTTGGCTCATCCTGAAAATCGGGGTATCGGCATCGTACGCACGAAGGAGTCTTGGATGAAGCGAGGAAAGCAGGACGTCAACGAGCTAACACATGTCACAACTCAGGACATCATGGCATGCGAGGAATCTTGCGCTGCTTCTCCTAGGTATGCTAACGGTATGCTGGCTCATGCTAAGCTCCTAGTGACTAAAAAAAGGCTCTTGCCACAGCAGCAAGCAGACACCAGTAGCAAAAGACGCAGGAATAAATCGGCTCGTCTGCGCACCATCAGCGACCGTCTGGGTGTCAGGCCGTCTCTGCAAGATCTTCACGGCAGTCCCGCAGGTGGCGGTGCAATCTGGGGCATTGCTTGTGCTTGCGGCCTATAACCCGGACCTCACGAGGTTCCCCGCACGCACAACCTACCAAAATAGGAGCGAGAGGGCTTGATAAACGAGAAAAACACGAATGGAGCGAGAGGGCTGAGTCGGAGTTTTTTGCAACTGCAAGCAACGAGCTAAAGCATGATAGGGACGTGCAATACTAAGAATAATAAGAATAATAGTAATGATAACATTAATAACAATAATGAAGAGTACTAGTACTAAAAAACAAGTAATAGTAATAATAAAAAAGAAGAAGCTGACGGAGGCCTCCAAGGTCTGACCAGTCTGCCCAGCGGCAGTAGTACTGCACCAGCATCCCAGTGATGAGACTCAAGAAGCTCATGCTCCATATGGGGGGCTTATCCTACTATTTGGGGGTCGAAAACCCCCCATATGTGTGCTTTATACCCTCGCAGGATGGCACTCATCGCCGTCGCCGATCTCCAAAGATGTGCAAACCCTAAACCCTAAACCCGAAACCCTAAACCCGAAACCCTAAACCCTAAACCCTAAACCCTAAACCCTCCTCGGAGTCGCAGGTCCCCGTGCAGTTCATTGTCTCCTGCAGGCAGCAAAGTGGTGCCCGGGTCTTGCCAAGTCGCAGAAGCTAGCCAAGTCGCAGAAGCTAGCCACTAGAGTATCCCAAATCATGCACGTGCATACATGCACATATGCAGAGTTTCGGTTGGTAAGTGTAGGCGCCAAGCGTCAACCTACGCACACGGACTGAAGTGTAAAGTACATGCTTCAAAATGCAAGACGTGGGCCAACGCTTCTGACGATCTGCCATATTCATATCAAAATTTTCCATCTGAGTTGGCAATGCCAATTATTGTGTTGTAATATGTTTTAAAGACATTCTTTGCCAGAATTGTGATTTATATAAACTAAAAATAAATCATATCAATATCCACTTGAATGGCATACAGCTTCGATCATGAGCATCGCTTCAACGCTGTTTTTTGAGCCCTGCGCGCCAACGAAGAGCAAAAATGTGCTCAGAAGCGTGATCCGGCAGCACTCGCGCATCACACTAGATGCAAAGAGCGTCACAGGCTCCCAGGTGTTTGCCTGGCTTGGCGGATCAGCTCGTAGCAGAAATTAACCTTGACAAATTGAGCCTCTTCACCACCCTTGTCTGGATGATGTTTCATTGCCAGTGTGTGGTATGCCTTGCGGACATCGGCATCAGGAGCCTCTCTTGACACTCCCAAGTGGTCATATGCCTTCTGCAACCGCCGGTACTTGTCATCGCCCAAAGACACGTCGAACAGCTCTCGCCAGAACTTCTCAGCTGCCAGACCCGCTATAAAGGACCCAGCAACGCCCGCAACAGGATTGACGGCGCCAAAAACGAAAGCCCCTGCTGCAGCACCAGCACAGAACATCGTCTTGGACACACATTCCTTGATGCACTCCTCCAAGTCGATCTCCCCTTGCCAATACTTTTTGATGTTCGTGGCAAAGTGATATCCCAGCATGCAGATCTGGAGGCCTGTTGCGCATTTGGCTGCGTAGAGTGCATTATCTGCTGCCACCACGGCATTTTTCGATGCCACAATAGCAGACACGACTTTATCTGCATTGAATGTAAATCCTCCAATCAACATTTCAAACTGAGCTGCAACGAAAGCCTGTGTTGCTGTGTCAGCAGCATTCAGGCATGCCGTTTGCAACAATGTAGGCCCACGGTAGAGTGCAAGCTCTTCCAGACGCTGTTTAAGGCGCTTCTCGCGCGGTAGTGGAACCATGAAGCGTTTCTTGTACACTTCGATGGCCTGTCTTGTTTCCTCCTCTGTCCCCATTGCTGCCTTAGGGACTGACGAAGATATAGAGCTCGCAAGTAGCTTCTCCACGTGACCCTTAAAAGCTGCCTCGTTATTTCGCAGCTTGTACAAGATAAGGTAGTCCTTGTCTGACTCGCAAAGAAATGCCACTGCCAGTGCAATCTTTGCAGATTCGTTCCTGAAAACCTTGGAAATCATGCCTTCCACAATTTCTTCTTTTGCTTCCGTCATCTGTGCAACTGAAAACAGCCTGCTCTGATTTCGTGTTATGACCGGCTGACTCCGAAACGGCTGAGACCGGAAAGTGGTAGCCGCCGACCAGGGTTTCCATGCTGCTGGAGTGGCCCCAAGCTGAGCCTGCATCCCTCTGAGACTGCAGCGAGTGCAGGCGTAAGCTTGGTGGCGGGCGCGGGCGGCGCGGGTTCGCATATCCTGTATCTTACCAAGACAAAGTGCTATCAGCAGTTGCCTCGCACTGCTCACTCGGGCAATAGTTGCTGCGCGTCAAAGCACCGACTCTCTCGCAGTCCACGATTTTGGGCATGTGTGCGTGCATGCGGCTATTTGAATTCTTCTTCTTGAAAGCTTTCGGAGCCACTGTATATATGTATATATATATATACATATATGCATATACAGATATATATATATATATATATATATATAAATGCATACACCCACCTTCAACCCTTCAGTCATGTAAACCCTACTTCATATCCTCGCATGAGTGCTACAGTTACACTGTGCCCAGTGCCGTCTCTCTTCACACCAACATCTCCTTCGCAATGCCCGGATCGCACTTGTGGCCACAGTCGTTCCTGTCGGCAAGCAAACTTCACCAGCTTGAGGGCTTGGTTCAGGGTTTAGGGTTTAGGGTTTAGGGTTTAGGGTTTACGGTTTAGGGTTTAGGGTTTAGGGTTTAGGGTTTAGGGTTTAGGGTTTAGGGTTTAGGGTTTAGGGTTCAGGCCCCTCTATTTTACGAATAAGGGCAGCAGACTCCGGCTCGCGAGCGCTGACGACGTCGAAAACGACAAAAACTGCCGCGCCTTTAACAGAACACTCACTGACAGAGCCTTGGCCCTAGGGCTAGGGTTTAGGGTTTAGGGTCTAGGGTCCTAGGGTTTAGGGTTTAGGGTTCAGGGTTTACGGTTACCACCCAAAACTCTATATACAGCAACTGCAGATCCGAATAGATCAAAACTGCGGCGGGCGCGCTGGAGGTGCTGGATTGTCCGCTGACCTATGAGCGTTGGAAGCTCATGCTTTGTATTTGGCTTGGCTTCAAGCAACTCCTTCCTTGAGCACTTTGATTCAACTTAGAACTCTCCGTCTGAGCACCGATTCATTGACTAACCCCGAGCCATGCGAAACTTGGCGGGCACAGCAGAGGAAGAACTACCTCCGAATGGTACGGGAGTTGGGTATTGCAGAACAACTGTGCTCCAGGATGGAATCGGAATGTTTTACTTTGCGGGTTGAAGGGGGGGTTCTTTGAAGTTCACAGCCCTTAGACTCTGAGAGGCCAGGTTCATCACAGGCGCCCCCGGCCGCCCCAAGTCCACCCTAAAACAAATGTTCGCCGCCAAAGAACTTCCCTTTCCAGGGGCTCTGAGGCTTGCGCGGTACTTCTGCCCAGCGCACTCCGAGCAGTCGCCCCACTCTGACCAAGGGCCTGGGAACATTACACGAGAAAATCTAGGAGTGGGGCTAAGAGCGAAGGGACGTTGGCAGCCATGTTAGATCAAGCTGAGATTCTTCTCCTCACAGGAACGGGCTTTTCTTCTAGCTTCAGGACGCAATGCACTTCTTCAAGACGAAGCCAAGGCTTTCGGAGTAAGCCTCCGGCCCCACTGACAGTCGATGCAGTTGTTCTCCGGGCAGTGGTGGGTATTGCACGGCACCACCCTCAGTTTCAAAGCTTCCCAAACCTGTGCTGCGATGTGCTACGATGAGCCGCGATGTGCGACACCTTCCTTTGACGTTCATCCTTCACCGTCTCTAAACCCTAAACCCTAAACCCTAAACCCTACTATAGTTCGCACATGGTTACACTAGCAGACGTGTTTGTACCGAGAGCCGTCAAGGCCGCCACTGAGCCAAGTCTCCTGTTGACACTTGCTGGTGCGCTCAGCATCATGTCATGGCTCCAGCGTGTCTGAATCCGAGTGGTGTGGAACAAGCAAGCCTAAGCCCTAAACCCTAAACCCTCAACCCTAAACCCTAAACCCTAAGCCCTAAACCCTAAACCCTAAACCCTAAACCTAAACCCTAAATAAGCTGGCCCGACCTTCGCATGGGGCGCCGTTGTGGTTGAGCGGTCGGAGAATCTGACGCATGCGGGTCCTCCACGAATGCAGCTCCCTGCTTCGGCTAATCATCTAGGGTTTAGGGTTTAGGGATTTTAGGGTTTAGGGTTTAGAAACGACATGAAACGACTGAACGGAGGCACACAGGACAGCGACAGGTAAGGCACATGTTCATAGCCTGCAATCCTTCACTTCAATTGGGCGGGGGGGGGGCGCACAAGCAGAGTACCACCCCATAAACTTTGCAGCAGGTCCTCTGACCAACGCCACACGGCCTGGAGCAAACGCCCCAATCCTCCCAGTGGCTGAGCCTGTGCGGAACCAAGTCTAGAATTAGGTTTAGGGTTTAGGGTTTAGGGGTTAGGGGTTTAGGCTTTAGGCTTTAGGGTTTAGGGTTTAGGGTTTAGGGTTTAGGGTTTAGGGTTTAGGGTTTAGGGTTAGTCTAGAATTGGCAAGGCTCAGGCCCTGGAACTGCGAGCTCCTCACGGGAACCACAGGGTGTCTCAAGGCATCCAGTGCTTCTTCCACATTCTTCTTATATTATATTATATTATATTCTATTCTATTATATTTTATTTTATTTTATTATGCTATATTTGATTATATTATAGTATATTATATTATACTATATTATCGTATATTATATTATAGTATAGTATATTGTAGTATATTATATTATAGCATATTGTAGTATAGTATAGTATAGTCTATTTTATTTGGGGAGCGGAAGTCTGCTGAAGGCCCAGGCGTGCAGTTCTCTGGACCTTGACTGTGGCAGCCGGGAGGGTGAGCCTGCCAAGTGTCTTGCGCTCAGAATTCTCAGCACTTGAATATATCAGAATATAATATATTACACCATATAATAGAGTATAATATACTTAATATCACATAACACAATGAAGTATAATACAGTATCACATAACATAATAAAATACAGTGGAACATAATATTATACAAATGTACGAAACAGCATCAAAGGCAATGCCATTGCGGAACATCAGCATGAACGGCACCTCATCCTCTGCAGGGTTGCAGGGGGCAATCTCCTTCAAACTCTCCGCCTGGAAGGGGCCATCTCAATCCATTTGCCGCACCGAGAAGCTCAGGCTTTAGGGTTTAGGGTTTAGGGTTTGGGGTTTAGGGTTTGGGGTTTAGGGTTTAGGGTTTAGGGTTTCGGGTTTAGGGTTTAGGGTTTAGGGTTTGGGGTTTGGGGTTTGGGGTTTGGGGTTTGGGGTTTGGGGTTTGGGGTTTGGGGTTTGGGGTTTGGGGTTTGGGGTTTGGGGTTTGGGTTAGCGTGGCGTTGCGCCCTCCCAGGCCTCACACTTCTTCCCGGCCCCCGTGCCGAGCTTGAGCACTCTGCGATGCCGTTCCTCGGGGGTCAGGCTGTCACAACAGTAGCCGGTGAGCACCATGTATAATATATTGTAGTATATTGTATTATAGTATATTGTAGTATAGTATAATATAGTCTATTTTATTTGGCCATGCAATAGGATATCATAGGATCAGCGGCTAATTGACGCTTGGAAAACGTTGAAATCCATAGTGCTTCACAGCGAAGTTGGTGGCACGGGATCTTTAAACCCTACCCTAAACCCTAAACCCTGAACCCTGAACCCTAAACCCTGCGCCCTAAACACTAAACCCTAATTGCTGGCCCGTTGGCCCTCCACAAGGTGCTATGAAGAGCGTAATTGAACACACCCGTCTGTGTACTTGCAAGGGGAAAGCAGCTGATGGTCGAAGATTGGCCTACAACCTACAGGGTTTAGGGTTTAGGGTTTAGGGTTTAGGCTTTAGGGTTTAGGGTTTAGTTTTTTGTTTAGGGTTTAGGGTTTAGGGTTTAGGCTTTAGGGTTTAGGGTTTAGGGTTTAGGGTTTAGGGTTTAGGGTTTAGGGTTTAGGGCATAGGGGGTTCAGGGCTTTGGGTTTAGGATTTTGCTCTGGCTTCCTCTTCAACGAAAACAATGCCCATAAGCAACCCCCGAAGCCTTCTATCTTCATGATCAGCTGATAGAAAACCGTTCAAAAACTCTAATACCTGCAGGAGTAATGTTTACAATTTGAGAACCATGCTTTTGTGCCTTCTAAACACTTGCCACGCCCCAGCTTTCAAGTGACTTACTCCAAGACGGGTCTCCGTCACGCCGTAGCATGAGCAGCTGCAGTCATTCCACCTAAGGCCGGGGAACAACAGCAGGTTTAGGGTTTAGGGTTTAGGGTTTAGGGTTTAGGGTTTAGGGTTTAGGGTTTAGGGTTTAGGGTTTAGGGTTTAGGGTTTAGGGTTTCGGGGTGTCGCTCCTCTCCAGTCTTGTTGAACCTGCTGAGCCCGAGGCGGCGTCCACGCAGACACCTTGCAGTCTTCATCCTCGAAGCACCGCCGCACAGACTCGAGCCAGACATATGTCGGGTTTCGGGTTTAGGGTTTTAGGTTTAGGGTTTAGGGTTTAGGGTTTAGGGTTTAGGGTTTAGGGTTTAGGGTTTAGGGTTTAGGGTTTATGCTGGCATGTCCATGCCTCATGTCTTTATGCTCCCGAGCCTGGAGACAAAGTGGTAGATCTTCACACATCTCGTATTCTTCCTGCTGCGCCCAAAACAAAAGCACTGCAGAAAACCACAGTTCCATGATCACAGGCGCATTCATCAATGTAAAAAACGAGAGGTGAAGAGTTGAAGAGAGCAGTATCTTGAACCCTTACATGAAGCAGGGTATATATTTCTTGTATCCCCAAAAGGACACCTTACAAACACTCGCCAAAATATAAGGTACACTCGCCAAAAGAGTAACATAAACCCTGCTTCCCATCGACTCATGTTGACTCATCATGAACCCACGCATTGAGGCTGCCTCCAGTCCGGTCACTGGCTGTCCACAATCGTTGGCCCGTCTCGCAACACTCCGATGCCTCTTCAAGAAGTCCGCTCGAGAGTGCGTCGGACTTGAAGTGTCGGGAAGAGACCGATTTTGTGAGAGAGAGCAGTTTCTTTTCTGGAAGGGATAGGCTCGGGGATCAGGTCATAGGGGGGGCAGCAAGAAGCTCGGGTCGGAATAGCCTGTGAATCACCATCCTCCGTTCTGAAACGAGATCGGACAGCTTCTGAAGCTTGTCTTCTCAATCGAGGCCTTCATTTGTGGGGCTTTCACGCGGAATGCGACAGGCCTCCATCTGTAGCCAGGCGCGCAGGAGGCTGTGCCTGATGAAATTGTCATTGAAACATGCTGACGTGAATGCAAGACCGTAAAACTTAGTGACAAGTGCTGAGCGAGCTGAGCTCGGGGCACTCCGACCACAGACTCCATGTAGTCCTTAGTGCGAGCAATATGAACCGCCCAACAGCTTACACCCACCACGATGGCGGACCATCACACCAGGATATCTGTGCAAGCCACGAACTGCTATGGTACTCTCATGTACTCTCCGCAAACCTGCGTAGACTGGCAAAGCAGGCTTTGTACTCTGGGGCTTTCCTTGCGCGATCCACAGCCGCCCACAAATGTCACAAGTGACCGAGTGATCTGCCAGAGGCCATCCACGCAATCTTGGCAAGGTTGGGTGTTGCACTCCGAAACCTCTGGAGAACGCAGGGGGGGAGCTTACGAAAATAAGGGGAGCCCGAATATAGAACCCCCAAAGAGTAGGATTCCCTTAGAGTAAGGACCCCAATAAGGTACCGCCCCCTAATTTTCGGAAACCTGCAGGGGTGCGACAACAATGGCGGCTGCTAAACATTCCACGCTGCGGGCCTGGGTCTTGTCTGAGGGCTCGCACGGCGTCCCACCCGCACGTGGGGCCACCTTCCGCTTGCTGTTGGTTAGTAGGAATGAGGTACCCCCCTGTTTTTCCCCTTGAAGGGACGACATAGGGTAGCTCAGTCCCTCATTCCCTACTAACCAACAGTAAGTCCGTGCGCGCAGCACCGCACTTTCCAAGCTGAGCATGGGCTCAGAATTATTGTTCGGATGATGATGGGGGGTGTGCTGCTCCTTGCTTAAGTGTCATCAACACGACTGCCACATGTAGGATGCAGAACTCCATCCATCAAAATCGCCAGCATCCTGGCGAATCAACAAGTTTCATTCGACCCCGCATTCTAGGAGTCCATCCCCTGTCATCCTTTTAAGGCAAGGACAGACACCCTATTTCTATATTTCTATCTTACTATCTTACTATCTTACTATCTTACTATCTTACTATCTTACTATAACTGCTACATTCCTATAACTTGCTACACAACGAAGAATCTGCCTAGAATCCCTCGAGCTCCCGGTGCCTTGATGGTGCGCGCCCGGCGCTTGAGGCCCCCTCCACAGGTGCAGGAGCAGCCCTCGGAGTGCAGGAGCACTTTCTTGCTTGGGGGGAACTGTCTCTGACGGGGGGCCACCTTCGCCATAATCTGGCAATAAAGTACTTAAGTAAAGAGAATATTTAAAAACAAAAAAAATTATATATATATATATATATATAGAGAGAGAGAGAGAGAGAAATAGGGAAATCGAATCATAGAGTAACAGAGTAATGGAGCAATAGAGCAACAGAGTCATACAGCAAGAGGCAATCCAAAAAGCTCCCTGGTTCTTAGTAGGGAATGAGGGAATGAGGGCCCTACATATCCCCTTAAAGGGATCATATAGGGCCCTAATTCCCTCATTCCCTACTAAGAACCAGCCAGAAAATTGCCAGGGCTGGAGCACTCCAGTGATCCCAGGCGTCCCAGACGCAGTCCCGGATAGGACACGGCCTTCCAAATGCTCTTAAGAGCTGTGAACATTCGGCTTAGGGTCTAGGGTTTAGGGCTTAGGGATGTTAAGGGTTTAGGGTCCGGGTTTAGGGTTTAGGGTTTAGGGTTTCGGGTTTAGGTTTAGGGGTGCAGGGACTCACAAGGTTCCCCCCGCCCCCCACCCCGCTCTCCTAATCTCCCAACGCTGTGCTTACAAAACGATTTTGGTGATGTTTTCTAGAAGCTTGACCAAGGCTTGTGATAAGCTTTTGCCAGATTTCTGATGGTTTCACCGTATGCCGTTGCTTTGTGGAATTGAGTTGCAGATCTTCCCCCGCTGTGAGATCAGTGTCTGGAGCCGTCCCGTGTACGTGGCCACTCGGTTGGCCAACTCTTTAAAAGGAGGAACCAAGCTGAGACTGATGCAAGTTTAGAGTTCAGAGTTTAGGGTTTAAGGTTTAGGGTTTGGGGTTTGGGGTTTAGGGTAACATGTCTGAGTGAGCCGTGTTTTTCTCTTTTGTGCCTGACCCTGTCAATAGAAAGGGAGTATTGCGTGCGGAAGAGCCACTACTGCACGGCGCGCAGCGCCTTCAACTTCGTCAGAACAAACGGAGCTCCATGGATGATGCCTTCGTCGCCATTGCAATTCAGCTCAGCTGCATTATTCTTCATTGTCTCGTGGAAGGGCAACGAAATGCTGAATCGCAGGACCTTCGTTCCACCCTGACAGCGCAGGTCGTCTGTCTCTTCGGTTGCGTGTCTGTTGCTGGATCAGGAGCGTTGATGATGCACGTCTGATGCGGTACATGGCAGCGGCTCACGAGTGCAGTTGGACATGATACAAGCGCGCCGGAAGGAGCTTATCCCACTCTGGACCGAGTCCGGTCTTGGGGTTGAGGTAGACGCGCTCGCAATATGTGAGGTAGCCATGGTGCGGGACGTCAGCCTCGTCGACCACGGAGCAGCCGTCCACCACTGGGAGCACGCCTCCTTCCATGAGCTGAGCACAATGCGCGGCGTTGCGCGTGAACACCCATGTGACGAAGCGTGATGCTGTGTGCGGGAAGTCGAGGCTGGTCACTCCAATTGATGTGCCCAGCACCGCCATCAAGGTCTTGCTCAACGTGGGCAGATGTGGCCGCCACGGCTTGACCATGGCAATCGAGCCGTAGATGGCCGTGTTCTGGAGCCGATGGTGTACAAGCGTGACCACATGTATCTCATCCTTGGTGGCCAGCTGCAGCAGTTCCATCGCATCGTTGTCTTCATGGACATTCGGGGCAAAGTATGCGGCGTCGGGGCCATCTCCGAGGCACTTCGTGCGCTTCTGCAGGCACTCCAGGCCCTTGAACTTCAGCGCTGCAAACGTCACTTCGTTGGCCAATGTGTGGGTCGGTGTGCGAGATGTGCGAAGAGCTTCCCCGATCCGTTGCACCACCTGACGCCCGTGGGCCTCAAAGGCGGGAGCGAGGGGGGCCTCGTCGGCGCTCTCGGGATGGCTGCGGGACCGGTAGCCCGGGGAGGTGGAGGCAGGTAGCCACTCGTCCTCGTCGTGCTCAGCTCGGAGGTAGAAGACGGGCGGATGGGAATGGATGTATGCGTCGCCCTCGGTCTGATTCGCGAACTTGTACAGGCGTGCAAGAGCCTCGAAGTACGTCCCTAGCCGTACCTGCCCAACGAGGTGCATCACGTCGTCGAAGAGGCCAAGGCCGGATGGCACGGCAGCAAGATTGATGGCGGAAGCAGGCAGCCCGCTCGCAACGAGCGCCTCCTCCACCAGGTCGTAGGTCCTCTGGTTGGCCGTAATCACGTGCGCGAACAGACCATCGTGCTGTTTCACATTCATCATGTTGACTGAGTCTCCAAGGCTCGCAAATGGCAACGGGGGTTGTCGGGGCATGAACATTGCGTAGACTGTCAATGACCAATACTCGCATGGTGGTGGCACACGGGCAAGCAGCACCACGGCGTCACGAGCGCCCAGGCCCCAGATTGGGCTCGGAAGTAAGCATCCGAGCAATGGCAGTGCGTTGAACATGTAAGGTGTGCTCGGATTTGCCCCGAAGTTGTCCGCAAACCGCCACCAGAAGACCATGTCCCGATCGCGGAAGAAGGAGCCTGTGCTGCTGATAGCTAGACCCGATGAGGCGACAACGCGTTCGCGAAATCGTAAGCTGAGTGAGGCTACGGCGGGGTCGGATGGCTGCGGAGATATCGGCAGCAGCACCCCAACGAGGTGAGCGAGCAGCGCGAGTGCGAGCACAATCAGCGGCCCTCGCCACATGACTCTCATCGATGCGCTTCTTCAGGTACTGATATTGCAATTCAGAAACCTGTTGCAAGTGTACTGCATGGACCTCTTTAAGCCTAAATGGGTGCTCAGGGCATTATGCAAAGCATACGGCTTCCTCACAGTTCTGCTTGTCATATGTCTTGTCATGATTCTCCGGCTTCGCGATTAACTTGCTGACGGAGCGAGCGTGAATGCCGAGTGCAAGTAAGGTAGCCGGCTAGTTTGTGCCTCGCATCTTGATCCATTCAACATTGCAGAGGGTTGCGGAGCCTCAACCCCAAAGCAGTGATCCATAACAACAACTTCTACAGGAGAGTCTAGGCCTAAGAGAAACCGCAAAAGCTCACTTGACGACCACAAGCAAACAAAAATCAGGGCAACCCTAAACCCTAAACCCCAAACCCTAAACCCTACACCCTAAACCCTAAACCCTAAACCCCAAGCCATCCAAGGACCCCATCCAGGCTGGGGCAGGCACTCCAGGACACACTCCTGCATCTCTTTGAGCGAAGCATGGCAGCTCTTGCCTGCGCTTACCCTTAGGGGGAGACATGAATACTGGTTCAGGGCTTTGGGTTTAGGGTTTAGGGTTTCGGGTTTCGGGCTTAGGGTTTAGGGTTCAGGGTTCAGGGTTTAGGGTTTAGGGTTTAGGGCTTAGGGTTTAGGGTTTAGGGTTTAGGGTTTAGGGTTTAGGGTTTAGGGTTTAGGGTTTAGGGTTTAGGGTTTAGGGTTTAGGGTTTAGGGTTTAGGGTTTAGGGTTTAGGGTCGGCAGCGGCTTAATAGCGGCTAGTAACCTGCACCAAGAAAAGCAAGGATGGCTGATGGCGCCAGAAGTTATGATTCTACTGAATGCTCAAGGTCGTCACAAACCGATTTCATGCTGCTGGCGATGACATCCAGGAGTCCACGAGACTTACTACCTGTGGCGCAACCACTCACACCTACATAGGGGGAGTTGCCGAAATTAGGGGTACCTTATTGGGGTCCTTACAAGGGAATCCGACTAACCCTAAACCCTAAACCCCAAACCCTAAACCATAAACCCTAAACCTTTGGGGTCTATATTTGGGGGCCCCCTATTTTCGCGCAATCCCCCACATCTGAACCGCGGCCTCCATCGCCAGCACTCTGATCAATGGATCGGCTTCGGGTCGACACCTCAGCACAGGGCTTAGGGTTTAGGGTTTAGGGTTTAGGGTTTCGGCTTTAGGGTTTCGGGTTTAGGGTTTAGGGTTTAGGGTTTGGGGTTTCGGGTTTGGGGTTTAGGGTTTAGGGTTTAGGGTTTAGGGTTTCGGATTTGGGGTTTAGGGTTTAGGGTTTAGGGTTTCGGGTTTAGACTGTGGCACGCTCTACACTGCTCTTTGGGAGCGCTTTTTTGGGGGGGATTTCCGAAGTTAGGGGATACCTTCTTGGGGTCCTTCTTGTAGGGGGATCCTACTATTTTGGGGGTCTCCATTGGGATCCCGAAACCCTAAACCCTAAACCCTAAACCCTAAACCCTGCCAGTGAATTCGTATTCATTCAGTCCTACGTAGTTTGTCTCCAAGGAGCTTCTTCGAGACAGTCCGCAAGACCGCATGCATAAACCCTAAACCCTAAACCCCCTATTCTCGTAAACTTCCATCTGAGTCCTTGGCTCCGGAGCCGCAGTCTTGTGAGCAGTCCCCCCACTGCGTCCAGGGTGACAAGAGGCAACCTGAGCTTGATCCAGCTGGGGTATAGGGTTTAGGGTTTGGGGTTTGGGGTTGAGGGTTCAGGGTTCAGGGTTCAGGGTTTAGGGTTTAGGGTTTAGGGTTTAGGGTTTAGGGTTTAGGGTTTAGGGTTTAGGGTTTAGGGTTTAGGGTTTAGGGTTTAGGGTTTAGGGCTGAGCTTTTTGTGACCCTAGACGACCGGGACCTAAACACCGGCACAACTTTGAACATCTTTGAATTTTCAGGCCCGGTTCATGCTTGGGGGAATCTTGGACAAAGGGCCCGCGTCCTGCTCACAGGACTCCACATTGCAGCCGCGAACTTCCTTCAAGTCCTGCTTGGCCATCCTTGGTTGCTGCGGCGGACGAACCACATGTGAGGCATTAGATTTGTCCAGCGCGCAAACCTGGGATCCCAGTACATAGGCCTAGAGGTTTCAGACAGACTTTCTAGGTAGCTTTGACCCCAAGCAGCCTAGCTACGACCTCACATGACGAGGGAATCTGCCACTCAACTCTGACTCCGAGGTCCCGGCGGAATGCACGCTGACTCACCGCTGAGATGGCGCGACTGGGCGTTCGGTGGCATTTGAACGAAAAGAGCACGGAACATCGTGGAAAACAGCAAGCTCAAGTAGAGGCTGACCCGGTCCCTTAAGCATCCTGCTCGCTGCTGCTGGCCACCACCACAGGCAACTGGGCACGCGGTCCATTCGCTCCACTCTGTGGTGGAACACCTCAACTTGTCAACGGTCTTGTGTGGTCTTGTAGCTGGAGTGCTGCGGCTATGTAACTCACATTGGGCACAAGTCATTCATTCACTGTCTCCGACTAGGGCGCCACATGCAAACTGTTTCCAGACAAAAAAGAGTGCTGGGTCATCCTTGCACCAAGGAAGAGTCGTAGACCGTAAAATTCCCCAGGCCCCAGAGCTCGCTTGGACCTCTTAAATTTGGGACCCACTCGAAAAATCACCATTGCCCCACCACCATTTTGGGTTTCAAGTCCACCGGTGTCCAAGCCATGAACACCGTGAACACAACTCAAGAAACGAGCCAACTGTAGGTTGCGACGAAATTGTCACTTCAACAGGGTCCCCAGTCCCCACCACCATCGTTGGCTTCAGGCAAACCTGTCTCTGACTCTGAGCCACGGTCACCCTTTGCACCTGGGAAGAGGCACTCCTCGGGAGTAACCTTCCTCAGCGATCCCTCAGTCCTCTCTTGTGCTTCTTGTGGTGTCGAGTCTGGGGGCCCTGGTTGGACCTCCCACCTGCCATCCGCAAGGTTACGCGGCGGGCTGAGCCGGAGGCTCTTGCATGAAGAAGCACCGCAGCGTAGCTGAGAATAGCTGAGGCCAGGGTACCACTGGAGGCTGTCGCGGTCCGCGCAGCCCGCGGTCTCCGTGAGGGGCGCATCGCAGGGCTCGCCGTCGCCCTTCGGGAGCGGAAGAGCAGGGATTTGCAGCGGCGCTCACCCAGGCCTACTTCTGTCCTAATTCTGTCCTACAATGCCGCACACAGACTGCGGCACAAGCATCACCATACAGACTGTGCCGGTGCTACAGAAAGACACTCCTCAACTCAGAGCCGGAAAGCGCGGAGATGCGCAGAGTGCCCCCAGCCCCCAGCCTCAGCGTAGGTCTCGATGCGTCTCTGCCTGGTCATCTGCAGCGCTCCTCCCAGTGCAGAGTCTTGCAGAGTGAGCAGTGGAGGCAGCGGTAGCGGTAGGCAGACAGCAGGGGCTCTGCATGTCTCAACTTGTGCTTGCGCACGAAACCTGAATTCCAGCGCAGTTCTACTCAAAAACCCAGGTGAATGCACCTTCCACCTCGCAGCCGTGCCAGGCCGCCCACCTGACGCAGGCCATGTAGGTTGGTTCGGTCTTGAATCGTGAATGCTTCATGCTTCAGGCTGGATTTAGCCCACTTCTCGCCCTGGTCTCCCGTAATTACTCCCCGCCAGCATCTCCTGCCCCCCAACAGAGACAATCCTGCAACCCAGCGGAGAATCCTACAGAGTATCCCTGGAGTGCCCGCCCGCCATGAATTCCGCGGAGATCTGAGTATCACTGGAACGCAAAGAAACCCGCCAAGCTATCCCTCGAGTGCCCAGTGCCCACCTCAGAAAACCCCGCAACTCATCCCGCGGGAACTCTGCAGACTATCCGCGGAATAGGCTAGAGCGGCTATAGAGTATGGCTGGGATTCGAAGCTGCCTGTAGGAGAAACCTTACTTGAATGTCGAGGGAGGGAACGACAGGCATGAAGCAGCTGCTTGACGAGCTGGGCTCCCTATGACAGCTTCTGCTCAACTGTAAAATCTCTTTGACTTGAGGGACATTGCCTCCGGCATCGTCCGGAGTTTTGGGTTGCAAGACCCTTTGGCAATGGTTAGCATGAAACCCTTTCTTTCGTGCACGCGCTTTTCAAGGGGGTTGAAAGATGTCAGGTCCTTTTGGCACAAAGCTCAAAAGAGTGCAAACCCTTTACCCGAAGAGGTAAATGTAACTCTACATCTCAGCACCCCACTCCGAGACGACGCAGTCTTGGCTGTGCTCACAAGGCTCCGTGTTGCAGGTTTCCGTCTTCCTGCATCCGGGCAACTGCAGATGGTTCAAACAGATATGCCGACGATGCCTAACTGCCGCTGAGGCAAACCCGGAGGTCCTCAAAGAGGCCACGCAGGGAAGCCCGCCATAGTCAGCTTCTGAATCCACTCGACGCCTGGGCACCGGGCAACCCTCCGGACAATGCATTTTATCTTCCAGCAGCCTGCCCTCCCTCCCCCTGAACCCCTGAACCCAGAATGTCTGTGAACGCGACATGCTGGTGCGTACGCCCCCACCGCAGGTCGCACTGCATCGAGTCCTTGCCAGGCGGCTCCAACCACAAACCAGAACGGAAGCTGCACCAGCTATGCAGAGAGCCCAATACCCCTCAATTTAGGAACATAGCTTAAATTATACAGGGATCCTTATGATGATTTAAGGAATATTCCTTAGTTCAGGGGTATTGGGCTCTTTGGGATATGCGGTCACCACCGAGATGGCCGCCATTGGCCCCACTCGCTCAACCTGAGGTGGCTTCTAAGCTCAGCTAGATGAAGCAACCTGTCCGTAGGCCAGAGCAGATTCCTGAGGAACTTGAAACGTAAAATTAAAATCATTTATGCAAGTTTTTGTAATATGTAATATACCTTGTGTAGTTTTTGTAATATTGAATATACCGTTTAGTGACTTGATGGATTCTTCGACCTCGCCAGACACCGTAGAAGACCCGCTGCTAGACCGGGCACTTCCATCACATTCACCAGCCAGTTTCTTGAGCTCTTGGTTCATGAACTAGCGGCTGTTCACCATCCTAAATCCTAAATCCTAAACCCTAAACCCTAAACCCTAAACCCTAAACCCTGAACACCACAGCAGGAAATCGCGCAATGATAGCGCGAGTGAAACGATGGACAAAACGACCTCTCAAAGCACCCCTCGCACCTGGAGGCCCTAACTCTCATATTTGGGTTTAGGGTTTAGGGTTTAGGGTTGAGGGTTGAGGGTTGAGGGTTGAGGGTTTGGGGTTTGGGGTTTGGGGTTAGGGGCTGGTTCAGCGTTCGCCCTTCCCAGTCTTGACGGTTCGAACCACCTGGCGGACTCTGTATGACGAAAGAGTCTCCACTGTTTCACGTTGGGTTTCAGCACTAGTTTCCCTCTCTTTCCTTCCCGAGGTGTGGGCTCTGGCACTGTTCTTCTGTGCCGGTCGGACATCAACACTTGCAGAACAGGAAAACCGACAAAGCGGCTCGCCTTTCAAGCTCACAGAGTTGCTTTTTGACCACTGGGCCAGCTTTGAGCACGACCCACTATATCATCAAGTTTGGCTATTCAGGATCTGTCCGCTGTTTGAGGGTCTCCGGTGAAGTCACCAAGTTCGTTGTTATTTGGGTCGTCCGTTTCAGGCCCCTCCCAAACCATCCGTTTGACAGGGAACCTCCCTATGGCACCGTTTAGGGGCCCGCCTTTTGTGCCATGGCCCCCCAGGCTTGGGACTTCAAGGCCCTGTTGGTCACTTAAAGGGCCGCTCTTGAACTCTTATGCCACACTGGGGGCCTGTGGATTTCATATACTTTCCTTTAGGCACTTCAAAACCAACTTTCAATCTTAAGCCCACTTCGCTGCCTCTTCTTTTACAGGCCGGAGTCTTGGGTGTCGGCATAGTAGCTTACATCATGCGAGGGAGGGTGGGGGGCAGGGGGCAAGGGGGGGGGGGGGGGGGGGGGGGGGGGGGGGGGGGGGGGCACTCGGAACTCACTTCGAGACAAACGTGTTGATGGAGATGGTCCGTGTCACAGCAAACTTGCGTCTGAATTGGGTTCCGGTGGCTCCTAGAAAACCCCTATTGGGACATATGCCGAGGTGCAGCCGTCTTGAATTCTATCCTTTAATGTTTTGGTACTTGCAGCTGAGGCAGCTGGGGTAGGCACGAACACTGCACAGGCGTCTCAAACCCGCAAGGCTTTGTCCTTGGTGTCGGCGTCTACGGGGTCTGGCAGTGAAGTCACACTTATAGCTCATAACAGCAGGTGAGCAATTGTGCCTTCATGCCAACATGGCTAGCAAATCTAACATAATCTAGCAGCACCTGGTCCGTGCTGGGTCGGTGGCATGTTGAACTTCCCAGAACAGGCTTCACCAGTACCGAGGGCCTGCACACGGCGACGTCCTAGGGGATTAGGGTTTAAGGTTTCGGGCCTAGGGGTTAGTGTAAGGGTCTTCCCTTACTTTGCTTCGTGTATCACCACCACCGTGGAGTCAGGTGGTTACCTCTTCCTTCGCTCTCCCGCTCTGCAGCGGCGCCTGGTTAGCAATATGCCGCACCCTCGTCGTCTGTGCTTTGCGATCCTCACACGGCTCGTGGCAGAAGGCAGTAGGCAGCCTGCATCAGACGATCGCACCTCTAGAGTTTGCCTGAAAGCCTCCGAATTCACACAAAGCCAAAGTGTCCCACACTTCCAATATCAAAGACTCTCTTGACCCGACATGCAATCATTGAGGTGTTTTGCACTAACCCCGCCGACCAAATGCCCAACGAGTCCTCGCCACAAACATCGCAGCCACAGTGGCTCCAGTCCGTCCACGGTGACCATTCACAATCCTTTGTAACCCTAAACCCTAAACCCTAAACCCTAAACCCTAAACCCTAAACCCTAAACCGGAGCTGGAGCGCATGTGTTGGAGACCTACTCTTGAGCAGTCCGACAGTCCAAGAATTGCCAGGTGCTGGGGATGGTGCCCGGTTGCCCATGAGACAGTCATCGTCGAAGTACTTATCCATCTGCATGGTCTCTTCCTTCCAAGATCTTCCAAGCTGCGGTCTTGTAGCCATGGTGGAACCAGTACAAAAACCGTGTGCGCAGGCCCCATTTCGTAGGAGTCGTGCTTGAGAGAGACAGTACAAACGGGCATTTCCCAAATTAGGGATTCCCCTCTTCTACCCCAAATAGAATAGAATCCCCCCCAAAGTGAGACGACACACGCTCGCTCACTGGGTTGCCTTGACGCCACTGCACGGGGCTCCCCCCTCTCCATTCTGCCTCACAGCTGCTGTCAAAGCTACATGGGTGGTTGTCAAAATTATGATCCCTTTTTGGGGTACCATAAATATTAGTATGAGAATGGGGATCCAAAAAGGACCATAATTTTGACAACCACCTACATGCTTCGGCTTCGGGGGCCCCGAGAGGCCTGAGAGGAACGCCCGAACGCCTCTGCTTGCCACTACAACTATCAAAAGCTAGCAGCTAAAGCAGCGATAGAGCATTATGATATGCCCTGTTCTCTTGATGCTGCAAATCTTGCATCCAATCTATTTGTGAAAACCGTTTGAACGAGTGAAAGGAGTGAGAAGGGAACTTTTTCGGCTGGTAGCCATACATGAGCAAAAGTGACAATGTAGCGACAACATACTGAGCAGTCGTGAGAATATAGTCAGGATTCCGGATGTATTCCGCTGTTTGTGAAACATGTTCAACTTGCTTTGGGAATCAAATCAGAGTGGCATCCCGGTTGAAAAAGACATGGAGGTTCAGATGAAGTACGCAGGGGGTGGATTCAAGCGCCGGCTGGCCGAAGTCCGGCCGAAATCTGCGCAGAAGCAAACAATCATCCCCTGTTCGCAAGCAGATTCCGGCAGACATGCGCAGGCAGATGTGGGGGTTTAATTATGGGTCCTTGTTATAAGGGGATCCTACTATTTGGGGGTCTACATTGGGGGGTCCAATTTTCGTAAACCCCCATATGAAGTAAGAAAACCATCCCCGACTCGTCCCCTTACCTTCCCTTTTGCTTCGCCTGAAGATCTTGCGGCTGCGGACGCCCAGGCCAGAACAGCCTGCGGGCTTAGGGTTTAGGGTTTAGGGTTAAGGGTTTAGGATTTAGGGCCTATAGGGCTTAGGGTTTAGGGCTTAGAGCTTAGGGCTTAGGGTCTAGTGGCAAGCGAACTCATCCCCTGCCTTACAGTCTTGTACCCTAAACCCTACACCCTAATCATCAGGGGGAACATCCCAAAATGTGCTCGTCGATCCACTATGTTCTCGTGGCTTTGAAATTCAGTACAACCTCGCAAAGGGAACACGATTGAGCCGTCCGTTTATCCTCGGTTAGGCCAAGCACACATCGGCCGAAGTGACTGAGGAACACCTTGACCAAAGTTTTCTCGACAGGGCGAGATTGATCGAAAGGTGTGTGTGTGTGTATGGGCTCAGAATATTCAGGTGATGTCAGGTGCCGTTGTGCGAAACATGTGCATTGATCTTTGTCGATTGTGCATGCAAGCTGCCACTCCGCCCTCTATTGGCGTCCGAAAAAGGTCCTCCTGTCAAGCAGCGTGGTGTTAAAGTTTTTTAAAGCCCTGCGCGCGGCGAAGGAGCCGCTTGGCGTGCTACGCATCTCGCACAACCGCGATATGACCCCCACGCACGTACACCGCAGCTGCTTGGGCATGTGTGATATGTCTAAGCCCGTGGTGAATGTCTCAGACACCGACCTCCAAAAGACTCCCACTGGCCCCAAGCCTGCAAATCTTGGGGGAGCAAGGCTGATTCTGAGCAGAAGTCTGTGCATCTGTTCAATAGCGGTTGAGACCCGGGCACCCCAGGCACAGTCTATAACTTGTGCGGCGTTGCTACACGCCCTCTCCCTGAGCAGCAGCAGGACTCGGGAGGTGCAAAGACATGTACAGTTTGGGACGTTCCCCCTTCTACTAATCGTCCTTAACAGGGATGATAGTACCCCCTACTCTCATCCCTTTTACGGACTGTTCGCGGATTTATGGTACCCCGATTCTAATCCCGGTTAAGGACTGTTCGAAAAAGGGGGAACATCCCAAAGTATACCGAGCCCTAAACCCTAAACCCTAAACCCTAAACCCTAAACCCTAAGCCCTAAACTGTGTGGACCATCACTTCGAAGAGCAGTTCAGCTGGGCCCGCCGACGTGCAGAGGGCCCAATGCTCCTGTGCGGGCAAAGTGTACATCCGAACTAGAAGCATCAAGAGAACCTCTTTGTATATTCATACAACATAGTCCACATTTGAAGGTGATTATGAGAATACTTGTGAATTGTTTTGATGAAAAAATAGTTTAACAAAATCTCCAAAGGACGGAGTCTGGTGACTGCGCAAAGCTGCGAGTAACTCTGCCTGAATCCAACTCCCAAGCGGCACCTCGAAGCCGTGGCACCCCGCCAGCGGGGTGTCCTTCGGCAAGAAGTCCTCCACCTTTTTAGGGTTTAGGGTTTAGGGTTTAGGGTTTAGGGTTTAGGGTTTAGGGTTTAGGGTTTAGGGTTTAGGGTTTAGTTGCGTGCATCTTCGCAGATCCGGATGCGCAAGCTCTGCTTGAACTGAAAGCGAGGCCCTCATACCTATGTACGGCAGGCACGAAACGAGCCCGCCCCCATTGCAAAAACTCTTGAGGATTCAGAAGCATCGAGCTCATTTGGGCACGGTCTTTTTCCCTTGGAAGTGCTCTTGCTAAACTTGTAGATGAGGACATTGGAAAGCTGGTGCATCCATGCTCATTCATGCCATCTGCTTTGCTGCTCGTGGCATCTGGCGGCCTTTTCGGGGTCGGAAGCGGCCATAGCCCGCCGATAGTCGAAATAAAGGAAAGAGAAAGGGCATGTAAAAAGATCACGCCGAAAGTTGGAAAATACAAAAGGTAATAATAATAATACTAATAATAGTAATAATAATAATAATAATAACAAAAATAATAACAACAATAATCATAATCATAGGAAGAAGAAGAATATTAATAAATGTGGCACAGGGTGGCTAATCCTAAGGCTCAGGTATGAAGTTAGAGGCTCAATTGGACCTGGAGAGTCGCAGACTCCACAGAGACTGACAGCAAGGACTTGGGAGACCATGATGGGCCACAAGCCTGGCCATGGACTTGTGCGCTCTGGAGAGGGGAAAATTGCTGAATACTGGCGTGGCACCCATCCGGTCTTGCGAGCGCCCGAAAGGAGTCCACGCAAACCCGAGCTGCGTGACAATCGAAACCCGAGCCTGGCACCCGTCCGGCCCTGTGCGCTCAGGGGAGCGGGCCAAGCTGCGTGACTCATGATCGAACACCATGGGAGACCACCCAAAGCGTGAGACCCAGCCGGCCCTGTCTGCTCGATCGGAGACCTTGGAAAGCACAGGCCCAAAACTTCGCGACGACCACCTGGAAGCGGTTCAACAAGGCTCACCTTCTCGGGCACAGCTGCTTGGCCCTGAGTAACGTTTAAAACCGCTTTGACGGCGTCAGCGTGTTCAACGTGAGATGTGAAGGAAAGTTTGAGTTTCGCAGTACACTTCGATTCGTTCGACAGCCTACGACGTCGAGGCCACCTGTCATCTTGGGAACCTTTCTCCGTTCAGGGAATGGCTCCATGCCACAGGAGAGCTAAGCAGCCCCCTTGTCAACGCTTGCAGACCCTGCCCCTGAGTGCACTGCTGTGAACGCGGGCGCGGGTGGCTGCGGAAGGTCAAGATCGTCCTGGCATGGTGCCAGAGGCTGCTAGTGCCAGCAGACGTGCAGAAAAAAAAAGAAACGCCCGGCACGGCATGCCATGGCAAATGCACAGCATGGGCATAGCCCTATGAACAATTATGCCAAGTACACATGTGTAGGTGTAGGATGAAGTGCAAAGATGTGCAAAGTATGCATCTCCCCAGGCCTGGGATTGGGGCGGGGCCGTGGTGCCCTCCATCCACTGGGTGTTCCTTTGCTCAACCATCCAGGTTTCTGATTTGAAGGGAGTTGCCTTGGCCTCGCCCTTGTCCTGATGCGCTCATCCGAGGGCGCTGCTCTTCACCAGCAGGCAGCGGACCCGCTCGCGTTGTTTGAATCAGAGGAGCTGCGGTCGGCTGTGCGCTGGGCACCGCTGTTGGACCTGCTTCGCGGTACGTGCGCACAGACGTTCATAGGCTGCCACTGAAAGACCTTCTAGCACTCACACCACAGGATTCCAGAAGCCTGCAAACTGTGTCGAGCTTGGAGGTGGAGCCGGCGGCGGAGGTGCCGGCGGATTTGGAAGCAACACATGGTGGACTACCTTCCATCAACCATGCCCCACGCCCCCACGCCACTTGCCACACGCACTGAGAAGGCCTACCACCTGAGGGTGGCACATGGATAGGTTGCGTGGGTTGCTGGCTCTGTTGGCCATGCTGATCCTAGGCTCAGGTGCCATTCAGAAGGTTGAGTGTCCAAGCTCACAATACCTCCTCTTCGGTCGTGATGAGGCTGGAACCCAAGAGTAGTAGGGCTCCTTGGGCCTTGTTTCAACCGGCGAGATCGCGGGCTGCTCACAAAGACAGCGGCTTGCACATTTCGTTGTCAAATGCCAAGTGGCCCCCAGGAGAACTGTCCACCTGGTGGTTGTAGGGGATCAGCGGCAGACGCTGCAGGGCCCTGAAATCCATGCGTTTACAAGCCAGCAAGAACGCGTTCAAACTTGCCGACAACTGGGCGCAGCACATTCAGAGTCTGCATGCCCGGCTGTCCCTGCTGGCCCTGGCCCTCGGCACGAGGCATTGTCCCAGCCCCATGCACCACGTGTGTCCCCTCGAGTCCCGCCCCATGTCCCACTCTCCACGGCCCACGTCCGTGACGCCCCAGGCGGAGATGAAGCTTCTAGGCTTATAGCATCTTATAGCGCATCCAGTGACTGAGGTGACCGGCACATCCCCGCTCGCAACAAAGCTCTTACGAAATGAAATAGAGACGAGCACCGGGCCCCCAAAAACACCCCGGTCCCCATCGGTCAAGTGCGCGCAATGTCCTGCGCACGTCCCACCGCAGTGTCCCATACATCTCCGTTCCACACACCGATCTCCCACGCATGCCCCACCACACCTCGCCCCCGTGCACGCCCCCCCCCCCCCCTCCCCCAGCCCATCCCATGTCCCCCATGTCTCTGTCTGGTGTCCCTCTGCTTCGCACGTAAGCCCATAAGCCCATGAACAGTCTGTTGGCTCTCCTATCCCTGGGCGGTCAGTGTGACAAAAGTTCGATGAATCATGAATCATACAGCATTCTGAGCACCGAACGAAAAACACGGGTTGCTGGCCCTGAGCTCGATCGAAGTGCAAGCATTGCATTTGGAAGACTCACTCACAGCACAAAACCTCCAGCACTGCGTCCCAAGAGCACTGCAACAAGTTCGCCGCATTTTCTTTCCCTCTATCACGATAATCTTCTCAGTGGATGCTGGGGGGAGGGAGTACCCCGTGTGTAACTCCCTCTCTCTCTCTCTCTTTTCTGTGCTTGCTCGCGGCGCACCTTGGTTTAAGGCACCCCCGTGATGCTTCAGCATGAGGTACAAGGTGCCAGCACTGTAACTGGAGCGAGTACTAGTTGAAGCTCCTAGGTGAAGCTGCTCCTCATGCCTTTAGTTCCCGGGTCCCCGGCGCTCTCTGCTTGTTTTCTGCGCGCTTGAGGACCCCGCCGCGCAGAAAGGCCCAGGCGCGACGGTCTCTCCCTCCCCCCCTCTCTCTCTCTCTCTCTCGCTCTCTCTCTCTCTCTCTCTCTCTCTCTCTCTTTCTCTGTCTCTCTCTGTCCTCTTTGGCTTGATTGATCTAAGCTTGGTACAGCATTCACCGTCTGCTGTTGCCCCGGAAAACTACCAAACTCCTGCAAGAAGAGGGAAGCAGACTTGCAAGGCCGAAAGCACCCTCTGTGTCATCGAAAAAAGTCGGGCTCAGGCCGCACTGCATCGAAGTAGTAGGGTCAAAACGAGCAGCGCCTGCCACCTGTCAAGTCTTTCACGAAACAGTAGACAGGCATGTCTGTCGTACACGGACGGACCGATATGACGAAGGCTCGCGTACACATGAACGGACCTGCCTCGCCATTTTTGCGAATAGCAGCGCCGAGTCGCTGGAGGAGGAGACGTCTATCCTGGCAGCAGCAATTCGCAGCTCACGCTACGCACAGGCATGCATGCCCACGGAGCACCGGCACGAAAGCTCAGCCGGATGTCAAAACATTCCGAAACTTGCCGATGCAGCTGGGATGTGCCATTTGGCACCCTGTCTCCCACACCCGGAGCTGAGACTGCATGCACGTAATGCACGTGAGGGCACGCGTTTTCAACTGCCTCCAAGGTTGCAGGTTGAAGCTGACGACACCCGGGAAAAAAGTGCACACGGACCCCCTTTTTTTCTGCACAGGCCGAGTTGTACAGATGCCCTGCGACCTACGCATGACACTCACAGCGCAGGAAAAACACCCAACGCAGACCTGGACAAGCAGCTTTCGGACTATAAAAGAAGACAGTGGAATACGCCTTCTCATGAGTTTTCCTTTTTCCTCACAATGACGATGTGACCAAGTTGCTTGAGATTGGACCATGCTTCGACAGGCCACACCTGGAGCCGAAAGCACTCTGCCATTGGCAATACTTTGGCAATCGGAATGTAGAAAACAGCACCTGAGCATGCTACGCAAGGTTGGTGCTCACCCGCTCCTGTGGTTCCAGCTCCTACGCAGGCTCCGTAATCACTGTAATCTGCAGGCGCTCGCTGACGGACGATGGGATGATGTGCTGCGGCCAACTCGGCTGCCGGACTGTCCTGCAGAGATTTCGCAAAATCCGCCCGGGAAATCGAGCCCACAATCCTGGGCACAGGAAGATTGCAAGGAATTGCAAGAACAGGGAGGAGCGTCCTAAGGATCAGAAGGAATGAGGCCCACACCAAGCTCCGTGTGGCCAATGCTCTACCCAAATCCAGCCTCTTTCCGATCTCCTGACATAGTGGAAGTCCTCAGCATGCGCCACGAAACTGAAAGAGCATGTATCCACTTGACCTTGTCTTTTGCGAATCTTCTTTCGTACTGCATGGCAGGACTTTTTTCACCACGCCTCTTGTTTTGGCTGATTCATGAAGCCCTGTAAGCCTGTAAGCATTGTAAGCACCGTAAGAGTACTGTAAGCACAGTAAGTCGTCCTTTTTGTATCCTTTGTGCCTTTGCACCTGGCGTGAAAGTCTGAAGAATGGGTGCAAAATCAATTTGAGTGTACATTGTTCTTCTTGGCATTGCTCGTCTTGTTGTTTATTACGCTCACCATGTCGAAGCCAATGACCCTCTCAGTGTCTCTTGTGTGCTCGGACGCCGTCACTCTTCTTGCACCACAGAGGTCAGAAGGACTGAGCAAGCAAGGAGGCAGTCAAAGGCGGATCAAGACCCATCAAGGCCCCCGAGGTTCGGGCATCCACGAGGGTCCGACGAGACTCCAGCAGCTCGGTCCAGTACTTTGCCGTGGGCGTCCAGCGAACCCTCCGGCTGACATGAAGGGCATCATTGGTCTGAGGATGTTCGGGGCAAGAGTCTATCTACACTGCGAAAGTTACGCCGAAGTCGCTTGCCCAGGTCAGTGCCCTTGTAAAGGTGCTGGCACTGGGGACCTTCTGTGCCTGTGGCAGGGACTTGCAAGGTGTTGAGTCCGAAGGAATGGCAAGCGATTGCATGTTGCGACTAGGCACGAGCAAGCCATAAATGTGTCAGGTTGGTTCATCAGCTAAGCTCTTTTCAGCAACTAGAGTATTTACAGCATAAAGCCGTCACAATCTGCGGCATCATTAGCCACTGAGCCCGCAACAATGTGACAGGAAGGAAACAGGCGAGAATCGTCGAACCTGCACCTCGTCCGCTGCACCAGATTGCCCGAAGTGCTGCAGTTATCTCAAACTGAGGACGCTACACCTTCTGCTTGTAGATGGAGCCACAGGTATTGCTCCGTGTTAATCATGTAGCCTTCCTGCGAGCACATAGTTGTTTGTGCCAAAGTTGCCCTATTGTCCCTACCTCACGCAGAGCAGCTCGCCTTGGCAACTTTGGCCAGATACTTCCAGGCTTCCCCGTTGAGCAGGCACTGGGGCGAGTGCTTCAAGCAGCGCCAAAAACTCCAAAGACTCCAAAAGAAGCCACAAAGTTGCGCGACGCACGGAAAAATGCGCAAGGCTGCCCACTTCCCAGCGGTTGAAGTAGGAGTGGAACCAGCGCTTGGGCACCGCGGCATGTCTGTCCTGAGACAACTGCTCGGCGACAAGTCGTCGGGTGTTCAGGCTGAGAGGCGTTTGGAACAAGCAGACCCTGATCTGGTCTCCTCTCTTCAAAGGGGGTTTAGGATTTAGGGTTTAGGGTTTAGGGTTTAGGGTTTAGGGTTTAGGGTTTAGGGTTTAGGGTTTAGGGTTTAGGGTTTAGGGTTTAGGGGTCCGGTGGCTTGGGCCACCCTTCCGGCTCACCGGGGAAACCCTCCCTTGCTGATTTCTTCGTTGTCGGCAGCTCCCGACACCCTGCCCAAGCTTCGCTGGGCAACAAGCACACGAGCACAGACCACGAGTCCACAGAAGGTACTGTAGATGGTGCTGTCCAAGACCAGGTGAGACGACATTGCCTTTGCCGACGGCAATGCTTTAGTTCGGGGGCAATGTGTGCATCCGCTTCGGATCCGAAATGGTGCAACCGTTGGTATCCTCGGCATCCATCAGACACTGCGTTAAGGCATGTTAAGAGCCAACTTCCAGTATTCCCTCGCAGGCCCCGAGAAATGGGTGGGCATCGGCAACGTGAGGTCCGTGGCTGGATGGGAGGGGGTCCCCCAAACTTACTTGCGCTACCGGTTTGGCTACTCTCCGGCGTCTTTTTCCTCGGCTCGCTTTCCGTATCTGCAACCCAACCATGCGACTAACTGCGAGCTGCATTGCTTGGACTACTGACGTGCACGTGATTTGGAGTGGCCCGGCTACCGAAGCAACGCGCACAAGCGTTTGCCATTAAAACCCGCAGCATGCGATCAGCACCCAGCATTGATGCCCTTCAAGTCGTTGAAGTTGTAGTAGCTGTTGTCCTGGGAACTTAGCTGCCAATAGGCTGAAAGTGTAGCACAGTGACGTCCACTCCTTCAGGCATGGCAAACTAGCTCCTGGCCCATGGGTATGTGCACGAAGTCAGGGCTCAGAACCTTTCGCTCTGCAAGAGAACTACACATGCAGAGGATATCTCAGGCCCAGCCTGAACAGGCGGGTGAGAGTGCGTCCAAACCATTTCTGCTCGTGCAAAGACCTTGAGAGCATCGAGGATTAGCTCATGTCACTTCCTTTGCTGGAGCTAAGGGCCCGCACGACCCACTCATACTCCCAACCTCTCTGCTGCCTGAGCTGGGGCGTCTCAGTATATTCTACAGGCCTTCTGTTATGTTAATCCTGGCAGCTTGCGTTGCTTAACAATGCGGCCCCGTACTTCCCCCCTGCCACCTTGCTCCCCTCCACTGCCCTGCACAACCCACTCCTTGCACACAGAGTTGTGTGCTTGAACTTTCCGCAGGACTCCCGGAATGCGCTTCCTACATACATCCACAAACCTACAAGATGACACAAGGTATGGACTTATAAACGGGATGTCCACATCCTGGTATCCTGTTGACGATTTGATCCTTGTCTACATCTCCCTACACGGCCCTGGTGTAGTGAGGGCGCCACCGCTGCCACAACATGCGAACTGAACTGGCACGCTCATTGTACTTAAGCCTCTCCTCTCTTGCAATCAAGTTTTTTTGTGGCGTGGACTAAACCCTAAACCCTGAACCCTCAACCCTAAACCCTGTTGAGCCTTGGGCCGGAACCCAGAACTCAGCCGATGTGAGATGCCGAATGCTATGTCCGGGCTTCTCTGCCCCATAGCCATCTCAGAATGTTCAAGGTACTTGACGCTAGCTCTACCGGGCAACCTTGCAACCTTCGAGCTGCTGTTTCTGCTGGCATTGTTGTCCGCCAGTGTGTTCGTCATAACATGTCGCCTCGGGCCACGACCAATGCTTACACAGCCCAGACCTCGCCCCGGACTCATCGGAAACTGCATTCGCGGCAACTCTGACTGAACTGCGGGTTCAGGATTCGCGCATCCGCCCCTCCCCTGGAGTAAGAATGTCTGCACTGATACCCCGGTACCCTCAGACACCATAAGTGCTATCCGGCGGCTCGAAGGACTCCACCATCCTAAAGGCAAAGTTGCAGTACAGTGGATTCCACTTATATATATATATATATGTATATCACTGCGGCTGTTCTTTCTGACAACTGTAGAAGCAGCTTTCTGCACCAGGGGGGGAAGGGGGGGTGCTCAAATGCCAGCCACGGCGAGGCCTGCGGCAGCAATGTTGGTTGTGATAGCCCCACCTTTCGAGAAAACAAACGAACGCAGCTACTTCTTGGAATGTGTACATCCACCGTGGCAGATCATTAGTACCCAATGAGCGAGGTCTCTCTTTAGTTCCTGGCATGCTGCTGCCCATTTGCCCATAAAGCGGGGCTCTCCAGGGGCCGTTGGCCTTGGCATAGAGCCTCCACAGCAGTCGACAACCACTGGTCACAAAGAAGTGCTACCGATTTGGTGTCTGAATCTATGTCGGCAAAGAACTCTGCAGAACCGGGAGTGGCACATCCACAGCCGACGATCCACGAACTCGCTGACTGTCCGGTTCTGGGCATCGCATTTGACTTCTGACTCCAAGGAAAAACTCCTCAGCGGCAGACTTTCCACAAAAAGAGAAACGCTCCACCGCCTCGAAGGTTTTGCGGTCAACGTCTGGAACTACAATTGCCGTGACCTGTTGACACGTTGCGGTTAGTGCTTGCACATGCATGCACACCAGTCTGCGAGAGAAGAACTGCTCAGGCTCGTTGCCACGTCACACGATGTCATATGGGGGGTTCCGAACTTAAGGGTACCTTGTTGGGGTCCTTATCATAAGAGAACCCCACTAATTCCTTATTGGGGTCCTTATTATAAGAGAACCCCACTATTTGTTGATCTATGTGGGGGTCCCCTGCCCTATTTTCGTAAACCCTCATATGGTCGCCATTACGTCTACACAGACCCTAAACCCTAAACCCTAAACCCTGGGGCCCCGGCTGCCCGGCCCAGGGCCCTGAGATCCTCCTGTCACTGGGCGTCACGGGAGCTGAGCCATGCCACTCTGGAAAGAAAAGGTCCGTGACATAAGTTTAGGGTTTAGGGTTTAGGGTTTAGGGTTTAGGGTTTAGGGTTTAGGGTTTAGGGTTTAGGGTTTAGGGTTTAGGGTTTAGGGTTTAGGGTTTAGGGTTTAGGGTTTAGGGTTTAGGTGTTAGGGTTTAGGGTTTAGGGTTTAGGGTTTAGGGTTTAGGGTTTAGGGTTTAGGGTTTAGGGTTTAGGGTTTAGGGTTTAGGGTTTAGGGTTTAGGGTTTAGGGTTTAGGGTTTAGGGTTTAGGGTTTTGGGTTTTGGGTTTAGGGTTTAGGGTTTAGGGTTTAAAACATCGACCCTGTATTCGGATTTCTTCCCTTCTAGGTTCCCCTACTGTCCCCCTCTATTCTGCACCCCCTAGGTTCCCCCCACAATCGAGGCTATTCAGGTATAATTAAGCCTAATTAAGTTATTTAAGGGGGGGGGGAACCTAGAGGGGTAGTTCAACTTTCACTTGAACTTGAGACATCAACTCAGGCTCCTCGAGAACGGGGGTGAACATGTCTGAGAACGGCACCTGGCCACAAAAACCCCACGCTAGACGCCTCACAGTGCTCCCATGTAAGTTCTTCGAACTTCCTTTGTACCTCCTTGCACAGCCCGAGGGCGCAAGAGGGTGCAAGAGGCCCTGAAGGAGCCCTTGGCCCCAAAAAAAAAAACAAACAAGCCGCGGCTACAAACTCTCGGGCAACAATCTACTTGCCCCATGCCGGTTCCCTGTGCCCTCGACACCCTTGAAACTCTGCCCGGGGAGGCATAGATGAAGGTGTCGCCCTGCAGAGCTTCAACCACCTGGTGAGTTTTCTTGAACAGCTGTGAATTGGATGTTCCCGGTGTTCCCCCTTCTGCTAACAGTGCTTAATGGAGACTATAATATATAGGGGGCACTAGAATCCCTATGAAGGACTGTTAGAATAAGGGGGAACATCCCAAGCTCCGAATCTCAATTTGCCATGGTTGGCCTGCCTTCTCACGAATGCCAGTGTAAGTCTTCACCACCGTGCGGGGAGCACCCAATACCTCGACTTCTCTTTAGGGGGGTGTTTCTATCAGGCGTTGCGGCTTTGCAAGAAATCAAATGAAGTAAAGCCTCTCATTTTCATATTGCATGTTCGCCAGCAGATTGTTGGGAACCCTAGTAACAGGAAAGCGCCTAACCCCAAAGAGAGATACTGAGGGCAAAGCCCAAAAGGTGAGATGGTGACAGGACACCAGGCGCACTAAGAAAGTCACGCAGGCAAACACCATACAACTAGCCACCCTTCCCTTGTTCTGAGGCTCAGGGGTTGTTTGCAATCTTGGTTTGAGGGCAATCTTGCCAGGGTCTGGCCTTCCCACCTAACCTATGGGCCTTCCTGCCCAATACCACCTTTTCAAGCTTTAAGGCTTAAGGATTGCCACTCATGGTTTAGGGTTTAGGGTTTAGGGTTTAGGGTTTAGGGTTTAGGGTTTAGGGTTTAGGGTTTGGGGTTTGGGGTTTGGGGTTTGGGGTTTGGGGTTTGGGGTTTAGGGCCTAGGGTTTAGGGTTTAGGGTTCAGAGTACTAGGCCTTGCGGCTTTCCAGGACATGTCATTCCAGGCTTTGCAAGCCTCCCGAGAATTTCACACTCAACTTTGATCCCGTCTCCGCTTTAGGTGGAAAAAATATAGGGGTGCCCTGCCAACATCCTTGTTCGCGGGGCTTCGGGCTTGCCACTCAGCAGCTACCATAAGGGTTGAGTTCTTTGCACCACAAGATCTCGCCTTGTCAGGGCTTAGGGCTGATGAAAGCAAAATAAAAGAGCTGCAGGGTTTTAGTGTTGCCACACGCTGCCACCCAACACCCAACATGCGCTAACTTGAACTGTCAACTTTGCCAACTTGGGCTGCTGCGCACACTGCCACGTTGGACTTGCCAAGGCCGTCGAAGCCTGCTTTCAGCCGGCACACTCGAGCACAGCGCAGCGAAGGTTTCACAATGAACGCACCGCAGTGAACATAAGGCTCAAGCATGCACAAGCATGCACAAGCAAATGCAGGTCTGGCCGTCTCGATCCCCTACGGACGGCAGGACGGACGAAAAGTTGGCCGTCAAGTGGTACTCCCAGGGCTCGCAAGCCAGCCACCTGCCGACGCAACTGCGATGGCGAAAGATGGCACTCCAAACAACATCTCTGCACACAGCTCTGCACACAGCAATGCAAGGCAGGGCCTTCCAGAATTCTCTGGCCCTTTCCCAACCACACACTTCTGGCCCTCTCAGAGTCTTCGACATATGTCTCATTTGATGAGGCGAGAGAAGCAAGGGTGATCATGTGCCTTTCGCCGCCGAGTCAGGTCCGCCAAGACGTGATGCCAGACCTGGGCCGAGAAGTGCACTTTACCAAGAGCCTGTGGGTTTAGGGTTGAGGGTTAGGGTTTAGGGTTTAGGGTTTAGGGTTTAGGGTTTAGGGTTTAGGGCTGTGGGTGTCAAAAAAAGCCCTTGCTCAGAACCCTGCTCTCTGGAATACACCGTGTTTCCGGAGCTCGCGGATCACATCAGATATTGACAGCTCTCCTTGGCCAAACAGAACCGACTTAGAACGATTTCCTCGACAGGTGTGCTGTTGATGCCAGCCATCTCAGCAAGCAGCCTGAAATTTCAGCTTTCCTTGCTGCGACGATGCGAAGAGCCTGCCGTTTAGTGTGCCCAAACCCGCATGCCGCATGAACAATATGTTCATAAGCGGCCAAGCATGGATACATCATCCATGCAAGAATCAATGAACGATTCTACATGGCCTTCTCCTGTGCTGACCTGACGAATCTCAGAAGTGCTTGCCAACGCTCGGAAAGTTCTTCGACGTCCTGGGCAAAGTTTATGGAGCTAGCAAGCGACTGCCACCGGTCAGATGTAACCGCACGTGATGATACCTGATCTGGCGACTGCACAAAGTTCTCGTCATGCGCGGAGCCTGCGGGCACGACAGTTTCCAAATAATGGGGGAGGGGTGGGGGGGGAGGGGGCGCTTGACAAATTTACGGATCACTTCCAGCCCACAGGCTTGCACAAGACAATCTAGACTCGACTGCATTTCGCGAAGCCGGTTTTTGTGCGACAGCCGCAAGCATCGCAGCAACGCGCAACCAAGTAGAAATGATATAATGGGTGCTATGCCTTGCCATAAATCTTCGCATGGCATGATTTCAGTGCTTCGAGCCGCTGGATCCACACTTCGCCCGCCTTCGCCTTCCTCACTCCGAAAACGGTCCAGCCACCTTTTGGGCAGAGACGCTGATGGAAGTCTGAGGGATAGTGCCGCTCAATCATGGTAAGAGCAGGCAGAACCAGACGCATGAGAGCCCTGGCAACCGGGAACAGAATCAGACAAACGCAGGCCTCCCCAATCCTCAACGGCAACCCCAAACCCTGCCCTCGTAACGTCACTGGGAATCCACACTTGAAGATGCTGCTCCAGCCCTGAGCCAGAAACTCGCCCCAGTCCACTCCCTCCAGGAACCACCTCACGCGGCCGCGCTTGGGTGTAGTGGATGTGGATGTCTATGGCTGAAGATGTGGATTCCCCTGGATGACGATTGATGTTTGTGGTTGTCCGGATGCCTATCAATCCGATGGATGCCTGTAGGTGTCCATGGATGATGTCTCTGGTGCCTATGGAGCTCAGAGGCCGGAAGCACCCATCATAGGCTTGGGAGCAGCACTGGTCCCTTTCTGGCTTCTTGGGGGGGGGGGAGGTCTGGATTTTGGGATGACCTTCTAGGAGCCCTGGAACGGTCTCGGGACCCCTAACGCAACCGCCGACCCTGCAGCATCTCCGATCTCCTCCGGCCCTTTCTCTGGGACCTGCCACCCCTGGGAAGTTTTCTGACACCATTTGAGCGACTGCCAAAACCAGCTGGCGGTGCGAATGGACGCAACATGAGGGGTGTCGCTTTTCAAGCGTTCCCATCGCTTTACAGGGTGTTAGCGTCAGCTGTCCACGTTTGATGTCTACTGGTGTCGCTTTGGGGAAAATTCACGGCTACGGTTCATTAACTTGTGGGTGTCGCTTTTCAGGCGTTCCCATCGCTTTACAGGGTTTTCGGCATTCCTCTCCACCGCTTACTTACTTGAATGGCGGGGGGTTTTGGCGCTTGCTCATGTCATTTCTGCCATCAAAATCCGTGTTCTGATATTGCTGGAATCTGGGACAGCTTCTCCGCCAAAACACAGCAAACAGTTCAGCAGTAGTGACCAATTGTTGTCACCATCTCGCTGAGTCCCACTGTGTCCCCCTAAACCCTAAACCCTAAACCCTAAACCCTAAACCCTAAACCCTAAACCCACAATCCCTACCGGACCTGCGCTAAGCGCGCCAAGCCCCAGCATGCCGGGCCTTGGCTTGATGGCCGCGTCCAAGGCTGGGCTGTCCTCTGAACTTGGGCCCTTCAATTATTTGGGTTTAGGGTTTAGGGTTTAGGGTTTAGGGTTTAGGGTTTAGGGTTTAGGGTTTAGGGTTTAGGGTTTAGGGTTTAGGGTTTAGGGTTTAGGGTTTAGGGTTTAGGGTTGAGAGTGTGCGCGTTGCAGCCGACACAAGCCCCTCACGCTTTCTGCTTTGAAAGTGTGGAGGAAAGATGCAGCACTGTCTTGTCATCTGAACCCAGGTCCTCAGAATACCAGAGCAGCGTTGCAACTGCGTAGGCAATGCCGCAGGAGCATGCCTGAATGACTGAGTGCAAAGAGGATAAAGAGGAGTCTGCACTCTCGAAGTGAGACTGTCGGGATCTCAAGCAGAAGCTACATCTGGTCCGTTCTGCCTGCTCCTGCGTGGAAAGCTGCGCTTGAAGCCCGCGCATGCTTCTGAAAGCCTGCGGCTGTGTGAAACGAAGATGCAAGCTGCGTGCGCACCAAACAACAGCCAAAAAACACATTTCAGGAAGTATCCCTCTGCGAACTCTCCCAGCCTCTGGTGCAGCTCGGAAGGCCAGCAAGGACGCATTCTCATTTGGCAGAGACTGGCGATGATACAACAGGCAGAAGAAAAGCCTCTAATGTCGCTTCACAAGGCCTCGACAGCCAAATCCAGGGCGCGCTTTATCTGCAGGCCAAAAACAGGGCAAAAGGCGCACAGGCAACAATTTGCGGTCAGCGACTGTATCAGTATGTCCACAGTCTCCTAGACTGACTCCCTCCTCAGACCCCCCCTAAACTTTCACATCTTTCCGGCCTCCTCCATGGCAAGAGGCCGGCAGGCATCCTCGTCACCTCACTGGTGCTTTTTGTGAGGTCTGGTGGGGGGGAGGGGGGGGGGCATTGCCATGCAGGAGAATCATGGGAATGTGGAGCTCTGTAAGGATCCTCTAATGCCAGGGCCGCGTCATTACCGTCACCACGCTTGCCGAGAATGCACACACCAAGTGCACACCAGTCGACCGGGGCCATGGCAACAGAACCTCAAAGCAGGACTCCCCAACATCGCAGGCATGTGAGTACTATGTGAGTAATCCCAAGGAGTCTTCAAGGCTACGCGGAATGTCACGACTCTCAGGCCCGAGCTCATAGGTGTACATCGGCGGGACCCAGCAGCCGCTTTGACCGCACGGCTTGGGCCTGTCATGCGGCTGAAACTGCCAAAGGCACTGCCCCGAGAGCCCGATACCCCTTAATTAAGGAATGTAGCTCAAATTCTAAAGGGATCCGTATTATGACTTAGGGTTTAGGGTTTAGGGTTTAGGGTTTAGGGTTTAGGGTTTAGGGTTTAGGGTTTAGGGTTTAGGGTTTAGGGTTTAGGGTTTAGGGTTTAGGGTTTAAGGACTATTCCTTAATAAAGGGGTACATCCGAGACATGGCGGCCTGCAGCAGTACCTTGCCCAAGAACCTTTGCTGCCCAAAGGGTCGTCTGCCCAGCAGGACTGCGCAGAGAGCAGGGCCAAGACACGGGGCGTGCTCGCGCTTAGGGTTTAGGGTTTAGGTTCTAGGGTTTAGGATTTAGGGTTTAGGGTTTAGGGTTTAGGGTTTAGGGTTTAGGGTTTAGGGTTAGGGGTTAGGGGTTAGGGGTTAGGGGTTAGGGGTTAGGGGTTAGGGGTTAGGGGTTAGGGGTTAGGGGTTAGGGGTTAGGGGTTAGGGGTTAGGGGGGTATGCTGAGTATACCGGTGACATGATGTGGGGATGCGGAGAGATGAACCTCCATGGTATCCAACTGCTCATCCTCGCCGGTCCTGTGAAGTAAGGTGAGTGAGACAAGGTGGGCGCTGTGCGGCCGCGGTGCACATCCGGCCTGCCCAGCCAAAATATGGCCAGTAGCAGAGTTACTGTCTGGCCTGAGTAAGCAGAGCTGTCACAGCACATCTACGGAAGCCTTGGTAACATCATCCCGGGTGATGCGTGATGCGACAGGCCACATCCACAGAAGATCGTAGCATCGACATCAAGACCCGGTGACACCCAAGGATTGAGGAGTGCAAAATGCACACACAAGCACCGGACTTCAAAATTGCATTTCAGGGACTCCTGAAAGCCATTGAAAACCCGTTCGTCGAGTACAGGACAATCCAAACGACCCCCCGAGGCCATCCTGCAAAGGTCGTGGGTCAGCCTCGCACCGAGCATCGATCTCCGAAGCCCGCACCCCTGACCTTCGATGCCTGGCTGAAACGCCTCCCACACATCCAGAAATGTTCGATGTGACTGATGTTGTTGGTGCTGGCTAACCTGAAATCCGCGTGCTGGGGTTGATCGGGATTCAGTCACGACCACGATAGGCTGATGTACCATCCGCAGCACCCGCATGGTCAAAGATGTCAAAAGTCTGGCAAGGGAACTCCGCAAAACGAGGCTAAGCCCCAAGCCCATGCAATCAGCCAGGTCGCACCATTCTGGGCAAGGATGGCAGCTATGGCCTGCCTCCCCGCCCTGACAAGGATGCCGCTGGAGCCACACTCAGAGACGCGGAACATGCAGCAATTTAGCAACTCAACTCGATTCCCCCGAACACTTCAGGCAACGTGAGTTTGCTCCATCATTTCTCCAATGCTGACACGCACATGACTTCGCTTTCCGATACTCTCAAAGGCTTGGGAGGTGGGCTGGCGGAAGCTCGGCATTGTTGGCGTTGTTGGGCATGTCAAGAGGCCGCAACTGCTGATCCTGGAGGCAAGTTGCCATCGGGGTTGCCTCTGAATCGAAAGTCACCTCCACCACCTGAGGAATCTTGTAGTCCGTCGTGTCGAACATTGATGCGAAGTTATTGCCGTGCAGATGCACAACCCGGAAACCTGCAAGCTGCAGCTTTTGCATCGCTCTCAAGTAGTCGGGGTGCTTGTGAACTTCTTGCAGCCAGTGAAATTCCACAGCCAACTGTCTGAACTTCTTGAGGGTAGTGACATCGGCATCTGCCAATGCAGCCCATTCAGAGCCCTCAATGTCGATCTTGCCAAAGAGACTTCTCTCGGCTGCTGCTCCCTGCCCTGTTTGTTGCAATGTCTCGGACAAGGTCCAAGCTGGCTGTGGGCCACCTGGTGTCGAACCCGTCAGGCAGCTGCGGAAGAACTTGCAGCCTGGGCACATCTCAGCTGGCTGGCTCACGGTGCAATCCATCTGATAGAGGGGCACCTTCCATTTTCCGGTTACATCACCTGACCATTTGTCATGCTGTTCTACGCCCACGGAGTACGCAGCCGTCACGCCATCCATGTGGTCCATGCACATGAGATAGCCACCATCGTGTGGCTCGCCAAAGCGGCGGAAGTTTGCGCAAGATCCGCAGATTTTGAAGCTTCGCAGGAGCTCTTTTGTAGCACCCTCTGGTAACGTGGCTGCATACTTCTCAAGACTAGCCTGCAAAGCAAGGCCCTCCTGCAGATCGGACTGCACTTCATTGAACACTTCATTGAGCTTCAAGCCCCAAGCCATCCTGAAGAGAAGCGCGCAAAGCGCGAACCCCCTGCCTGAAGCCATAGCTGCGGCCTCTTCCTACGGAGAACAAGGATGCAGCTGGAGCCACACTCAGAGACGGAATGAGCTGGAAGCTTCTCTCTTGGAAGGAGCAAGCAGTCCGGAACATGCAGCATTTAGCAACTCAACCCGCTTCCCCCGAACACTTCAGGCAACGTGATTTTGCTCCATCGTTTCTCCAATGCTGACACGCACATGACTTCGCTTTCCGATACTCTCAAAGGCTTGGGAGGTGGGCTGGCGGAAGCTCGGCATTGTTGGCGTTGTTGGGCATGTCAAGAGGCCGCAACTGCTGATCCTGGAGGCAAGTTGCCATCGGGGTTGCCTCTGAATCGAAAGTCACCTCCACCACCTGAGGAATCTTGTAGTCCGTCGTGTCGAACATTGATGCGAAGTTATTGCCGTGCAGATGCACAACCCGGAAACCTGCAAGCTGCAGCTTTTGCATCGCTCTCAAGTAGTCGGGGTGCTTGTGAACTTCTTGCAGCCAGTGAAATTCCACAGCCAACTGTCTGAACTTCTTGAGGGTAGTGACATCGGCATCTGCCAATGCAGCCCATTCAGAGCCCTCAATGTCGATCTTGCCAAAGAGACTTCTCTCGGCTGCTGCTCCCTGCCCTGTTTGTTGCAATGTCTCGGACAAGGTCCAAGCTGGCTGTGGGCCACCTGGTGTCGAACCCGTCAGGCAGCTGCGGAAGAACTTGCAGCCTGGGCACATCTCAGCTGGCTGGCTCACGGTGCAATCCATCTGATAGAGGGGCACCTTCCATGTTCCGGTTACATCACCTGACCATTTGTCATGCTGTTCTACGCCCACGGAGTACGCAGCCGTCACGCCATCCATGTGGTCCATGCACATGAGATAGCCACCATCGTGTGGCTCGCCAAAGCGGCGGAAGTTTGCGCAAGATCCGCAGATTTTGAAGCTTCGCAGGAGCTCTTTTGTAGCACCCTCTGGTAACGTGGCTGCATACTTCTCAAGACTAGCCTGCAAAGCAAGGCCCTCCTGCAGATCGGACTGCACTTCATTGAACACTTCATTGAGCTTCAAGCCCCAAGCCATCCTGAAGAGAAGCGCGCAAAGCGCGAACCCCCTGCCTGAAGCCATAGCTGCGGCCTCTTCCTACGGAGAACAAGGATGCAGCTGGAGCCACACTCAGAGACGGAATGAGCTGGAAGCTTCTCTCTTGGAAGGAGCAAGCAGTCCGGAACATGCAGCATTTAGCAACTCAACCCGCTTCCCCCGAACACTTCAGGCAACGTGATTTTGCTCCATCGTTTCTCCAATGCTGACACGCACATGACTTCGCTTTCCGATACTCTCAAAGGCTTGGGAGGTGGGCTGGCGGAAGCTCGGCATTGTTGGCGTTGTTGGGCATGTCAAGAGGCCGCAACTGCTGATCCTGGAGGCAAGTTGCCATCGGGGTTGCCACTGAATCGAAAGTCACCTCCACCACCTGAGGAATCTTGTAGTCCGTCGTGTCGAACATTGATGCGAAGTTATTGCCGTGCAGATGCACAACCCGGAAACCTGCAAGCTGCAGCTTTTGCATCGCTCTCAAGTAGTCGGGGTGCTTGTGAACTTCTTGCAGCCAGTGAAATTCCACAGCCAACTGTCTGAACTTCTTGAGGGTAGTGACATCGGCATCTGCCAATGCAGCCCATTCAGAGCCCTCAATGTCGATCTTGCCAAAGAGACTTCTCTCGGCTGCTGCTCCCTGCCCTGTTTGTTGCAATGCCTCGGACAAGGTCCAAGCTGGCTGTGGGCCACCTGGTGTCGAACCCGTCAGGCAACTGCGGAAGAACTTGCAGCCTGGGCACATCTCAGCTGGCTGGCTCACGGTGCAATCCATCTGATAGAGGGGCACCTTCCATGTTCCAGTTACATCACCTGACCATTTGTCATGCTGTTCTACGCCCACGGAGTACGCAGCCGTCACGCCATCCATGTGGTCCATGCACATGAGATAGCCACCATCGTGTGGCTCGCCAAAGCGGCGGAAGTTTGCGCAAGATCCGCAGATTTTGAAGCTTCGCAGGAGCTCTTTTGTAGCACCCTCTGGTAACGTGGCTGCATACTTCTCAAGACTAGCCTGCAAAGCAAGGCCCTCCTGCAGATCGGACTGCACTTCATTGAACACTTCATTGAGCTTCAAGCCCCAAGCCATCCTGAAGAGAAGCGCGCAAAGCGCGAACCCCCTGCCTGAAGCCATAGCTGCGGCCTCTTCCTACGGAGAACAAGGATGCCGCTGGAGCCACACTCAGAGACGGAATGAGCTGGAAGCTTCTCTCTTGGAAGGAGCAAGCAGTCCGGAACAGGCACGGCAGCATTCAGCCTAGCGTTTTCAGGACTTTGCTGTTTGGTTGCCGCGATGATGTCCTGCCAGCTACGATCAGCCTGCTCACCGTCACGCCAATCCTCACCGTGATGGGTCTTGCCATAAAGATGCCACCAATCACATGCAACTGTACGCTCGCCCCTTGAAGAAACAAACCTGCTCGGAAAAAGAATTGAGACCGGTTTGGGCCGATAACCCGGTTGGTTGGGGAGGTCTGTGTCCAGGATCGGAAAAACGGACTTCAACTGCAGTGCCAAGACCTTCGGGCCGTGTGCCGCTTGGTTTGCCTTTTGAAGTTGTGCGCTTGCTGCTCAAGCACGTTTTCACGCGCGCACACGTGTGCTAGCGAACAAGGCTTTGTCGGAAGCAAAAGTAAAAACTCGTCCCAGAGAATCCGAGCACCCGAAGAGCCATTTTGTCCGATTTCGGACAGGAAGTTGGGGATACTGCGCCCCTGGACGCTTCGCGGAATTCTTTCTCAAAAAATCGTGATTCACACAAAATCTTTGGAATCCGTCAGATTCACTCAGTCTTCCTTATTCTCACAGTTTATTCTCACAGTACCTTGAGAACAGTGTCATCCAGCGAATATAAACTTCATTCATTTGCGGAAAGTCTTGTTGTTGCTCGCTTGCCAAGAAAGAAAATGTACTTACTGCCGTTCACGGCTGCCCCGCCAGTGGCCATCCGACCCGGAATCTTACACAAGGAAAAGAAAGTTATCACTTACAGAGGAGTTTATGCTTTAGAATTGGGATGTCCACCCGTTATGCTAACAGTCCTTAGTAGGGATTGTAGTATCCCCCCCCCAATCCCAACTTTAGAATGTAGGTAAGGGTTCCAAGGGTCTCAGGGTGTTTGGGAATTAGGACTCCGATCCGTGGCCGCTGGTCCCGGCCCGACTAGCGTTCGGGGGATTAACACCGAAAACGTCAAACAAACTGAATGAAGTCTAAGATAACAATCATGTAACTATCAGATAACTATTATATAACTATCATATAACTATAGTATAACTAGAATGGAACTATAACAGAACCATAATCGAACCCAAAACAGAAACAAAATTCAAGCAACTACCTATCAAAACCAGGCACCAATACTGGGAACCCTAATACTCGGCGGGACTCTCAGTGGACTTCTCTCCGGGGTGCCGCGAAGGCCAGGAGACCGGTAAGGACAGGGAGCGAGGAGGCGAGGATAAGGGTTTAGGGGTTTAGGGTTTAGGGTTTAGGGTTTAGGGCTTAGGGTTTAGGGTTTAGGGTTTATTTAGGGTTCAACCCCATACCGAGGGTGCGGAAGAAAGCTTGGAATTACCCCGGTGAAATATGCATGGTCCGTGGCTTCCACATCTCAAGCCTTGTGTCAAAAGCGCGGTCCTTGCCGTAGACCCATGCAGCCCTGGCAGACTTAGTCCTGTGGAAAGAAGAACTGTGGACCTTAGCAATTTCATCAGCAGTCGCTTGCTTCGGATCCTAAACCCTAAACCCTAAACCCTAAACCCTAAACCCTAAACCCTAAACCTAAACCCCATACCCTTTTGCCGCCAAGGCGGCGCTTGTTGGCATCCGGCTCGAACATGATGTCCTTCGGCTCAAGCAGATAAAGGCCGTTTCTCAAAACCCTAAACCCTAAACCCTAAACCCTAGGAGCAACTGCCGCCGAAAAGCTGAGCCACCGAAGTGCTCCAGCAGTTGGTCTCTGCCTGCACAGGTGTTCTGAATCTGCGTTCTATAGGGGTTTATGGTAGGATTCCCTTCTAGTAAGGACCCCAATAAGGCACCCCCACCCCATATAGGGCACAGGTGTTTTTGCAACAGATCCGCCCCCTATCGCTTGGCACGCCTTCTCTCTCTTTCAGGTATCGGACTTACGGGGGGGCCTGGGCTTGGACGGACCCAAACGGACCCTGCCGCAGTATCATGAACTTGCAACTCTGGGATCCTACTCAAAGGAATCGGTGTTGCTGCCATGTTTTTTAAATTGAGAGCTGCAGGTTTGTAAGGGGGTGGACTAGAAAAGCTGATCCAAAGACAAAGCCAGACTGGAGTTTCTCACGATGCTTGTGACTCAGGGCAAGTTTAGTTGCGACGGGTTCTCATCATGCGAGCATCAAAACTTGCACTACCGGGGCCTAATCTTGACTCATGTGCACAATGGGCATTCTGCGTGCCTTGAATGAGCGAATAGCTGACGTAGAGGTTTTGCAGTGCCTTTGGCCCACCTGTACAGGGACGTCCAAACTGTAACAGTCCAAACTCAGAGAGTCCTGTCACAAAAGAACCCAAGAGAGTCCAAGAGAGCCCCAAAAGAGCCCAAAAGCGGAGCTCAGAAGAGGCCAAAGGAGTCCAAGAACTTTCGAGGCAAACGGGGTCTCTCCGGGCTCGCAGGCAAAGGCATGGCAAAGCAGCAGCAGGACCGGCAGCCGAGCCGGTCAGACCGCCTATTCCGTCGCAGAGCTCCCGGAGTCGAGTCCAGAAGTCCAACACATCTGACGCATGCTGGAAATCCATGAAGATGTACCCAACTGCTCGTCCACGTGTCTTCTCGACCGGCAGATAGAAGAACCTGCGCTGAGCCCACTTGATGCCTCTAAGCCCTCGTGAACACTCAAGCTCGCGCCTCAGCTTCGTGATCAGGTGACAGCTTTTCATGGAGTGCAGGAATCTCTCAGCGCTGCAAGTCTTAGGCAGTCCGCCGAGGATGATGGAGGTCCTGCAGCAACCAACCGACAAGGCCGAATTGATGGCTTCAGGGTTCACGTTGCCACCCCCAACTGTCCTGAAATCCAATCCCTGAGCTATTCTCTCAGGGATGAACTGATGGGCGCTCTCCCGGACCTCCTGCACACAAGCAGCTCATGTTTCGGATGTTACCGGAGTGCTATGAGCATGTTCACCGTCCAGCCTTCAAGCTCGCCGCAGCTAGCCGCTCTTGCCACCCTAAACCCTAAACCCTACCCCACAGCTCCTTGGCCTGATCACCCCGGAAAGGAGTAGGTAGTCGTCCCGGCGTTGGCGCCAGGAGTGTCGCATAGTCTGGGACCTCTCCTTCGGAGTGGAGAGTAGTTGGACTGACTCGCATTGACAGTGTGAAGGCATCTGCTCTTTGAAAGACCCCAGCCTGGGAAAGGACTTGGTCTGTCCTGACAGCTCCGGTCACATCACAGTGACCCAACCCCAGCACCCCAGAACAGAAGGCCGTTTTCGGCTCTGTCCTTGGCCGATGGACTTGTTGTCGTCGACTGCGACTGCCTTGGCACTGTTTGCCACAAAATATTACAAAATTCCAAGGTCAGAACTTCACGTTTCACACGTTTCACACGTTTCACGGACTGGAGAGAGCGATGACCTCAACTTGAAGCTGCAACAACGGTATATCGGTGACCCGACTCTGCATCGAGGCAAACATTGCCACTGCACCTTGTTGATTACCAGATGTGATGCTGAGCAGTCCGAAGCTTCTTCCATGAACTAGGCAGCCGCTTCTTCCGCCGCCGTGGAAGGGTTGTCGACTTCTGCATTCTTGGGGGAGGGGGGGTGGGGGGGGGGGGGGGTTGGTTACGTCCCTCGCGTTGCAGTCGGAAACATCGGTATTTACAGCGTTTTTTCGTCTTGCGCTGGTCAGTCTCGTCGAGTTTTCGACTTTTTCTGCGTTTGACAGAAACGCTGGTTTTTAACGTTTTTGCGTTCTTTTGGGGGTGTTTCCCGACACCTCGGTATTTACAGTGTTTTGGGCACTTTTCCATGCTTTCTTCATTACGCTGAAAACGATTTTGGTTTGCAACTTTTCGCCGTTTCTGTTGGGAGGACGGGGCGGGCCGCTTCAGAATCCTCGGTATTTGCAGCATTGTTGGGTCTTTTGGAGGGAAATACTCGGTATTTACAGCACTTTCCGCACTCCTCCTTTATTGTTGTTGTGGTTTTTTGTTGGTCGTGGGCGTTGGTCGCTGTTTTCTGCATGCCTGGCTTTCAGTTGCGGGCGGGTGTCGGAAACGTCGGTATTTGCAGCGATTTTTCGTCTTGGGCCAAAAGTAGCAAAGCTTGCAGCAGCAGCTGCCCCTTGTAGGGCCGACTGAACTACAAAGGACACTGCTGTTGGCGGAAAAGACAAAGCGCAAATCACGAACTTTTCCCGGACATGTGTGTTGCCAAAGCCCCACGTTTTTTCTACATAATACAAGAAGCGGCCACTACGCCCCCTCATGCGCGCCCGAAAAAGGAGTCTGTCTGATCCGTGCCCTCCTTTCAAGCTTGTACACATGAGCTGATTTTGAAGATCGCACATCTCACAATATGTCTCTTTACTCAAATCTCGACCCACCAGTTGGCTCCGACTCTACACAGACGTTCTGATGACCCTGGCTGGAAGAGGGCTGATCCTACATGGGGGTTTCCGAAAGCAGGGGTCCCCTTTTTGGGGGCCCTGTAACGGAATTCCATTCTATTTTGGGTCCAAACAGGGTACCCCTATTTGGAAAAATTGGTAGAGCCCGAACTCCAAGGCAGGAAAGAGTGGCAGAAGTGGACGAACGCAGTCAAACACAAATTTGCTGACATGGACAAAGTCTTTACGGGCAAAAAGTAGTTTCCCAATGCAGCTTCGGCGTACAGCTCGCCAACAGTACGCAGGTGGTGCTTGTGGAAGGTTCGCTGACTCTGGCGGACGCACGAAGTCACATTATGGCGCAGAAACGACCCGGCCCGGCCTCCGAATGGGAAGGGAACCCTCCTCCTACGCATTCGAAACAGCAGAAACCCAGATCTCCTCGCCCTGAACTTGGAGCGACTCAGCATGCGGCTCGTTGGTACTGGAGAGAGATTCGAGGATCTCCCCTGCACGCTCCACTGTGGGCATGAACTCGTTGGCGGAGTCGGTGCAGTCAAGCACTTTCTCCTCCAAGGAACAAGTGAAACGAACTGTATTGCGATCGCGTCATGACTTCAAAACCCTGCGTCATTCTTCGGAGACGAACCTCATTTGAAAGCATACCGAACGCTGTCGGAAACAATCGCGCAGTTGCTCTATATATTCTTGTTGGCTCTCTGCTTTTTGGTGGCAGCTGGCCATGAAAAGTATTGAGAATGCTGTTCCCCCCCGCCTCCCCCCCTTCCCCAGCCCAAGGCTTTTGAGCTTTGAACCCTAAACCCTAAACCCTAAACCCTAAACCCTAAACCCTAAACCCTAAACCCTAAACCCCAAGCCCTAAACCCTAAACCCTAAACCCTAAACCCTTTCGTTTTGCTTGAACCCCTTGCGGGCTCCGGGGTCAATGCCAAGAGGAGCTTCTGTGCTGCTTTGGGCTCGGAGAAGGTGACGATGACTTCGCCCTTGCTTCTGCAACGTTGCCTGAGGCAGTCGCGCGGGTTTGGGGTTTAGGGTTTAGGGTTCAGGGTTTAGGGTTTAGGGTTTAGGGTTTCAGGGTTTGCCAAGCATTCTGTCCAAAGTTGCGATACCATCATAGATCTGGACAAGGTCTGGCTAACCCTAAACCCTAAACCCTAAACACAGAAGAGTCGCATATCTAGGCCAACAACTTCGCCAAATCGTTGGAATGCACGCGCGGCTGCATTAGCGGACAGGGTCTCAGCCACAGTCATGGGGAAGACTGCCTGGCAGGGACCAGACAGTGCGCACCTGCAGTGCCCGAATCCAGGGACTGTTATCCAAGAATAGCAGTCCCTATACTACCCTTATAAGGAAGAATATTGTTACTTTTTAGTCTTTGAGTCAAGCGCCCAGACCCGCACAGTCCCAAGCGTCAGGACGTCGACGACAGTCGCCGAGCTTGGCGGATTCCAGCACGCTTCCACGGGAAGCGCGAAGGCCGCATGGGGCCGATGCGACTGTTGCTCGGGCCGGAAGAGACCCGAAACTCGGTTAGCCATCTGCTCCAGATGTTGAAGCTGCATGAGCTGCTGCTGCTGCTGCTGCGCGACCTGTGGGGAGGCAGAGTAAGCTGAATGTCTTCTAGCGAAGAAAACTATCAGATGAACACATCTGCAGTGGCTGCACCTGCTGAACATGCTGCGGCTGCAAGTCTTGTGGGTAAGGAACGTGCATCCGCTGCCCCATCACCTGAGGGCACACGACACAACGACCCAATGCAAAAGGTCGAAGATTGATCAGTCCGTCTCCCGACGGGATGAGCTCGAAGGTGTATAAGGGACTGGTACAAGTGGCTTTGAACGGAAGATTGCAGACTCTGGAGGAGTGTTAGCAAGGCGCAGGGAGTTCAGCAAGAAACTACAAGGGGATCGAGGCTCCTGGATTTTGTCCCGATTCTTCCCCTTGCCGAATCCCCAAGTCACTCCCCGAATCGCCCGTAATCCCTTTGTGGCAGCTTCTACCCGAAGGCGATACTCTTTAGGGTTTAGGGTTTAGGGGTTAGGGGTTAGGGGTTAGGGTTTAGGGTTTAGGGTTTAGGGTTTAGGGTTTAGGGTTTAGGGTTTAGGGTTTAGGGTTTAGGGTTTAGGGTTTAGGGTTAGCCCTGCCTGGGATGATGCCGAGAGATCAGTTTGACCATACTGGCTGCAGGGACCCAGCTGGCCCACATGAAAGCCTTGCCCTGGCGTGGCCAACGGCCCTGGGCCCTGAGGCAAGCTCCCGAGCCAGAATTCCGCCATTGCTGAACCGTGGCTGGGTATGCTACATTCTCAGAGCTGAAGGCGCAGGTAGGGCAAGGATGAACTAACTATCCTATGCTAAACCCTAAACCCTAAACCCTAAACTCTAAAAAAGACCGGCAACCTTTTCCACGGGAATGGAAAGTGCTTGAAAAGAGCTTGGGCCGACAGATCTACTGGAAATGCGCACGCGGGCTAGTGCACGAAGACCCATCTGCGCAAGCTTGCCTCAATGCTCCACTACGCCCACCCTGAACCCGAACCTTAGACTCTAGATCGCAAACCCTAAACCTCTAAACCCCAAACCCCCAAACCCGAAACCCTAAACCGATAGTGCGGAGGAACGGAGCAACGGAGCGGAGTCGATTCAGAGCGCGCCCGCTGTGCTGGTGAAGAAAGCTAAGACCGGCTTTCAACGCACACCCTGACGATAATTCTTCGTGGCTCAACCGCCGGTGCTTGAACCGACAGGAGAGGTAGGTTGAGCTTGCACAGGCCCTTCCACACAACTGAGTGAAACTGCACCAATCTGCACCACAAGCACACACAGCGCTGGGAGCAGATCTGTGATTGACGCTACCACAGCCAGCTCCAGAAGGACCAGGCAAGCCGGCACCAGTCTGGCTATCAACAGGTTTGCATATGGGAGGGCACCAGGGGCAGATGCACAGGAGCCTCACGGACATTTTTTTGAGGTTGCCAACGGGCCCATCTCAAAGAGAAAGAGCAGGCCCGGTCTTCGCAGTGTGGCCGATGAAGGCCTTGGAGGACAAGGTGGCCTGGAAGCGAGGAGCCTGGAAAGCTCGGATTTGTGCGGGAGATTGCGGGAGCTGTCTTCACCACATAGGCTGCAATGTCATGTGCGAGACGGCGGGCGTCTGCGGAGGCAGATCTGGGTGGTTTACGGCTCACAGCGATCCGCCTACAAGGCAGTGAGCTCGAAGGCCATAGCAGAGTTGCGGACGCTGGTCATGTAGTGGGCCGGCCTGTCTCTAGCAGAACACACCAAATCCTGAACAGTGTTGAGCTTAGCACATCCAACACAAAGTATTGCCAAGTATGCTTTGCATTGGACGGCGTGAATTGCACACCCTATACAACATCTAATCTCAGGCGTTCTCCATCTTTTCTGCCGCTGGCGAGTGGGCAAAGAGTTTCACTAATTCCGGATGCGATTCGCCTCACGGAACGTGTGGGCATGTGCTCATGCCTTCTGCTTCGCCTCCTCGAGCACCTGGAGCTTAGGGTTTAGGGTTTAGGGTTTAGGCTAATAGGGTTTAGGGTTTAGGGTTTAGGGTTTAGGGTTTAGGGTTTAGGGTTTAGGGTTTAGGGTTCGGGATGAAGGATGCTGTGTCACTGGAATGTGCTTCATTGGCCGCATTGCGAAGTTTCCGTGGCACCTTCAGCAGGGCGTCGTTGGCAGAAAGACCCGTGGCCATGAGCTTTACCACCCTGACAGACAGGCGGACAAACAACAGCTGCTCGACCGAAAAGCTCTGTGCAGAAAGGCTGTTCTTGTCCATCCATCATTTCAGGGCCCACCTGGCACGCAAAGCCGCTTGGGCGTCCTCGGCGCCTGCGCGGACATTCTTGCATTTGGATTTGGACCAGGCTGTCACAAGCTGCTGAGTTGAATCAGACTCAAGCACGACGGGGTCCACACGCAACGACAAGTACTATGTACAAGCAGCTCAATCGTCCACACAACGTAAACCTAAATTCCTAAACCCTAAACCCTAAACCCTAAACCCTAAACCCTAAACCCTAAACCCTCCATCAAGCCTCAACCTTGGCGATGGGTCGAGAAATTTTAGCAAGTCAACGTCCAATGCAAGGACGCCACCAAACATTGCACACATAATTGCGTGAATCACCCTGCAACAGCCCCATGTTCCTTGCACTGCCTTTTGTGGCAGGGTTGAAAACCTGTAACACTGGTAGAGGTTTTCAGTTTGATAGAGACAAGAGCATGCCTGCCATTGGTGACCCACGGGTCGTACGGACGGGCCCGTGCAGACGGCTCACGGGAAGGTGTGGTTCCGACAGCCGCAAGAGGCAGCCGAGCTTCATTTTGCTTGAAGAGTCTGGGTTACCTTAAAGTTGAGCTGTGTGAGCTGCGCGTGCTTTCAGCGTCGGCTCCGGCCTTTGTACCCCGCGGTTGCGGGTTGCACAGCGCCTGCCTGGTCGTAACAGGGCCGCGCAAGCTGGAAGTTCTCGAGGGGAAGACTTAGCCATGTTTTTGCCTTTCAAGGCACTTACAGGCACTGATGGCATGTAGCTTCTACCTGATCCTCTCCTTACTCAACGCAAGCCTGAAGACACAAACTGCCTACTGACACTCCTCTTCAACAGACACTGGTTCCTCATCAGACTCAGCATTTCTATGGCTTGAGACTCAACAGTTGACAGTTGAATCAACAACACGTGAGTCCTAACACAACTTGAGGCCGCCACTTCCAGGCCCGACTCTGAGCACTCGAGCGCCTTGGCAAGGAAGAGCGCACAGATGCGTGTGAGAAGGACCCTTGTTTGGGGGGACCCTTTCAGGGGACCCAAGTCGGAACATCTCGGGGACCTTCGCAATCTAAAACGACGATGCAACTAGATTAGCTTCGATCAACCAGCCCCTTGCAAAACTAGCTGATTCAAACATATTTAAACACAATGCCGAGCGGGAACCCATCCAAGTCCAAGGATACTCGGAGGAAGTTTCTCCGCAGGATTGTTCCCTAAACCCTAAACCCTAAACCCTAAACCCTAAACCCTTAAAAGGTGGGGGGGGCACAGGAATACTGGGCCAGGGACTCTGCGGACTGCTCTGCAGAAAAGTTCTGCAGAGAGTTCTGCATGGGCAAACCTTTGAACCTTTTAGACCCCTAAAGGGTTTAGGGTTCAGGTTTTGAATGCCTTAACCTCAAACCCTTGAGGTTTAAATGCCTAAGTCTTGAACCCTAAGCCTTGAAACCTACACCCTATAGGAATTCAAGGTTGAGAGTTTAGGTTGAATTGCCGGCTCAAGACTAAATGCCTAAATCGTAAACCCTAAGCCTTTAAGCCTTAACCCTATGTATAGGGTTTAAAAGTTGAAGGTTCAGGGGTTTTGGACTTCAAACCAAAGTTTTGAACTTCAAAACTCCGGGATCCAAGATTCAAGATTTAGGATTCCAGGAAAAAGTTGCCCCAGCATCTTGAATCTTGAATCTTGGATCCCGGAGTTTTGAAGTTCTGAACTCCGGATGGAAGTTCAAAACTCCGCGTGCTTTACCATTGAGGCCTCGAAATATATTCACACAATGACTACACAATATCATCATATTGTACTATCAGAGAATAAGAATACGACCGAAGCTCTCAAGTAGCCTATTCCCCCTTCCCGATAGGCTCTAAAACCACCCAAACAGGTGGATAACTGTAGGGGGGGGGGGGGGGGGGGTACCAAATCTAAACATAAGTTTAAACAGTATAAAGACAAATATGAACAAAATATAGATTTAAATATAAATATAACCATAAATAGAAATATAAATATAGTAATATTAAATTTGATAGGAGATAATATAAAATATATTATATCTTATTTTATTCTATTTTTTATACTATACTATATTATATTATATTGTATAAGATAAGATAATAAGTATACATATATGTATGTATATATATATATACATATATAACCCCCTCCCCCGCGGCCCCGTCGGCCTTCTGCTGCGCGGCCTGGCTGGCCCCAAGCTCGCCTCGTTGCGCCCGCCAATCGGCGTCCCCGCTGGTGCGTCCGACCTCTCCAAACCCCCCCTTTTAAAGTAGGGTTTAGATTAGTGTTTTTGGTGAGTGTATATAAGGTTCCCCTTGAATATTGGTGAGTGTATATATTGGGTGTCCTTTTAAGGGTACAAGAAATATATATATATATATATACTTCATATCCATCCATATCCGTCCATACCCATCCATTCTCTCTCGCTCTTCCTTCCATCGCATGTGATCTCTTCGAAGGGAGGTCGGGGTCTCTCTCTCTTCTGTGCCACTACAGGGCGGCAAAGCCTCTCAAGTTTCTAAGGTCTTCCAAGAGCAGAGCCTAGCCATTTTCGGGCGTGAACTGCCTGTTTAGGCACTTCGGGCGAAAAGAACCGTTGTTTCGGACCATTAGAGGCTTAGTTGTTGGCAGGCGGCGGCAGACTGCATGCACCTAGGACAGACTCTACTTTCAGAGTCAGGGGCCTGCATCATGTGTTGGAATCACACATAGCCGGGCGAGTCTGAGACGCTGCTTCTTCTCAACGCTCCCAAGCACTGTTGCAGGCCTTTGTCGACTTAGCATACGGATGAAGTGTCGAGATGTCTCCCACTGCATCTACGGTTCGTGTGTGCGCTTTCCATTTTTGTTGTCCTTAGCTTGTCCTTGTATCCACCGGCTGGTGCATGGCAAGGTTTGCATCAGTTGCCTTAAAGGGGGTGACGCAAATTACGCCAACCCTAAACCCTAAACCCTCAACCCGAAACTCTATACCCTATACCCTAAACCCGAACAGGACAACAGCAAGTGCCGCAAAAAGCCGTGGAACACGAGCGGAGACTCTCCGGAAGGCCGAGAGACGCCCCTCTCCAGGCACTCATGGGGGTTTTCGAACATAAGGGACCCCCACTGTATATCCCAAAAAAGCAGCATTCCCCTTTTCATAAGGGACCCCACCTTGCTTGGAGCCATCTGGCGACTCCTAGGCGCGTAAAGCCCACGATCCGCACGCACACGAGTTTAGAATCTCGTCACTGTTCAGCGGCTTAAGTGCTGTTCTGGATGCTCCCGCTCCACTGCGAAATCTGGCGGGAGGGGGGGCCACCCAGGACAGTCGACAACAACGAGGACATGTCAGCATTTTGGGACATGTAAAGACAGAATGGCTACAGAAGCAACACCACCACTGCCCGGCTCACGAAGGAGCATCGATAACGTGGTGGCATGTCAATGTCGTGGGCCTCTTCTGCTGCGGAGGAGGGTTTTGCCGTTTCCTGCACTGCTTCCGCGCACACCCTGGCAGTGATCATCGAACGGCGCGCGGCAGCCACCGACTCAGGGTACCTGAGAGGGGACACCCTTTCACATGAACCGTGCCCAGACCAGCTTCACCCAGAGAGCCCGATACCCCTAAATTAAGGAATGAGCTTGAATTATAAACGGATCCTCATTATGACTTAAGGAATATGAATACTCCTGAATTAAGGGGTTTTGGGCTCTTTGGGCATCTGTGTGACACTGTATGGCTATTGCATCTTGTTGCGGGATCAAAGATCGATCGAGGGCAAACTCGCTCATGGCGCTCACCGCTCTTCTCAATTCCTGCATTGACATGGAGAAACAGCCCGCATGCCATAAGGGGGGTTTACGATAATCAGGGACCCTATAACAGTCCCCCGAATGGTACGATCCCCTGATAATAAGGACCCCAAAAAAGGTCCCCGAATATCGTAAACCCCCATAACTTTGCTCCAAAAGGGATATAAGGACCCCAATAAGGTCCCCCATATCGTAAACCCCCATAACCTTGCTACGTTTAGGGTTTAGGGTTTAGGGTTTAGGGTTTAGGGTTTGGGGTTAGGGTTTAGGGTTCAGGGTTCAGGGTTCAGGGTTCAGGGTTCAGGGTTCAGGGCTTAGGGCTTAGGGTTTAGGGTTTAGGGTTTAAGGTTTAGGCTTTAAGGTTCAGGGCCCACCAGCGATGCCATGTAGATGCCCATGCAGGTGCCATGCAGGTGCCATGCAGGTGCCATGCAGGTGCCGGCCTCTTCCGAGCACTGCGTCCGCCGAGGGAGCAGCTCCTGGTCTGGGTTTCGAATTTAGGGTTTAGGGTTTCGGGTTTAGGGTTTATGCAACAGTTTTGCAGTGGATCAAGGCTCTCGGCTAGCATCTCCTCGAAGTTCTGCGTGTATCGCTTGCTCACATCCACCACGTGATCGCGCGCGAAGCCGATGCAGTACGTGAGCTTCTTTCCCCAGCCCTTCCTGCACACAGAACTGGGCCAACAGGCCCAAAAGAGAAAACTCGGCCTGAAACGGGGTCTGTGAGAGGTATCATGCTATCTACAGCGACGACTATTGCTCAAACATGTGCGAGAGGTGTTTACTATGGTCAAGAACACTTGCGGTTGAAGTAAAAACAAAAACTATCAACAAGCCTGTTCGTAGTGTTAACGACACGACATGGATGCTGTTCTTGATGCTGACACTGTGGTTCGTGATTTTCTAGACGTTGGCAATGTTGGCGTTTAGGAGTATGCATGTATAGTACCCGCGTAGACCCCAGACAGTGTCCAATCATGTCCAAACATATGGGTATTTCCCAAAATTGGGGTACCTCTTTCATAGCCCAAACAGAAGAGAAGGCCCTTAAAGGGACCCCCAAGCGGGTACCCCTATTTTCGGAAACCTCCATGTGCAAACAACAGCCTAAGCACTGGAGGCTCCCTGCCATTCACTGCTGAAGAGTCTCACGTGTCACGAGGCCCTCATGAACCCTCACAAGCCCCACGAATTCGTCTTTAGGTCTTCAGTCTGTTTTGCGCTGCTCTTGCTAGATGTTTCAGCAGCCTGTACCACAAGTCCAGGCTGGGCGTAGGAACTGAGATGAACTGAGTCCAAAGTCCACAGTGGCTTGGACACATTGGGGGACATCCTGGGGACAGCCGCGTTTCCATCGTTCGGTTGTTGGCTACAGTTCATGCGCCATCCGCGGTTCAGGGGGTTTTGGGGCTTCAGGCGGCTAAGGGTTGGAGGCGTCCAGTCGTCCCAAGGGGTTGAAGGGTTTCGAAAACCCCCCCCCCCCCCCCCCCCCCCCCCCGCATAAGGAGGGGGCGGGGGCGGGGTTGACATATTCGGGTGGTCCGAGAGCCATTGCTGGACATGCTGCGTGCTTGCCACTTGGCGGCAGGCATCTTTGAATGTTCTTTTCCGAATACCCCAAAAAATCGATTATTTTCCAGCTAGGGTTTTGAAGTGCCGTGCTTCTGAGTCACAGCGAGCAGATGCACAAGGTGCACCAAACAGTTGAAGCATTCTTGCCGCCAGGAGGCTCATACATCAGGGGAGCATCGACAGCGGCCTTGGCTAAACAAGAAAGCGCAACAGCTGCACTCGGGCATGCGGCCGCTGCTTGCCCTGTCAGATGGTGAAACTACAGCGCGGCCTCGCAAGAATCGACGTGGATCCACCTCTGCAAGTTTCTCACAAAGCCGCCCAGTGCCGCTTATAAAAGTCCACTCCACTAAGAGATGGCTAAAGGAAGATGGTGCCGCAACAAGCGTTCAGCTCTGCCTCTTGCTAGAATCGGAAAAGATCTCCGTCCAGACGTGGTCTGTCCAATCGTGGATATGCCGAGCCTCATAGCCTCAGCAAGCAGACAGCACCCCAAAGGCCCACCTGCATTTGCATCTGTGAAGAAGTAGCAGGACCTCGCACCAGACACCACGAAACCCCGAAGCAACCTCCACAAGAGCCGCTCAGCGGCCTAGCGAGCGGCACACCAGCGTAAAGCAATTGGCCCACTCGCCACAACGCCCTGTCCGGGTCTGAAGCAACTTGGCAGGATCGTTGTAACCTTGGAATCGAGTATGTCAAACAACAGCACTTCGAAAAACCATCAAGAAGCCCATGTCAAACGGTGGCCCCTTGAGGGCCCGACGTGGAAACCGAGTTTGCCCGCCGCATTTCGAGCATGCAGCAACTTCCACCGTGTTGGCCTTGAAGTGCTGCTCCTTTGCTCAGAGGCTGCTCAATGCCGTTCAAAAACCAACACACACCAACTGCTTCACAACCTTACGGCCATTTCACGACCGGCGTCATCTAGCAGACTAGCCTAACAACACCTCTTTCGACAATCAAGGGGCTTCAGGCGTCGGCTCTGCCCGACCAACCGTTTTTGTCTCTGTGGAGCCGCAGTGCTCGCACCTGCCCAGGACCAGGAGTGAAAGAGCCCTACATCATCCCACATTGTCCATCTTATTAAGTGCCCAAAGAGCCCAACACGCCTTGATTAAGGAATATTCCCAAAATCATGATGAGGATCCCTTGATAGTTCAAGCGATTTTCCTTAATTAAGAGGTATGGGGGTCTCTGGGTATCCCTCGCGAAACGTTGGCACCTGGGCGCGTTCGTCCAGCTGAAAAACTCATGCTTGAACCACCGCACCAGCCTAGGAAGGGAGAACAGGAGCTCGGAACGGATCAGATGAACCGAAGCTAAAAACCAATTGCATGGCGTTCCAAGAATGGAAACTGGACAGCCTACGCACAGTACTGGCTTGACGCGCTCCTTCCGTGTTGCTTTCAACTGAAAACACGCTGTGCAGTGGGCCGCACACACACACACAAACGTCACCTGTTGCCGATGACGCCAAAAAAATCCGCACATGTGCTTCAGGCACAGGAGATGGGAAAATCCAAAAAAGGGTATTTCTTTCAGTCATCCCCACCCTACAGCTAACCGACGTGGGAGCCATCCTGCCGTTTTCGGACAAGTAATTAAGGATACTTCGTCGCGGCTTTCGTCGCGGACTCTCCACAGAGCGGTAGGTGCTTCAGAGATATTCGGCAGGATACTCTGGGACTCTGCGGGCCTCTTTGCGTGTCACTTGCGAGGAGGGCGAGAAGAACAGTTGACTTGACACCTAACACAACCCCACACCAAGGGTGGGAAGAAGTAAACCAGCAGGAACAGTTCAGTGACAGCACCTTTCCGAAAGCGTGGGGTCTCTACGTAAGGCAATCAAGCTGTTCGACGAAACAAAGGGTGCATGCAACCTCCTGGGTCAAGGCTCCGCCGCCTGAAGCTTGGGTCTACGATGGCTCAAGACTTGTGCGGGGCTCCCCTTCCTAGCTCTTGTGGGACCCCCGACGTCCGGTTCCGGTTGCACAACACAAGTTGGTCCCAAGGAAGAGCAGAGGCCCCGAGCCGCTTTGGCTCCGGCAGGACGGCTAGAAGGGCCCAGGGGCGCGGTGTTTGTTACCACATGACATGAGGCCTTTTTCTTCACTAGGGGAGGTGAAGCCCCCCCCCCCCCAAGAAAGACTCACGATGAAAAAATGCCAAAATCATTATTGAGTTTGGAGGTTTTCCAGGAGCTGGACTGCCATCATGCTACTCACCTGTGTGCACGTACTGGCTCACACCTTGAATGATAGAAATGCGGGCGAAATAAATGGGCCCCTAAGAAATACTAAGTCTTACCGCCTGTTGTGTTGTGTTCATGTTGCGCTCGCCGATTCATCCCTTCCAATATCCGTTCATCAGCGCGAAAGATGCGACAGGGAAATGCTGTGTGACTTCGGATGGCTTTGCACAACAAGGGTACCATACTGTGAGCCGGCGAACTTACCAAACGCCCTTACTTGTATTGACAAAGTACTGCATGAAATAAGTATACTTGATGGGGCATTTTTCCCGAAGAAGGATGTGAGAAAACGGGAAAGTTGGACTCACCTTGACTGGCGGTTGAGGTTGAGGCGGTCAAGCTTCTTAATCTTGAACTCGGCGCGTCCAGCGCAAATGTCTGGCAAACCGGGTGCTGGGCATTCTGAGGAAGGCGATCTCATAGCCTGTGCCAGTCCAGGAAGGATTATATAAGGTCAACAAAGCCGCACTCTCAAGGGCCCGGCTCTCCCTTGGGTCCACAGAAGCGTCCAGGTCAACAACTGGAACTTCGTCAAGAGCCTGTAGCTCCAAACGCTCTGAACCCTAAACCCAAAACCCTAAACCCTAAACCCTAAACCCGTGGCGCCGCAAGGAGACCACAGCTTCCAGCCTGTCGCTGCAGCTGCTTCTTCTCATATCCCTGCACGGTGCCAAGGGATGCGACCTGCCCGATGCTCCTTAAGACAAACCCTCAACCCCAAACCCTAAACCCGAAACCCTAAACCCTAAACCCTAAACCCTAAACCCTATGCTTTGGGTGACATCAGACAGCACTCGAGAAATCACGGACCTGGTGCTGCAGCTTGGGTGGAAGTGAGCTGAGCTTCGCCTGCAACATCGCCTGCCACTATCAGCCCAGAATCACCCATGACATATACAGGGTGATAAGTCATCATCAATCATATTCCGATATTTTCGAAGCATCTGCCCAGAACTGCCCTAATCTCCCCTTTGCTGCTTGCCCTCTTATACCGGGCTCCACACAAGATGCTGCTCCTCCATCATAGCATCTGTCGCGACCTCACAGAGAGAAAAGCTACCTGTCAAAGAGGCTCCTACCCCACGATGACCCCCCCCCAATTCAGACAGCAGCTCAGGGCACCTCCGGCGTGGCGGGCTCGAAGGGGTCTCCGGCACTGAAGTTTCCCAGTGCCACCTAGAAGACGCAGCTTCTGGAATGCTTCCAGGAAAGTGCAAAAAACTGCGCGAGACACTCCGAGACATGCAAGACTCATGCAACCCAAAGCTGCAAGGGCTTTTGAGAACCGAGAGCATGTGCACAAATTCGCCCCTGAGATATGTCTGGAGCAAGCAGACCATGATCTGGTCTCCTTCCCCCTTCCCACCCACCCCTTTTGGGAGCCCCGAAAACTCTGCGGCGCCTCAAAGCGCCCCTGAACTCCTGAAGCCCCGCCAACCTCCCAGACCTTCCTGGGCCTGATGACCAAAGCCCCACACCAAGGTCGTGGCGGAAACCCCCTAAGGGACCCCCCCTGCAAAACTCCACCAGGCGGCCTTTGTTGTTCGTCTTCGATGCGCCCGCTACACCCCGCGTTGGGCCAGCGGCTGCCGAGCCGGCGCGCGCCAGCGTTGAGAATCATACTCTGTGGTCGATGCTGCCCCGTTTCTATGATGTCAACGCACTTGCTGCTGTGCGTCGCAGGTGTTTGAGCTTATTCGGGCGAACCGTTTTGCATAAGATTTCATGCGATCTTGTGCGACCTCCGTCCTGTGTCTTACTCCGTTTTCATGCGTAATCATCGGATCCGCGCCCGAAACAACCTGCAGACAATAGCCAGGCCGGCTAAGTGAGGCCAAGCGGCAATGACCGGCGGTTTGTCCGGGTCCCCAGCGGCCTGCTGCACCCAGACATTCACTTGGTAAAGGGATCGTTGCAGCAGCCCGGTGTGTTCTTTGCAGTGCCGGCAGTTTGAATCCCGCTCCAGCAGCACGTCTGCCCGAAGCGAGCAATGGTTCTGGTGACCTTTCTGGCTTGCTTCGGCGTTCTTGCGCCGGTCATGGGACAGCTGCAACTGCGCGTGGTTCTGAGTCGGCCACTCACCGGCAGTACTCGAACGAAGCGAGCGAGCTGCGAACCTCGGCCAGAGTTGGTGATCCGCGAAAAACCCCCTAGAGTGCCGAGGACAACAGCTTGGTTTTTGTGAATTCCACAAAGTGGGGAACGCACGGGCTCTCCCGTTTCGGGTCTGGGTTGACCAACGTTCTCCCCAAATGAGTCACCTAATCACGAAAACACCGAGCCTTTCAGCAAACTAAAACCTTTTAACTTTCAACGCTACTCCTTCCACAGGTGCACCGGCCGGCCACCTCAGCAACGAATCTTTGCCACTCATTTACCTTCATTTGTCCTTGGCCCTTTGAACGGATGAACTGGATGGCTGACTGGAGAGCACTGGCCGCCTTCGGGTTCCAGCAGGCTCGAGGCTTCTTGATTGACTTGCTCATTGCTTCAACTGCTCGCTGTGAACTTGCAATGACCCTTTTGAGCAAGGTGTGCATCTGAGAGGATTTATTGCACCCAGACTTGCTTGACGACAGCATGATGTCTTGGCCACACACCATTTTCAAAGACGGCACGCACGGGGCTTGCGTAGCTGGGCCTGAGATTACATGGGCATGTCCATCACCGTCTTGAAACATGGGCCATCAGAGAGTGGATGCATGCCGCGGTAGGATCGATAGGCACACGGCCCGGCAAACTCCCTGCCGTCGTCAGCCGGAGTCCAAGGCCCATCCTCAGAACCAGCGAGGCATGGCTGGGCGTCCCTTCGTGCTTGTCCCTGCTCACGCGCGCAATGCAATTCTAAACCCAAGCCGTTGCGCCTCGGAATCGGACAGTTCGACTCGGAACCTGGGCTTCCAGGGGAGAGGGGGGGTGCAGGTCAGCGGACGATGACACAGGGCACATGGCCTTGTGACCCACTGGCCGACATCCAAACCTCAGGCGGCGGAGGGACGCATAGTTCGAAAGTCGAGGAACATCATTTGTGATGCAAGCAAAACCAAGCAAACACTTCCTGTTGAGCACCTGTGAAGCACTCACAGCCCGGAGCTCTCATCAGCCCCAGGTCCGAGGAGTCCGAGGTCAGGACGGGCGGCCAGCATGACGCCAGCCACGTTTTGGACCTCCCCCAGGTCCAACTGGTACCACGGATTGCAATCCTCTTTCTTGGCGCACCAGGCGCTGGCAGAGTCCAAGGTTCCTCAGCCCAAGTCCAGGAGTCCGAAAAGGCAGATACCTTGGGCCCGTTTTGCCACCAAGCATCCGGTGTGATGTCGTTCTCCTGGCTTGTCATCGTTCCAGCTGGAGGATGCCCTCCTCGCATCCAGCGGTACCTTTCACGCTCTTTAGCTGATGTACACAGCCAGCCCCAGCTCTCCGCGACAGCACCAGTCTCTCAAAGGTATCTGCAAACCCTTACAACGGCGACATCGAATTTCAGATCATCAGCCTTGGCCAGCTGGAGGCCGGAGTGCTTCTGGGCCTCAATACCCCGCGCCAACGCCCGGGGAAGCGGAACGGACTCGTCCAGCTGGCCTTCAAGGGGCCATCAGGCTTGCGCGCAAAGCGCAAAGGAAAGCTAGGCTTGTGCCACCCCTCCCACACCCACCTGCACCGGCCCTGCTGCACCGCAACACCAACCCCCAAAAAAACAGAGGTGTGCCACCTTTTCGTGCTTAATGCTGAACCTGGTTCGGGTCATGTAATGCTCGTGGGAGAATCACAATATGTCACAGTGACTCTGGACTCTAGCAGAACACAAATCATGTTTTGCTTAAACACAAGGTGCTGCAACTTGGCATTGTTTCCCAAAACCGAAAGGGTAGCTGTCAAACATGGCTTCTGCCGGCGCCACGACACGCCGTCTCCATCGACAGGGTTTTCGTTCGCTGAAGAATTTCAAGGATGCGCCGCGAGAGAATTTCGAGGACGCTCCACGCGTTAGCGACCGATAGGGTTGTCGTTCGTGCCCAAAATTTCGAGGACGCTCCAGCGCCACCCCGGGAACACCGAAAGGGCTGACGCTTTAGGGCCAGCGCAATTTTGACGAGGTGCCGCGGGCCGCGCCGACCCAAATCCGCGCTTTGCTACATATCAAACTTGCAAACATACCACGAAATGCATCACCCCATGGCATCCATCCATGCATCAACGATAATGACGAACTGCCAATGTCAAGGATACAGCGTGCTTCCCATCGCTGGCCTTTGGGAGATCTGCTTGGGCTGTCGGATTCCGGCTTTGGGGAGGGTCATGAGAACATGTCGCAAGGATCGCTCCTGGCCTTTGGGAAGGCCCAAGCCGAAGAGCTTCAATTGCTCAGATGGCACGTCGATCATGGAGTAAATCTGCATGCGCAACATCTCCCAGCCTTCACCTAAGCGGTTCCGTGCACAGCCCATGAATCATACCCATCCACACCCTGCATGCACAACCACAGAACCCCAAGCCGACCAAAGATTGCAAGCTTTTCCAAGGCACTGGGCTCGCATTCGATGTCGTACTCGGCCCCTTGGTGCCGCAGCAGCAGCTGCACGCTGCCTTGGGGCTCTGGCAGCTCAGCAGCCGCCAGGTCTATGCAGCGCGGCAGGGACAGGGGAAAGCCAGGATCCATGACCTTGCCTCGTGCGTTGGAGTCCAGCAGCCGTCCAGACGCATCGAGTAGCACAACCGCTGGAATGCCGCGGACGCCAAACATTGTGGAGAGTTGCTGCTGCCGTGGCCGGTCGGAGAATGGCAACGCGTGCCAAGGCATTGTGGAGAAGTACTCCCGGAAAGAGTTCTCATCACGGTCACTGGAAACAAAGACGACGTCGAAGGCCCTGTTCTTGGACTTCACATGATCGTAGACTTTGCGGAACTGGGGGGTGAAGCCCTTGCATGGGGGGCACCACCCAGCCGAGAAATAAAGGGCGACGACGCCTCCCTGCAGAGATGGTGTCGCAACCTCTCCCTTCCCGTGCAAAAGCGTTTTCCCTAGCAACGCCTCCATGGCATGCGGATGAAGGTACTAGTGTATCAAGCGTGTGTTGAAGATGGAGGAGGGTTGTGCCTAGCTGAGCACCTGACTTGATTCATATCCTTGCTATCTGCTCTTTCGTGTCAATCGCAGTGGTAGGAATTGTTCTCGGTTAAGTGCGTCACGAGCTTCTAGCACGCAACTCGGCTTGTGCCATCAATCCAGCTGATCAAGAAAAAACGCACGTCCACGAACCCTCAATCCATCATTGCCCGGCGCAACATGTGCAAACTGAAGCTGTCACTACAGGAGACATCAGTTTCCTCAATCCGAGATGCCGCCCTTGAAGACATGAGCTGCGCTCAAAACTCTTTTTGTCGAAGCTAGTCAGCTAGTCCAAATAACCGATGCCGACCAAACGCCGGAGCTGCTCGTAGAGCCAGAAGGAAAACACACACCTTGGGATTGCGCTGGAGGCTGCCACAGCTGTGACGGGTCTTGATGATCCAAGGCAAGGGCACCGGAGCCAAGCGCACGAAGGCAGGTGTCCACCCGCGAAAGAAGACTTTGGGTCCAGACCTTATCGGGCAACAAAGGAAAGCCCCAGAAACAATACAAGCCATGCAAGCAAGGGGAAGATCTCAAAGGGAGGGATTAGCCCTGGGCTCTCGCAGCAGTGCATTTGCACAGGTCAGCGGTCCGGACCGAAGTTGATGGTTACTGTCACCAAGGCTGTGCGCACTTTGGTACCTCACGGTCTCAACATGTCTCAGCTCTGCAGTGCGCAAAGGCGGGCGCAGTCTGCTAGCCCCGAGCACCTTTTACAGGCTTTCGGCCGAGGCACACAACCAGGACCACGTCAAAGGGCCTCAGGAGCTCCGAAACCCGCAAGTGACGAAACACGGGGGAGCCTTGGAGCTCAGGGCTCTGCATGTGGCACGTGGTGCAAATCACCGCAGCCTGGCATTGGTGCTTCGACGACAGTTGCTACAACTGCGAAACGACAGCTTTCGACATTGAGAAGGGGACCACCAGAGATGCCGAAACATGCAGCAAAGGACCTCGTGACTGGGGCTTGCGCACTCTTGCTTCTTCCTTAAACCGTGCTTGGACCTTGCGGCATGACACGGCGTGACCTGCTCACCTTTAGGGGAGGGCTTGCATGGTCTGACTCGCTTCTTCCCCTAGTACAATGTATGATGTTCTTTTGCCAAATCACTTCTCATGTCAATGTGCACTCAATGTGCACCCTGCGGCACAGCATTGAACTGCTCCCTTTCGTGCCAGCTTGCCGTGCTTTCTGTCGCTTCGACGTGCCAAGCGGGTGGAGGCGCAAAAGTGACGCTGCAGACCCTCCGAAGTTTGCGGTGGTGCACTGCAGCCCTGTACAGAACTTTAAAAGGCCAACACTGAGGAGGGCAGAGGCCCTCTGCCCTTCGCATGGCTTGTTGTTCATGTTTTGTATCTCCTCTCACCATGACGCGGGCGACGGCAGGCCCTCTGCAATGTACTTGTACGGCGCGGGCCCATGTAGTAGGCAGTCGCGCATGCAGATGGCATGAAAGAAGAAGTCATGCATCAGGCATGAAAAGAAGTCATGCATCAACTCAGAGCAAGCGACCTTACCTCAGATCCGCATAGTTAGGTGCGGCAAAACGCGCCAAGCCGTCAAGCCGAAACAGAAGCAATGATCATGTGAATTGCAAAGAAGTTGCTATGCATTGGTTGAATTACTGTCACTGTCTGTGTCCCACTCCGACACGGACGAGTCAGAACTGCCTGTGTCCACCACGCCACCACAGCATGCAGGGCCTTCAGCACAGGAACTCACGCATCACTTAGCACCAGAACCCCGGCCCAGAGTGTTAGAAGAAAGTCTGCAGTACACGAAATGGATGCTGCAGACCCGAACGCCCCGGCCACACCCGGCAGACAGTGTGTAAAAACTACAGCCTGCGAGCTCATGTCGGGACCGCCCCAGCACGCGGAACCCATGCTTGTGTGCCAGTCAGGAACAGGAAGACTGCGTTACACTGCGTTGCAGCGGTGGCTTTTCATAACTCAGCTGTGCGACGTGACAATGATTTGTTTCCTTGACCCCTTGCACGGCATTTCCAACCGCCTGAACGTTGGAACTTTTTGGAAGGGGAGTCAAGGGATGTTAAGGGGATGCATGTCCATCCATACGAAGCATTTTCATTGACTTAACCGACTTAACCCTCATCATGCAAGACCCGGCCATCTTTCTCTCTTGTTTACTGTCGGCCGCAAGCTGCGCTCGCCAGCCGCTCACTGTTGCACTGTTGCACATGACCATGTACTTGGACCCCGAGGAAGGGCTTTAATCCCATAAATCGGTCGAAAACGTGCAAAAAAAGGCTCCGTCTGGCCGTCTGGGTCTTCCACACCCCCTAACACCTCGAGACTGATCAGATAAGCAATGCCTAGCTATGCTTCTATTCACGCCAATAGCTAAACTCTGAACCCTCAACTCTCGTATGACAAAGAAGAAGAGACCGGCCAGCACCCAGGTGCCCTACAGCCCCGCAATCCAATTGCAGAAAGAGTATGCAGACGAAGGTGCCACAATGCAGCGACTGAAAGCCATCCTCAAGTGCCTGGATGGAGTTCGCCCGCAGGTCGACCATACCCTGCCTGAGAAAAGGTGATTTCGCCCAATTCCCCCAAGCCTGGGACGACCTTTGCTATAAATATATATATATATATATATTATGTATTTATTTATTTATATTTATGTGTATATATATATATATGCACCAGTGAAAGGCAGCACTTCAAGACAGTAGCTCATAGAGATGGGATGCATCATGTTCTCGGTGACGCTTGGATCTTTGTGTACGATCTGCATCCGCACCTTCACTTCTGAAGGGTACAAAAACCACAGGAAAATTCACAAACCCTAAACCCTAAACCCTAAACCCTAAACCCTAAACCCTAAACCCTAAACCCTAAGTAATGTGCGGACGCAGCCACGCATCAGGCGAAAGAGGGTGTGGGAGCTTTTCAAGCGTGCTGTGCAGTCTCAGTGCAGCCTGAGGGGCTCCCCAGCCAAGCAAGAATGACCAAATGTAGCCTTGGCTATGAGAGAGTTAGGGTTTAGGGTTTAGGGTTTAGGGTTTAGGGTTTAGGGTTTAGGGTTTAGGGTTTAGGGTTTAGGGTTTAGGGTTTAGGGTTTAGGGTTCAGGGTTCAGGGTTTAGGGTTTACGGTTTAGGGTTTAGGGTTAGGCTCCCAAAAAGGAGCTAGTATCACACCAACTGGTCTGCAAGGGATCTACTTGCGGCACAGCAGCATGCGAGCAAGGGCGGACCACAGTTCAAAGTCGCGCACTGCATGATCGAAGGATACCTCACACAACTGCCGCTGCCTCGGCCTTCCCCAAACCCTAAACCCTTAAACCCTTAAACCCTAAACCCTAAACCCTATCTTTCGGTATCCTTCGGCAGTTGCTTCCGCTCAGGAGCGGACGGATAGCGCAGGTCCAGCGTCTGAAAGCTCCTCCACATTTTAAGAGCTTGCGGGGGATTTCGGTTTCTGACGGTTTAGGCTTTAGGGTTTAGGGTTTAGGGGTTTAGGGGTTTAGGGGTTTAGGGGTTTAGGGGTTTAGGGTTTAGGGGTTTAGGGGTTTAGGGTATAGGGGTTTAGGGGTTTAGGGTAGGGGTTTAGGGGTTTAGGGGTTTAGGGGTTTAGGGGTTTAGGGGTTTAGGGGTTTAGGGGTTTAGGATTTAGGGGTTTCGGGTTTAGGATTTATGGGTTTAGGGTTTAGGGTTTAGGGGTTTAGGGTTATGTGTAGGCTGCACACCAAGGATCCAGGTAGGTCTGCGGAAGTAGACAGCGTACGCGACCTGATCTCAAACGCTGCTGACAGTGCTGCGCCTCGACAGAAATCACTTCTCTAGCCACAGTATCCTTGGTCCTAGATGATCATAATCTGTTTATGTAACGCTAAACCCTAAACCCTAAACCCTAAACCCTAAACCCTAAACCCTAAACCCTAAACCCTAAACCCTAACCCTAAACCCTGAGGTGAACTCTCCAAGGCAGTTCAGGCACATAGAATCCGAGCCAGGTTAGTGTGCCGACCATGCAGAGGAACAGAGATCGCCAGTTCTTGCTGAATCTACGTATCCTGCAAGGCGCACAGTGCTGCATCATTGCAAGTCATAACAGTCTGTGCCAGGCACTTCTTTTTGTCATTCGGTAAAGAGAAAGGAGGGGTCCTCGTCAGCGGTAGGAACAAGCTGGAGATGCCAAACCTAAAACACAAACATCCGGACACTTGCGGGAAGGCACAAACAACATAACAAACACAACAAGACCAAACATCCCCAGTTTCATGTCGCCTTGTCACCCGCCACAACTGCAAGGAGCACGACACATTTTTACACTGTAATCAAATCTGCCTGGTTCTCTCCGCGCGCATTCACCCTTGCAACTTTCATGCGGTCCTACATCCTATTCAGATGCGCAAACAACGTTCTTTTGGGCTTGAGGGATGTGTGGCAAAGTGCCGCCGAGGCGATGCAGGCCATGACTAGATATGGCAATTTCTGATGCACTTTTAAGCTTGATTTCGAACATGTGTTCGAAGATACTTCACTGGCAATGCGGACCTGACCAAAAGTGGTGTTGTAGTGATTGTCGTAGACACCATGAGCCACCACCATGATATCCCAGGGCAGGAGGCAGTGCCCGCAGAGATTCGGCTTCAAATGCTGGTGTACCAACATGGGTTTGCATGAGCTTACGGTGAAAACGGTGGCAATGTTGGAGACTTATTTCAATATTCAGCAAGGTCCGGCAAAAGGACGTCTCAACCACACCATGAAACGATGCACAGTGTCACGCTTCCAGCCCTCGTCGTGCAAAACAAACAGCAAGTACTTGAAGCATAGGGCAAGACCAATTCACACAAGCTTCAAACAAAACATAACACAACATGACAACACTCTTTAGAGCAGTATCCAGCGCTTGCTGCATCTTTCTTCTGCCATGGAGCATGACGAACACAAAGCCCATTGCCGCCACCACCTAACGGAGAGACATGCGTAGACATGTAGGCCCAGAACTTCAGAAACGGCCAGACGTCGGACTCGGCAAAGGCAGGGCAAGGCTTGGCTCCCATCCTTCACATCTCCTTCATGTGGCGCGGCCGCGGTTGACAGGAGAAGACAACCGAGAGATGGACCAAGAGACCCAAGGAAGATATGGACGAAGCACAAAAGCAAGGCATGTCTGCTCGTTCGAACAAACGTAGGACTAACATCATTCAGCTGTAGGCTATACATGACAACGTGAGGGCATGCAAGCGTGGTCATCGACCACTTACCACTGCAGAAAGACGAACTGACCTGCAGGAGAACCAACCAATATAAGAAGAGTCTTCATGTTGCAGTTGTGGCACGTCCATGCTGTGATTGTCAAACTCGGGTGCCGACAAATCAGCCTGACTTCATGTTTCGTGGTGTCTCTTGTGATGGAAAATCTCCAACAAGTGTCCGACCCATTTCGACCCCAACTTAACAAAAAGAACATCCATGGGTCGAAGGCAAGCTTCTATAGCCACCAGCACCACGCCAACTAAAAAGGGCAGCAGCCCCAAGAGCAGCAGGTGCCGCCGCTCGATGCAGCCGGTCCGTCGCAGGATCGACCACATGAGAATCATGTACAGGAAGAAGGCCAAGATGTACCCTCGGATGCATCACGGGCACAAGATACACGAGCATGGGGAGCATCACGTGAGTAGCCGTTCATGATGAAGGCACAGCACCAAACCCTAAACCCTCAACCCTAGACCCTAAACCCTAAACCCTAAACCCTAAACCCATTCAAGGGGCCCAGGGCGAAGAATCTCTTTTTGAGACCCAGCGAGAGGGAGAGCACGGTGACGCTCCCCTGCAGCGCGGTCCCCAGCAGCATGATGCGGACGATGACCAAAAGCCATTCCTGAGCTCTCTGGGGCCAGCATCACGCAAGTCCGCGCATGTTCAAAGCCCTTGACTCAGTCAATTCTTCGAGTCTTCTAACCGCTGTCATCTTTATTCCTTCCCGGCCCTCCCTTTCATGTCAGGGCGCCCGCTTGGCACGCGTTGTGGTCCAGGTGATGGAGGCGTCCACCCGGCGGTAACCCTCCTCCGCGCCCGCCTGCTGCGGATCCGAGTAGCGCTCGAAAAGGTGGGATTTGGACCTGCCAGAGGAAAAGTTCGAAACGCGAGGGGCGACCGCCATCATCTGCCTTGCCTTACGTGGGCTCCGAAGGTCTCGATCTCCCTGCGTATCCGAACCTCACAGCGCAGCGCAAAACACCGTCAAAAAACTGTGTTACCGAGCTCGCGCCTCATGCACGACGCGATTCTCAACACGGTTTAGGGTGTAGGGCTTAGGATTTAGGGTTTAGGGTTTAGGGCCTGAATAAGAGAACTCTCGCAGGCCTCGTCATCTGCGTTGGAGCAGCCAGCGTTTCGGGCATGGACTTTGCCAGCCGGAGCCAGCGTGTGCGCCAGGGAGACGTAAACCTTCAGCTGGGAGGCCATGAAAATCTCCTCAGCTGTGGGATTCCAAAGTGGATACATCGGTGGGGGCTGAGAGGGGATTTGACATGGCTGGTAGACAAAACCTCGTAGACCCCTAGACAATGCCAGCTCTTCGTCTCTTCGGCCATTGACTAGACAAGCGCAAGCAGGAGAAAGTGCCCCACAAGCTCGTTGCTGAGCAGCTGTTCTACTCTCCAAAGGCTCTCCAAAAAAGGGCTCTCTCCAACAGGAAAGCCTCGCTCAAAAACGGCTCTCAAGAACCGGGAGCCGCGAACCTGCCAAGACACATAGACACACCAAAGCCTCTGGTAGAGATTGTCCTGGTAGTTTGGCACAGCCACCATGCCTCTGGCCACTTGGATATCAGATGCATTAAATGCGTCCCACATGCATACGCGTATGTATTCACAGCGCATATGCAGTAGAAGCGGGACACATGCCCTCTCGGTGCTCTTAGACCTTTCCAAAGGCATCGGAGTCACGGCCACTGTACACCCATGGTGCTGCAAAGCGAAGCACCACCTCCAGAATGAGGCCCAGGAAGACCAGACCCCAAACCACAGGGAAGGTGAGCGCACAGGAGCCCTCGAGGTCATCGACTTCCTCGGGTGCATGATATGGGCTTTATTTGATGTTTGGGGTTTAGGGTTTGGGGGTTTGGGGTTTGGGGTTTAGGGTTTAGGGTTGAGGGTTTAGGGTTTAGGGCTGCATTGCATGCATCTTGCTTTGGGAGACTGAGATGGGCTTTGCGCGAGGACTCAAGGAGCGGCAAGGAACCTTTGTTGGAGTGAATGCTCCCTCTCGGGCAAGACATGGCTCATTCCTGTTCACTGCTTTACGCGGGTGCTAGGGTTTAGGGTTTAGGGTTTAGGGTTTAGGGTTTAGGGTTTAGGGTTTAGGGTTTAGGGTGTCACGTAGACTAAGCCAGGGTTCCCAATGACTGGCCAGGCAAGTGCCCCGCCCTTCGCGCCAGTTGCTGCAATACTGGTCGGAAGATACTGCCTCTGCATCAAACAATGTTGGTCCGGCATTATTGTTGTGGAATCGCGCGAAAAAACCTCGAAACATCGCGTGCAATCGCAAAATCAAACCAGCTGTTCAAGTGTATTGTGCGCGTATGTCAGCGCGCGCGTATGTGTCTCCGACCGGGCATACTACCCTTAGGTATGCTCGTACGGCCACGTGCAGCAACGTGACCAAGGTATACAAGTTCTCCATGCCCGCCACTCCCCCGCAAAGAAGCTGCGAGACCATGAATAGTTCGAGTGCCAATAGGAAACACAGGCCTGACGGCACAGGGATAATGCAACATTCCTGACTTGTGGTGGTATTCGACGTCTCACAGACTGTGCACTTTGACACACTGCCACTCTGAGCGGCATTGAAGAGGTCAGTGCTGTGTGAAGCTTTGGCACAGAAACCCGTCCTGGAAGCATGAAGAATGTGCGGCGTGGCCACCACCAGAAGCCTGCACTCGCCCCACGTGCCTGCACCGCACGGAAACTTCGATCCTCTTGCAACAGAGCCCTTAACCCTAAACCCTAAACCCTGAACCCTAAACCCCAAACCCTAAGCCCTAAAAGCTCGAGCAGCACGCCTTGATGTGCGTCAGGACACGGCCAAAGGGGCTGTGCTGTGTGGAGGCGCCAATCTGCTGGGCGATGCTTGGCCCGGCACCATCCTAACACAGCAAGGAATGGTAAAAGAATGGTGGTCAGGTTTTGATTAGGGTTTAGGGTTTAGGGTTTGGGGTTTGGGGTTTGGGGTTTAGGGTTTAGGGTTTAGGGTTTAGGGTTTAGGGTTTAGGGTTTAGGGTTTAGGGTTTAGGGTTTAGGGTTTAGGGGGGTGTAGGGTTTACTGTAGGGTTTAGGGTTTAGGGTTTAGGGTTTAGGGTTTAGGGTTTAGGGTTTAGGGTTTAGGGTTTAGGGTTTAGGGTTTAGGGTTTAGGGTTTGGTTCACAGAGAGTTCCTGCGCCAACCACGACATACATTCTGAGCCTCGTTTTGGTAGATCGAGAATGCGCAGACAAAAAGAACTTCTTCGGGACGGACTGTCCGCTCAAGGGTATCCACGAACTCCTGGCAAGAAAGCCCCAAAGTTCTCGGCAATCTCTGCTACATTTTGGTTTGCAGCAAACGGTTTGCAGTTCTGCGCCTCTGCATTCTCGTTCCAGGAATGGGAGATAAGAACATCCACTTCAAGGGGTGAGTCTCGATTGATTTTGACAGCGTAGCCTCGGCTGCGTTCGCTCTGTTGAGGCATGTGGGGGTTTAGGGTTTAGGGTTTAGGGTTTAGGGTTTAGGGTTTAGGGTTTAGGGTTTAGGGTTTGGGGTTTAGGGTTCAGGGTTTAGGGTTTAGGGTTTAGGGCTTTATCCTGGAGGGTGCAACTGGGCACAACTGCTCGCAAGCTTCTCCAAGTGGCCAACCCCTTCACCAGCAGTTCGAGGCAGCAGGTGGTAATTCACCATGTCTCGCACCGAATGGTTCTGATGCCAGTGAACATCCTCCTGTAAACATACAGGGCAATTATCATAATTATAGTATTGTAGTAATTATAGTAATTATAGTACTTGTAGGAACTATAGAAAGTATAGTAATATAGTATTATAATAATATAATAATATAGTAATATAGCAATATAGTAATTTAGTAATATAGCAAGATAGTAATATAGTAATATAGCAATATAGCAATATAAAAATATAGTAATATAGTAATATAGTAATAAAGTAATATAGTAATAAAGGAGTATAGTAATATGTAATATAGTAAATAGTAATATCGTAATATAGTAAATAATAAAATAGTAGTAATATTAGTAATATAATATATAGTGAATATATAATATAGTAATATAGTAATATAGTAATATAGTAATATAGTAACATAGTAACATAGTAATATAGTAATATAGTAATACAGTAATATAGTAATATACTAATATAGTAATATAGCAATATAGTAATATAGTAATATAGTAATATAGTAATATAGTAATATAGTAATATAGTAATATAGTAATATAGTAATATAGTAATATAGTAATATAGTAATATAGTAATATAATAATATTAGTAATGGAATAATATCGTAAGAATAATGATTATAGTAACTATGTAATTATAGCAACATGCCTTCCTTTCCTGCACCTTGAAAACAGATACACAGCTCTGATGGGCTCATATCAGCTCCAGCCACCTTGCAGGAGTTGAGGAGCTCCCGTATCTGATGCATGTGCATCCCCCAGTTCTCAGGCCAAACATCCACGAACTTGCCATTCCTAGGCCACGGAGCACACCAGCGCGCGTTTTTTTTTGAGTGCAACGTTCTTGGATTCTTGGGGCCCTTTTGGGACTCTGCCTGCGCTTTCGCAACCCAGGCTTCCGGAGGATGCGCTGGGGCTCCATGTGCTGCGCTTGCTGCGCTTGCTCCAGGTCAGAGGATGTTGCCTCCAACGGGGGGCATCGCACACATTAGCCTCGCCCGTGTCTTAACCACAAGAAGCTTGGGGGAAGTGCACGCTCTGCACATCTCTGCACTCACGTTGCACACTGCGCACTCCTGCTCGAGCTCCTCTTCTTTGAAGCACCCGGCGCTCCCAGGCCATTCCATCGCTCCAGCGCAGCCCGTTAAGGCTCAGCTTTGTATTGTTGCATTTTGGCTGGCATCTGTGACTTCAGCTCATTTCGTCAGCACTTCGGGGGCACGAATGGGTACCAACCTACATCATGGAATCCGCGAAACTTCTGCGAGCATGCACAGGTTCAACTTACTGTAGAGAGCTCACTCTCATTCCTAGCAGCACTGAGGAAATTGACTTTCACAGATCAGAGGAGCCGGCCATCCTTCATCAAATTATAGGCTTTCATCATCGTCTTGAACGCATCGTACCTGCAGAGTCTGCCCCAAAGACCGGGAAGCGTCCTCTTGCATCAGAATCCACCAAGAAACTTCGTCACGCAAGAAAGCACGCCCTTAGCAACAAAGCGCCGAACGGCTACACTGCCCTCCTAAGTCACAACAGGTGCTTCAGCGGTGCTAGTTTTTTGAGTGGTGCTGCTTCTTGCATCAAAAATCCCAGGGCCGGATGGACTGAAGAGAGCATGCCTAGCTCCGCTCGGACTCGGACTTTGCGAGCTGTCAGAGGTACCCTTGTACATCTAAAAGCGGAGAAGGAATCTATTGGCCATCTCATACACGTAGAAGATCAGGGCGTGCGATGGGACCTCTGGAGCAGCGGTCGGTTGTAGTTAATTGAAGCCGCTTGTCACGAATGGCTGGTTCCGGGCCCATAGCCGCACGGAAGCAGGTGATGCCACAGCCGCGGTAAAGGCCGGATATGCCTTCTTCCCTGCACCAGGAACAAAAGCCATCTCTGGGATCCCATGCATATCACACGAGCCTCAGCACAGTTTGAAACACTGTGATGAAGGATTGGCCATAGAAGCGAGGATCCGTCTGAATTTTCGACTTGACCTCGGAGCAGGACAGGCTGGCAGAGCCTCCAGGCACATCGTGCCTTGCTTGGGCTTCGTCCGTGTCTGCCGGGTAAGGAACTGCCCAATACGCGATGCCTCAGTATAATGAGTACAGTATAATATCGAAAGCTGTGTCTCAGTGCCCGATAATAAGAGACTCTTCTGGGAGCCAAGAGACCTGCACAGGAGCCAGACAAGGCAGACCAAAGGAGTGGCACATCCTTCTTCTTGTCGTATTGGCGGGCTGTTTGCACCATTCTCATGACCTGATGGGTCATGGTCAGGAGCTTAAGCCACAGTGCTTCGGCGCTTCGTCATTCACGCTAAGGTGGAGGCACCCTCGTACACACCAAACCACGCCTCACACAAAGCAACCTGTTCTGGTTCTGCACAAGGGGCAGCTTAAGGCAGCGGCCATATTGCCGGGCACTTCTCGCATGAGCCTGCTCAACGCATGCGAGCACCCAGAAAAAATCTGACCTGTTCCGAGTCTGCATCCAAGCTACGTGCTGAGATTGCCTCGCCACAGGCCCGTCACACCATCTTCCCGCACTGTGCGGACAATGCAATCCACCGGTCCCCTGTCAATACCAACTGATGGAAACTCCGCACACGCCACGAGTCACGGTAGCTACCTTGGCCCTGCCCCGCGCCTGTAGAGTTTCTCTGCTGAGCTGCTCAGCTGAGCCTTCAGGCTCAAGTGACAAGCGGTACACCATGCAAGCACCATGCAAATGGCAAGCAATGCAATCTTGGGTCTGCGCCTGCAACCTGCATTTCACTAGCTCAACTGGTGTAAGCACACAGGTGGACGCACACCCACTGCCGCCACCTGAGCATGTTCACGCGGAACAAATGGCTGCGACAGGTTGCCTCACCACCACTGGCCTGCCAGAACCAGCTTCCAAAACGGAACTGGGTTGGCCAGCGTAGCTGCCTCCTCAGCTGACAATAGTTGAGGTAGCTCCCCTAAACCCGAAACCCTAAACCCATTACTCGAAACCTTGGGGTTCATGTCTGCCACCGAGCATCTTCATCCACCGCTAGCGCCTGGCAACTCTGTCTGTCGAACGCATCTCCGTGATGACCTACCAATGTACGTGCCGTAGCGGAGAGGCGTGCCTTCTTGATGTATCCATACGACACGAAAAGGCTGGCATTCTCGGCCATGGACCTCCGAGAACATTCGAGATCTGGGGTATCTTCTCAATCTTCTGCGTTGTCGGGTCCACGAAGCCCACTAAGCCCATGACCCTAGAAGAGGAGCCCCAAGGCCCTGGTAGAGAGACAGAAGGCCCGAAGTCGCCACCTTGAGCTTAGAATGGTCTGGGAAACTACATCCAAAGCGTCACTCAAAGCCGTTGGCTCAAGCCGATGCTCAAACCGCTCTAAGCTGTTCACCGTCTTCCGAAAGCAGTCGACGGGTCCCGAAAAACGTCCACCGCCAGTCTGTTCCAGCACCTGCAAGTGCACGCAAGCTGGCAAGCTGCACAGCGAAGCCATTCTTGGAAGCACGCGGCCTTGATGGTATCTGCCGGATATTCCACGATCTTGCACCTGCGCAAACTGAAAAGTGCACACTGAACTGCAAGGAGCTCAGAATTGCAACATCGGCACACGAAGCCAGACATCATCCCGCAAAGAAGATCGCGCAGACCGTCCTTCAATGCCACGTCCAGGTAAGCAGTGCCCCGCCCCAATTAAGAATTAAGACCACAGATGAGATATGGTGAGATGCAAGTGGCGTGCTCAACTACATCAACCATGCAGACTCCTAAAGCTCCAAGTTTGAGGGCTGAGACGTGAAGTGCTACGAGGATTGCCGAACCGTGGAGACCGAAGGTCTGTAAAATGAGATGCCGTATTGCCCAAGTCTCTGCAGCTGGCTGTACATCACAAACAAATGTGGCAACTTTAGAACCATTGACAGTCAAGTACGGCATTGCACCTCTGCAAGGGTATCACGATAGACATGCAGCGTCTTTGTTGGGTGCTGGTCTCTCCAAGAACCCCCCACCCCCCGCGGATATGCACTTCGCAAAAAGCTCCAGGAAAGCTTGCAACATCTCATTCGGCTGAATCCGCAATGAGGCTCGACGGAATCTGAAATTTTCAAGTTACTAGTGCAGATCCTTAATATAAAGGATGTGCGCACACATACACCTTGAAGCCATGCTCAGTTGCAAAGCTTTCGTGCACCATGGCAAGTCGTAGCCCTGATGCACTTGTGAAAGTCCGGCCACTGCAGGCTGGCACCCTGGCTGGGCTATGGAGCGTTGCGGAAGACCCCCGCGAAAGTGCCTCGGAGCCTCCTCCTTTGTTTAATCGCAGCAGGAACTACTATGGAAGAATAGCACAAAGGATACCGTACATACCTCATTCCCGGAAGTGTCGCTACGTGCCCGGTAGAGCCAATCGTGCTCGTGATGCCCGTGCGCACAGAAGCATCCGAAGCATCTGGACATGATTTTCCCAAGAGTGCTGATGACACTCACGTTTTTCGGGTGCAGCACAAGCCAAGCAAAACAACAGCTGGCGATGGCATTATGCAGGTATTGACAAAAGTGCTACCCTAAGATGCATGATTTCATCGCAGCTCTTCGCGGACACTGTCGAGGCGTTTCCACCGGCAATATTGCGACACAAAAGATGACGGCAGCAGCTGTCCTTGCTGGCATTGCCGGACAACCATTTCCCTTGTCCATCGCTGCAAGGTTCGGGCATCGTTCAAAAGTACAGCTAGCAACTGCATGAACTTGTGACTCTGGCATCTCTTGATGCAAGCACCTACTGCACTTGAGTAACTTACGGCGTCCTCCGTCTAAACCCAGGTGTGTGACGATTAACTATCCATGTCTCCTTGGTTGACCCTGTTCCCTCTACGTACATGTGGGCCCTGGGCTGCACACGAAAGGTCAGGACTCAGGCGTCATCTGCCGCGCGACAGATCGCGACAGCCAGGGAACTGGAGGAGCGCACGCCATGAGCTGAGACCCCGAAAGCGCAGCACCGCGAGCAACGATCTCAGCTCGGCCCAGCACTCGCAAGCAGAACCTACGCTACGCCTGGCATGGATTGTGGGTGGCTGCGTTTTGGGATGCTTCACATCCAACAACTGTGACAGAGCTCGTGTCCGGCTACTTCTGAGACTCGAGCCACGCCAGCTCCCCTCCACAAGGATCGGACCCTTGCCTGGGGACCTAAGCCATCGCAGACATGCATGTGTGGCAGATACAGCAGTTCGTGTTCCAAGCCAAGCATCTTCTTGCAGCTGCCAAAGCATTCAAAGCCTCTATCAAGCAGCTGCATAGGCTCGCAGGCTCACAGGCTCAGCCTTGCTCGAAGCCGGAAGAGCTGCTTTGAGAAGCCAGTTCGAGCCTGAACCGTGGTGCGGTACGTGGGCAGATGCCCACAACGCAGGCCGGTAGCATAGCGCCCATCCTCGTAGCTCTTCGATGTCAAAGTGTGGTCTGACGGAGCCATGCAACAGCTTGGGAGAGTGCCGGACCGACCCGTCCCGCTTCGGCTTGCATCTGTGTTTTCACCTGACCATAGTCGCCATAGTTCATACGACACTGGAAGATCCTCGCCCAAGTTTTCCGGCTTTGCCTGTAGCAGTGGTGAAGTGATGAGGTAACCAGCCCTGATCAACACATCAGTTGGTAACATCTCTTACTCGTCGCAAGCACAACTAATCGACTAATTGAGATTCCAGCATTCCGGAAAACAGCCCGGCCGTGAACATTGCCACCGGACCAGCCTAGCATGTTGCGGCGTTAAAGATCTTACAGTTACACAGCTGACAGCATCAGCAACGCTACGCGGAACACTAATATGCCTTGCCCACCGCCTCTCGAGGAGTACCGGAGGCAATGTAATCCAGGCACCCTGGGCACAATCTGCACAAAACGAGCCAATTCAGTTCAATTCGGGCATGCAAAATTGTCCAGAGTCTCTTCTTCATTCTGCAATCAACTCATAAAACAAAATCCAAAAGCTAAGCTGTCTCTTCTTCTTCAGACAAGAAAGAAAGTTTCCTGTGCCGAAGTCGGCTTCAGGCTTTGAAGGTTTTGAAAACTTTGAAGTCTTCGACTTGGCTTCCAAGAAGAGTCCGGAGAATCTAGGAAACTAAGCCGACCAAGCAGTGTCAAGCAACCTACTCCGTTTGCATACGAAACCAGGACCCAAGCAAACTTCGCGATTGGTCGCCTACAGGCCACTCAGACTCGCTTGGTTGTCTGCTTGGTTCGTTTGGGAATCCCCTCTGATAAGGGCCGGTTTCCAGGCAGTCCAGGTTGAAAAGCTTCATGCCCGTGGCGGAAACGAGGACGACAGCACAACTTCAGAGTCCTGTAGGTTTCGAGTTTGAACGCCTCGGCCTCAACCCTAAAAACAATTTGAAGCTCTTCAGGCCTTCCGTAAGTAATAGAGACAATTAACCTTAAAAGCCCCCTGCTCTGCCCCCCCACCCCCCGACCAGCCGGATTTGTTTGGGGCGGCCGGTTATAAACTTGGCTGTCTTGTTGGGGGCCTCATCCAACTAGAAAGCTGCAACATTGCACTGAAATTTTGCCCAGCTTTCCATGACTGACATACCAGCACATACCGTGGTGCTTCAACCCTTGCGCGAAAGACAGTGACATCAAGGCCGCGGCCTATGCCATCACGGATTCTGGTGTAAAGCCCATTCCTTCGGCAACATACAAAATGACCCTAGTTGTGATCTGCAGAACCAACGTGCTGCAAACACACAAGCAATACTCCTACTGGATCCCCCATGCACACCTCATGCCAACGCAGCAGCCCATGGAAACCACATTCGCTGCCAGCCCAGGCCTCTCACAAGGGAAAAAGTGTCTTTTTCTGCTTTCTTCTTGCTTTCTTCAACAGGTTGCTGAAGTCAATGCTCTCTCGCATGCTGTTTGCCATCGTTGTTCGGCAAAACATGGGGATGAGATGGTCGCCCATGTCGGCCCCTGTGCTCCAATGAAGAACTCCCTGGTACAGTCAAAGCAAGGTTCTTTGTGCAAACACCCCGCAACGTCTTGCCAGCTTGCAATCCGCGAAGTACGGCACAGGGCACACTGATAAAAGATGGGCAAAAAATATCCAAAATGAGATGAGATGATAGCTCGCGGGGCATTTTGGTTCAAGGTGCAGCCATAAGCAAGCAAATAAGAACAAGCGCAAACGCAAACACCGCAGAAACCAGCGGAACATACGGATGCCGGTGATGGCACATGCCACGCTTCAGGTTTGTTCCTGGTCCTGAGCGGTTGCTTGCCTGAACCTCCAAGGCGTAGATACTGTCCCGTTTGGCCATCCTATGCATTCTTCAAATGCCATCAGCCACGCTGTGTGCACTGTGCACTCAGCGCATTTGGAGTATCTCTGACCTCCCGCCTTCTCGCGGCTGACAGGTTGTAAAAAGGATGGTTTGCCCTGCGCTGGTGTTGTGTGCGAGCACCCATACATCTTTCATTTTCATAGTCGGCTGCGCGATAGAATCGCCACGCCCTCAGCCAGTTGACCCGTAGCTACCTGTGATGACTGCATCAACGCCTGTCGGATGTTCAGGGGCTACAAAGTGCCAGTTTCCATTCTCAACAGAAGGTCTGCCTCGTGATGTTTTTTGTGTGGTTCTTTGCATTGCTTGCCTGACACTGAGCCAAACGTTCGATCACAGATCCGCCTCCATAGCCCCACCCACAAGCCGTCCTGGTGCGAAAATGTGCAACACAGATGCGGTACCACACCCGAAACCCTAAAACCCTAAACCGAAACCCTAAACCCACAAAACGGGAAGAGCACAAAGGAGAACCCAGTCCTGGATCAGTAGAGCCCGCGCGAACCCGCGAAATGTCCTTGGATGTGAGAAACGAAGCAGTCGATTGGCTTCATGGCGAGACCAAAGCCTCGAAGCACACAACACCCTGACTGGTTCCTTTTGAGAAAAACTTCGGAGTTAACTTATGTACGAACCAACCGATCAAAGTGGAAATGACTGGGACTGCGTGCCAATTCGCATGGTTCAGGAAACTTGTGACCTTCACACCCTGATGGCGGGCTTCTTGCTTGAAAGTCGACATGTTGCTTGAAAATTCAGATCAACTGTTTCTTGGCTGCCACTTGCAGCTCAATCAGCTGGCGAGCGGCTGCCCCGTTCTTGTCCGGCTCGCCTGTGGTGGTTTTTTCTCATTGATACAACAGCCGAAAGGCACCGGCATAATGTCAACAGCTCCCCGAGCTGCGCTGAGCTTCGAACCACTTGCCAGCGAGCTTTCAAAGTGTCCATCGGATGGCTGAAAGAACTGGTGATCATGCCTGCAAGGACATTTGTTCTTCTGATTCAATCGCTAGGTAACCGTCATGGCTTGCAAACTGCGCTCTTTACAGTTCAGGCGTTTCCTCTTGCTGCCCTGATTGCCACGCTGCCCTCGCTCCTTATGACCAGTGCCACTGCATCTGGAGCTGATGCAAACTGATGTTTCCAGATGTTTGTGTGGTCTCACTTCACTGCATTCCAAAGGCCTCACAACCTGTCACAACATGCCATAAAGATTGGTTCAGCCAGAGCCAAAACGACCGTGGACAAACCTGCTGTGGTACTTTGGACCGACCAAAAAAATTAATAAGACTCATCTTCTATGCCATAGCCCAACCACACAATATTGTGTGAATAGAATAGCTTGATGCCTGCGGTGCCTCCCAAGAACCCGGCAGTCTACAAGCAACGCCAAATATCCGCAGAGCCAAGAATTGGGTATTTCTTGTCATGATGCCGAGCCTGTCAACGTGCCAACTGTCAGGTTCGCAACCAAGTCGCGTGCCTGTGACAGAACTCGACGTGCACACTTGGAGCTGGCTAACGGACGTGTTGAGGCAGGCACGGCATCATGATTCAAATGGTCGAAGGCCTCTCATTGCAACTGCCAGCTGAAGGCTACAGAAACGCACGCAAGCGGCTCGAATCAAAGGGAGGGGAACCTGTCTTTGTACAAGCCATGCCATGGGTCAACCCGACTGATGTCCCATTTCTGGTTAACAAACACATGTTGGTTGCCATGGTCACGCATACCATGATGCCAACAACACAATGATTTCTGCGATCCCACGGGGAGGTCCCTACATGTGTCTGGACGATGCTGATGATGTCACCGTTTGTTCATGCAAGTGTGATAGCTGACATGGTGCATGTGGTCTGGACCATGCTCCTGGCCTCGCTGCCAAGAGCCCGACTCACGATTCTGAATTGTGGTCACTGAAAAATCGGACTATTTCTGCTTTCTTTGTATCTGAAGGAGTCATGGCTGGCTGCAAGCAATGACGTGCCATTCTGGCATGGAACGTACGATGCTGGGGACCAGATTCCTTGCAAATGAGGTGTTCTTACTCGAAGATAACAGCTTTGCCATTGTTATTATCGTCATCATGATGATATATACATATACGTGTATATGAGAAAGGGGAACCTATTTGGTCACCGGGTCGGCAACTCAAAGGCAAGATTGATTATGGTATCTGCTTTTCTTCACAAACAGGCAAAGAATGTAAAAAAACACAGAGAACAACAAAAACAACCAAAACATGTTTACCGATTTTAATCTACAAAGAAGCTAAAATCGAAATCTAAAATATGAAATTCTGATTGATTGAAGCAGACATGATTTTTGATTATTACAATAGGAGCTGACCCTTTCATCAGGTGCGATTTTGATGTCCCCCTCCCCCACGCCCTCTCACACCCCCCCTTTTCCCGCGGGTGGCTTAAATAGGGTTTATTTGGAAGCTAGTCTTCGGTTTTTGTAGCGGAAACCTGAAGGTGAGACCGCCTTCACATCATTCCGTTTTCCCACACCGCTCCAAAGAAAAGGGGAAAAGAAAGGAAAACAAAGAGAGAGTAGAGAGGCGGGGAGAAAGACAAGTGCGTAGAACCCTCCCCGTGAATAGAAGAAGCCTCTTGGATTGTTGAAACAAATCCCTTCCCAAATAGGAAGTCGCCAAGCACAGTGCCCCTTTGAGTTCTTGAACCACTCCCGACTCCATAGCAAATCGCAAGCACCCACCCCTTGAATTCGAGGAACTGTCCCTTCCCAAATCCCAAATCGCAAGCCCCGTGCCCCTTAGTTCTTCAAGCAATCCCTTCCGAAATAGCAAATCACAAGCGCCGTGCCCCTGTATTTTTTGGGACAAAACCCCTTCCCAAAAACCAAACGCAAGCACCGTGCCCTAGCTTTTTTGGAAAGGACAACTAACTTCCCAAGAAACCAAATCGCAAGAGAAGAACACAAACAGGGCCTTGCCCTTTCTATTATTTTTCCTTCTTGCTCTTTTTTTTCCCCGACAGGGGTCAAGATGCCCTCGTCCCCCACCGCTTCCCCATTCCTCTTCTTCAGTGCTCCTGTCTCCTTCACTCTGTTTCTCTATCTGTCGGTCTGTCACTTTCTTTCCTCTTCCCTGACTACTATTTCCCTCTCTTTGCTTCGCTCTCTCTCTCTCTCTCTTCTCACTCCTGTTCCTTCCGGTGATTACTTATTCTTTCCATTTCTCCTTTTTCATTTCTCTCACCCTCATCCTTTTTGATTTTACGAGAGTAAAGACGCCTATACAAACGATGAGTCCTGTTCGGTCGCGAAGCCCCTTCCGACAGCGGAAAGGCCGAGAACCTTCCCTGAGCCTCACTCCAGAGCCACACTCCCCAAACCTCCCCAGAAGGGAAAGAGAGGTGTGAGAGGAGTGTCATTTCCAGTCGTCTCTAGGAAGAACTAGCAGAAGGTTCCTCGCTCCAAGAATATGGCAACGATTTCCGCAAAAAAAAACCGTGTCCCCAAGTTTGAAAAGCCATGTCTCTTCCAAAACAACAACCGCAAAAGGTTGCCCCTGAGTTTACTTTCGAGCAATGTCAAAAAACTTTCTCTTTCAAATTTATATTGCAAACACCACACCCCGAAGAGGTTTGTAAGATCTCTGAGAGTGGAAAAAGAACTTTCTCATTCCCTATTTAAAGAAAGAGCACCTCCGTCCTTTTAAAAGTAAAGAAGTTTTCACAGCCCGAGGAATCACATAAGCAGATATATTTATAAAGAGGCAAAGAAGCTCTATGATGCTCTCCCGT